TTCACTAAGTTCGTGGCTGATCGATTATAGGTTAGCATGTTTCCCTAACCTAACAGTAAGAGGAGGAATATATATTCACCCATCAACGACAGCTTGTCATTGTTACACTGTTCTATGACCCATTCCAGTTGTTGATGCCGATGGAAGCGAGTCGCGCTACGCGTGACACCAGCGACACCATTTGTGAACGAGAACAAGCGCTCACACGTCTCGAAATCCTCGAGACCGGCTTGGGCGGTCAAGCGGGGGTGGTAACTGACTTGACAGGGACGTTGATGCGCATAGCCATGCCAAGCACCGACCTCTGTCAGAATCGAATTCACGCGGAAGCAGCGACGATTCAATGGCAAGCACTGGTTTGTGTAGTAACAGTCAGACTTACGAAATTGTATGCGGGAATCGGTGCGGTCCGGACCAGCCAGGTGTGAGAGGGCTGGTGCGTGACGAAACGTCTTGTCGAAGGAGCACCCAATATCGTAGCCGAATATGATCCGACCAGGATACTCAGTGGCAAACCAGTGAACAAGTGCCAGCGGGAACTTGGAGTTCTCGTACTCCTTAATCATGTCAGTGTAGGCGAGGACAATGCCATGCCTACATACCAGCGGGAACCAGCCGGTTTCAGAATACCGTTGACTGGCCCGCGGCCTCTCTTGAGCAGCCTTCCAATGTGACGAACAGCCCCCTTGAAAATTTGCGGGTGCAGGGCTCGAGCGTCGTTGTCCCCTTTGAGCGGTAATGGTTTGATCGGAGAACTTGTTGACGAAGCCAGATGGCAAACGATAGCGAGAGGCGTGGTCTTGGTAAGATTCTGTGCTTCTGTCCCTGCGTTTCAATGAGTTGTTGCCGTCCATAGCAACGCAGACAACATAGTCGTCGTTTCCCGCTTGGCCTTTGGCAGGAAAGCAAAGTGGACACGCGGTAGTTTGGAGCGGTGGAAGTTGGGGATGGAGGCTTGGTATAGTGATGGGGGTTGCACGGATGCTGCTGGTATCGTGACATTGACCAGTTGGCGGCGGGCCCTCTTGACGCTGTGGAGGAGGTTCATCTTCAGGAAAAGCCTTTGCGGTTGAGTTGGGGCGGTTATAGCTTGACATGAACTGACTGATTCGATCATAGAGATCGACAGCAAAGCTGAACCTTTCCCGCAGACTCTCGGAATATGGGAGCTGCAAGGCAAAACAGGGTGAGACCCCATGGATGTTGTGTCATAGCCAGGACGAACCTGATTGTAGTCACAAAGCGAGCGTACGAAAGCCATCCGAGATGTCTGAGCGTGACGGAATTGAATGTGGTAGACTTCGACGGTACGTGTGCTGAAGGCGACTGAGGGTCGCTCCAGCTTGGAGGGAATATACCCTTGTGCAATGATGTGCGCGGCAACACCGATGGGGGAGGCGTGCCAGGTGGAATGGGGATATTGGACGGTCTCGTAAGCTGCAGAGAGTTCATTAGGGGGGGCGAAGGTATCAGCGGGAAATTCTTCTGACCAATGTCCGCGCTGTTCAGTCCCAGAGACCCACAGAATACATCAATAAGGGCTAAATCCACAGAACAATTTTGGTTCGGCCAACTTGGGGGCGGGAGAGATCGTGGACGGTACCGATACTTGTAGAACTGTATGACCAGAGCAGGAAGGAGGTGTTCCAGGGTGAGCTGTTCTTGTTTCTTCTCGCTGAGGTATGTTCTAGGTTTGTAGGATTTCGACATCAAACAGAGTCACTAAAAAAGGTCAAGCGACTCGCCGGCTCACGAAGTTGTAGGCTCTTGCACCACCATGTCATTGAGCTCCTTGAGAAGATCCTCGTACGCATGCGTTTCAGGGTGTTGCGAGAATTGAGATTCGAAGCCGTCGAACAGGTCACTCCCCAGAAACGGGTTGTTTGAAAGATCGCTGGTTACTTGAGGCCTGGTGGCGGAGGGTCCAGCGTTCTGTGTACCGTTAGGGCGGAAACCCTGGAAGGACAGGATCTTGCCTTGATACCATCGGTTGCTCAGCATAGACGCTTTCGGGTGGTAATCTACACGGGGTTTGGTTGGACGAGAGGGTGTTGCGGGGACGACCCAAGTTGAAGCGAGGTCATCGCTGAGTCGCCGTCGACGCTTCCTTGTTGGTGTGGTAGGGAGTGTTGTAGCAGGATCAGACATGATTGGTTGAACCAATACGAACCTGGCGGGTATAGGACAGGACTATTGGTAAACGGACTAGTCGTACATGGTGGGAGGTGGCAGGGTGGAAGAGGTGATTGTATGCTGTACATTGGACATTTTTGGTGCACACGCAGTTTTGTATGAACGCGCGGCATGCTATTAATTTATTAAGCTACAATGCCCGAGCGGGAAAAGCGACAAAACGGCGGGAATCAAACTCCCTGAACAAACATGCTAAGGAAAGTGGACATGCCATAAGATCTATAAGACATTATACGGCGTAGAGAACGACGATGCAAACTACAACACGGCTGTACAATTTTAGAATGAAGGCGAGCTAGGTCAATATTTGTCGGCGGGAACGCGTTTCAACAGACGCTGCTGTGCCAGCTCGAGGGCCATTACAGGCCGGTTTGGGGAAATCAAAGGCTGCCGAGACACAGCTCCGAGATCGTGTATACGACAGATCGCTTCGATGTGTTGAAGCATGAAAATACCGCAACTCGAACTGTCCTTTTGCTGAGGAACAGGCTGAGGCAGAACGAGCAGGTACTATATGAGTATCATTGCCAAGCGGGAAGACGAAAGTGCAACTTACTGGAACGAGACAGTCCCACTCGTTTGGTCGCAAAGCTTCACCTCGGAAGATGAGATGTAGCTCCGACAGCCAAGTCCCAACCGCCTGTATGGAGTAGAAGTCAACAAGGACTCGAGATGGGAGAGAGATCCGAGAGGTTCGTACTTGAAACACGTTACGGGCCAACAGAGCAGCAGGGTCGCCAGAAACGTCTTGCTCGGCGGGAATTGATTCGGCATCCCTCGCGTGCAATCCTGATAGTGAGTCTAGAATCGCAATGTGCTTCGAGGGGATGTCAACGATGACCGCGAACCAATGGCGGTTGTCTACATTCCACGGCAGAGCATGGAATTGGTAGTCGAACGGATCGAGGTTGGCCTAGAAGAAGGGGAAAGAAATCAGCGAGAAGGGTTGGAAGCGGCGAGAAACGAGAGGGTGACAAGACTGACCCGCTGGAACCACTTGGCCATAGGGGGAGACTGGTTGAGTCCCGTGGCGTGCCGTTTTGCTATGAACGGTGATGGTTGAGTAGAGTGAATAAAAACGGGGACTAGGCCGTTGTCGAGTTGATGGAAAGTGGATTGGCGCCAATGGATGAGGGTCAGATAGGCGTCGATGGCTTGGTCGTTTAGCCATTTGCCTGTTCTGAAATATTTGTAGATCGGGGGGTTGCCGGGTATACGGATAGCGCTGGGAGTAGTCTGATACCATACCGGAGGTCTCAGCACGTCTGGGGTAGGACACAACTCATGTGTCGAGAGGGTGGTTGCGTTGCTTTCGGGTTCGAAGCAACCAGTGATGAGACGGTGTGCCTGCGGGAAACCCAATTAGGTCAAATCGCTCAGCTATTGCTGAGCCTGGGCAAGAAGAAGAACCTACCCATTCCCGAACGATAGAAGATGCCATAGCACCAAACAGTGCGGAAGGAGGTAGATACGCTCGGCCAGCGTGATCGTGATCCGGCAGAGGGGGAAGGGCGGAAGAAGAGTCCTGAGCCTCGGACTCTCCAGCAGTCGAAGCGATTGCAGCGGGAATTGAGGGCAGCTCCCATTGAATCTGGCGGGCCGCATCCACCCTAGGAGCAGGCTGCTTGTTGGCCTCCCTGATTGACCGCAAGAGGGAGTTGTGAACGACTTGCAGGTCAGAGTCGGGATAGTCGTACCCGGGCAGCGTTGGTGGAGGCGCAGTCGGGGTTGTGCTCCTGGCGGGTTTCGGAGCAGCGGGAACTGGGGTCGGGGAAGTCCCTTGAGCTGGTGGTGCAGCGGCTGAACATGTCGAATGGTCAGGCGACACAAGGCAGGGAGAACGAGAGGGATGGGAGCTCACTGTTGGCATTCTTCTGGGAGTGCGAGGAGGGACTGCGGGATCCGTCCTTGCTGCGATCGGGATCCGGCTCAGTTCGACCCGTTCGAAGAGGAGTCAACCTCGCTGCAGCGCCGTCCGGCTTGGGAGTACGACTAGAAGACCTGGACATGAAATCGAGGAGAGATCGCTGCTTGTTGTCGCCGGTGGGAGTGACGGGAACTGAGCCTGGCCCTGTGCGGGAATCAAAATGGGACTTTTGGGTGGAAGGTGGGGTAGGCGGGTTCTCCGGAGCTGTGAGCGGTGATGAGACAGTGTTTAACACACACGTGCAGAAGATGACATGCTGGAGCTAGCGCTGGAGGGGAACAGGCTTGATATACTTACCAAGAGTAGAGTTCATGCCGTTCAAATCGGTAGTGCTCGAGAGTGAACAAGCGGGAGGAGTAAATGTAAATGGAAGAAGGAGATAGATAGTTATGGAGTGTTTCTCGCGCAAAAACAGTAGAAAAAATAATGCTTGTTTGTGGTCTACAGTGTTATATACTGCGAGGGAAGGAAGGTCAAGATAGGTTTTGGCTTGCAGGACGAGACAAACAAAGAATATGAACGTATGTACAAAAGAATGTCAGACGTCGAATGAACTGAAACACCGTGATCTGTGATGCGAGAAGCATTTGAGTAGTTTAACAGGGAGGACAAAAGAGCTGTTTTTCTGCGGGAAACAGGTTTTACGTGCGGGAAGAGAATAAGCGAGCAATTGTAAACAAAAGACTCAAAGGCGACACGTATCTGACCCAATTTGCGCGTGAGATCGCGCGCGGCCTACAAAGCGGTCGCTAGCATAGAATTAAGCTGACGCGTGGTCGACCCGTTTGCCTTGCCTAGGCTTTCACGCGCACAGGGATAGGTGCAAATTACTTCCGCTAGCTCGTCGGATCAGAGCGAAGGGGGGTCGCTTGACCGTCGAGGAAGGGATGGCGACATCTTGAACTCTCTGGCAAGACTTGAGCAGGAGGCGAGTAGGATTTAACCACCGTCAGCTCGTCATTTCTGACCACCTACACTAGCTACGTAATGAATACACCCGTGTTAAATCTCACAAACGAGACATAGCCGGTTCAGGTTCATCACCTGACGCTCGATTCGCAAGATGGACGTCTTTCGAGTCTCGGACGGGGCTTTCGAGCAGCTAGACGTCAGCCTGCATGACTTTCCATCGTTAGTCGTTCCTCAGAATCTCTTAGTATTCAGCCCGGACTGGGAATCTAACTTGCTATTCCTTTCAGCCTGGACGCCCTGCGCAAGGCCATATCCAAGCTGATCGACATCCCGCTCGAGAACCTGATCCTCTTTCACTCATCCGGTTCACAACTATCTGAATCCCTCTACAACGAGCTCGGTAACCTCGCTGCGGCCGAGTCGTTCCACCGATCCAGATTGATACCACAGGACTCGAACGTCCCCGGTCCTCGCTCCAACAGTCATCGGAATCATCCTAGCCAAGTCCAGTACGACCTCAATGGAAACGAGATACACTTGCCGGGATCGGAGGATAAAGGAGGTTCGGGGATAGCGCTGTACGCGTTTGATAGGGAGAGCTTTATGGCCGATCCGCACGAGTTTGTGAAGGGTATCGAGGAGGATCTGATGCTTCCAGCAGCGCTGCCAGGTAAGTTTCGGCCTCCTTATCTGGGCGTATCACCATTTGCTGATCGGACGAAGATTTACCCCTTGTTCAGGACAGCCTGGATTTCACACCCCACAAGATATACTTGATCACTTCAACGTCTACCTCGATCATCTGCACGATATATCGGATCGTCTGCACGCCCAGATACGGGGGCTCGACCTCGCAGGAGGTAGCCTGGGTGATCACCTCGACCGATTGATCCACGGCGAATCGCGGGATCGCGAAAGGGTTGACGGACATGGGGCGACTGGAAATATCTCTGCGAGTGCCAGAAGTGTTGGATTTGCCCCAAAGCAGATTGACGGACCATCCGGTTCGGGAACACGTCCGCCGACTCTTACACAGTTCAGGACGACAGTAGACAAAGAGCTCGAGCGGGAACGCAACCTTATATGGAAGGCCGACGAGGACGGAGACGCGCATGTCAACGCACCATGGGGAATGGAGCAAGACCTGCTCCTCATCTCCAAAATCGAGATTGACCCTTTTTTCCTGACCAAGACAAAGAATAAGAAGGACGGCCGGCGGTCCAGCATGGAGATGGGAAGGGTCGTGAGTGGTTCAAACACCAAGGGCGAGGCTAGCAAGGATATCCAGACCAAGAAAAAGTTTCTGGGAGACTGGGTCAGTGAAGCCAAGATGCGGACAGTTAGGGAGAGTTGCCGAAAAATTTATGGTGCGTCATGATGAGGTGGCAAATCACGGATGTAAGACTTACTGGCATACATGATCAGACGACCACCGTCGTAAATCGACGCATTTGCTGGTAACTTTTGACGAGATGCAGCATTCGGCAGAGGAGATCTTGGCATCCATACCTTTACTCGTGCAGGAAGCGGTCACCGCCTCGGAAGAGGTCATGCAAGATGCCGAAACGTTGGCTACAAGGAGTCGAGATTTGCTGGAACAGGAGATGAGCACAAGCTGGGATAGTGAGTTGATCAAGCAGGACCTACTGAGACTTCTGGCTAACACCTCCGACATTCAGCCCTGCTGTATCTGGATGGCAGCATGAGAGAGCAGATTGTCACCATGACGGAACTCAAGGTGACTCCATATTGTGTCTTCTCGTTTTAGCAAGACTTCGCAGGACTGACCCAGTCTGAGTTGCTCTCGTAGAATGCGTTCACCCTAAACCTACATATCCATCTCCACGCGATATCCGGCCAACAAAGTGTCATTTCGGAATTATCGCCTCAAATGGTCGTGCTAGAGGAATCACTTTTATCGACCAGAACCTTAGCGAAGACTGGGTTCCCCCATCTGGAGCGCTTGCGCAATATGACATATGCGTACGGCATGGCCTGCATCGAGATAGTCTGGCGCAAAGAGCTGGGGAATCTCCTACACGGAGGGGCTAGCAAGATCATCGACTCGCTTGGAGTGCATCTGGAGGCTGAGCGAGAACGAAGACGCAAATTCAAGGACGACATCTTGGGCTTGTTGCCCTATGACGTCGAAGCGCTCCACATCAAAGGAGAGGAAGGCGAATTGGGGCCCAGTGTGGACCTGTCCGTGGACTCGGGCGACCTCGACCTCGAAGAATGTGATTTTTCCCTGTTGACGGTTACAGGTGAGTCTTTGTGGTCTGCTTACCAGGAGCGCGGTACTGACTCCGTGATTGCTGTTTACCATCGACTTCGTTCAGACATACTGGAGTTTCTGTTAAACCTCCAGGGAGACGCCGCCTTGATTCCTCACGCGAATAGCAGCACGACACCGCTTTCCGACAGTATAGCGAAGCTCAAATTGCAAGTCGAAACTATGGCGCTCAGTCTCGCTCGCATTCGGGACGTTTGGGAACTTCAGAGTGAGTCCGTCTAGTCTCGCTCAGTAGACTCGATGCCTGCTCACCACAGAATCGCCCTTCAGAAATTGAGCCAATCCCGGAACGGCCTATGCCAGCGAAGAGTCCCAGCGCCCTCACAAACGCGTTGCGGGCGCAATTGCCCACAGCAACGCTGGGCGGAACACAGCCGTCTACTCAGTCAACAGATGCAGCACATCTGGCCAATCAGCTACGTGCGGCCGAAGCAGACAATGCGGAGTTGCGCGAGCGCTTATCGATACAAGAAGATAGAATACCAGCACCCAGTCCCGGCGATTCTGCATCAGAATTCACCCGCCAATTAGAAGATGTCAGAGCAGCTTATGATCGGGAGAAGCTGAGAGCAGGACAGTTGACGTCGCAGTTGGAAGCGGAACGCGAGGCACATCATATCCAAATGCAGCAACTAGAACTTGAGAGGTCTCAGATCTTACAGGGCTTATCGGACGCCCGTAGCGACGAAGAAGCTCTCGCGAGAAAGGTTTTAGATCTCCAAGCCGAGCTGGAAAGTGCAACTCACGGGATCGAAGAATTGAAGGTAGAGCGAGGCGAGGCGTTGCAGCGACAAGCTTTGCTGGCCGAGACTACCCTTCGCGAAAAGATGGCAGAGGCTGACGGCGATCGAGCGGTATTGGAGCACCAAATCGCTGGTCTCGAGGATCAACTGTCACAAACAAAGTCGAAAGCGACACAGGACCTTGATCTGGCTAACGCCAAGCACGTAAGAGAAGTCAACAGCTTGAAAGCAGAGATGGGAATGCTCAAGGCTGAGTTACGAGACTCGCAACGCAAAGTATCACAGGCCAACGACATCGTTATTCAAGAGAAGGATCAAGCTGGGCTGGCGCGGGCAGAGAAGGAGAAGCAAGAAGAATTCAGCAAAGAGACGATCAAGGTGGCCAGCGCATTCTACGATTGCATCTCGCGGCTTCACTCTGCGATCCAATCGAGCGCGACTATCTCGGGTTCCACTTCTGGTCTTTTGCCCGCGGTATCGGACCGGGACGATGCTCGGCCGGTCAAACAGTCTACGAGCTCGTCGCTCGTAAGCGCCGATTACTTGCTGGTCGAGCTTCAGGCCATGAAGTCCTTTGACCTCACGGCCTTTTCCGAGTCTGTCACCCGCACGATGGGTTTGGTCAAGAAGTGGCAAAAGTCGTGCAAGCAATACCGAGAGCGCTCCAAAAATCAGATCGCCTTTGCCAATTTCACGAAAGGCGATCTGGCATTGTTCTTGCCCACTCGGAATGCGACCGCAAAGAGCTGGGCCGCTTTCAACATCGCCAGTCCGCATTATTTCCTTAAGCCTACACCTGGAATCGAACAGTTGATGGAGGAGCGCGAGTGGATCGTGGGAAGGGTGATCGCAGTTGAGGAGGGGAGGGTAGGAAGCGCTGGTACCATAGAGGGCACGACAAATAAGAACCCGTACGGTCTTGCGGGTGGCATCAAGTATCACGAGCTACAGGCGGAGGTCTACGTTCCGGTTCCGACGAAACCTAGAAGATCAGCTTCATCTGGTAGCCAGACCGGTCCCGGTACCCTGACGAGACTATCAACCATGACGGGCACACGACCGTTGACCACGCCGCTCAATCAGATATTGTCGCCGAACGAACGGTCGAGCTACTTTCCTGCTCTGCTCGACGGTTCGGGGCGGCCACTGCCAGAGCGAATCAGGTCTTCCCAAGAGGATGCGCTGCATCCCAGGCGCCCCTCTCACACGGCCAGCATCGTTCATCCCGAACTATCTGGTATGGTGAAACCGATCAAGCGACCATCTAGCGTGTGCTCCTCCGCTTCGTCGAATAAGTTCAGTAAAGGCATACAGCTCGGAGTGGGAGGAAGCGGCAAGGGCGGCAGCGTTGTTGGAGTGACAAGAGAGGGCTTAGTTGGCCGCATGGCGAGACCGTCTGGACAACTCGAAGAACCCAGCCCGAGGCTGACGAAGGCAGATCTGCCGGGTTCGATGGCGACGAACCTCGATATACCTAGGTCGGGGAAAGATGGTCGACGAGAATCGTTCGTCGGTACGAGCGAGCAGGAGACCAGCCCCGGCTCTTTGAAGCTCGTGAATAGCGGGAAATACGCTCGCATGGCTGGTTTACGAGCGAATCTCGAAGCCGTGTCGAGTGGTACATCGCCGGGGAACAGCAGGAAGAGCCTCAGTGTCGGCGAAGGGGCTCTCGACATACTGAAGCGCATCGGGGAAGGCAAAGCGGACAAGATAGAGCGAGATGCTTGATCACCTTATGATTGCCTCAACCTACATACTGTATAGCTATGTATTCGATAGCCGAACCGTACCTGACGAGATTAAATTACGTTTCTGTGAATCAGCACACAACTTCGATATCTGTTGGATCTGTTGGATCTGGTGAACGCGGCGGGCGCGAGATCCAAGGACTACGAGTCGAAACTCGAAACGCTAGATCACCGGGAATGACCGCCGTTGGCTATCGAGACCTAGCCAGATCCTACAAATTTAAAGTACACGACTGTATCATAGTTTGTCTCCCTGTCGATCTAGGCCCCAAGCCAAATTCCACTACAGTACATCGGTCGACCTAGAATTACCTTGTTGACATGGACGTCAAAGAGTCCTCGCCTGCTGGGTCTGGGAATGCCAGTCCTTTCGTTCATCCTGATCGACAGATGAGTATTGTTAGTACGTCGGCCGATGCCCCAGGCTCTAGCGCTGCCGGCCGTACCGGCACGAGTGAAACTGTGGGAAATCCTAGAGGGGAGGGTCCGAGCGGGGGCGAGCCTGTCACGAAGTCAGTCATACCGGACTACCGCTATCCGCACGTCTATTGCTGACCTATCTCTGTTTCAACATCTCGTAACGTTTCTAGGAGGCAGAGAACCTTGGGCAACGAAGAAAAGAAGCGTGGGCAACGATTATTCGGGAATTTGTTGGGTACTCTGAACCGATTCACGAAAGAGGAAAAGTCACAAGCTGCTAGTGACAGGGTGAGTTCGGATGGTACAGACGTCTTCGAGGACAGCTTTCTGAACACATTTGATTTAGGCCAAAGCAAGACAAGAGGTCGCGGCTAGGGTTGCCAACAAGTTGCAGGGCGAATCGAAACGAGTTCACGAGATCAACGAGCATGAAAAGGAGGTCAAGTCCGCTCGCCTGGAGTACGAAAGGGTCCAGAACGCCCTAAGAGAGGCAGAGATGGAGGTGAGTCCACGGAAGATCGCCCAGTAATAGAGTTATAGCGCTGTAGCCTGAACCCAATCCCCTCCGCCAGGCAAGAGTCAAGGCGCAGCATCTGCCGTACGTTTCCGGCTTTTTGCTGACCGGTTCTAGCTGGGTGGACAAGGCCAACGGGTCGGGAGCTCTGATCATGGCATTGGGACCGCCTCAAGATGCAACGATGGCGGGTAAACCGAAGCCCTTGTACTACGTCAGTATAGGAAGTTTCCAGGACCTAGATGTTCCTGCAGCTGACGGTGCTCTTTGCTCACGAACCCATAGCGACCTCGAAAACTCCTTCCGGAACAAGAAGACGTGCTCGACGATCAGGAAGCCAAGGCTCGTGAGATCATCAAGGAGGATGAGGTCGCCCTGGATAAGCTTCGTGCAGAGACCAAGGAAAAGCTGGCCGCCTTGTCTGAGAAGCGTACGACTGCACAAGAAAAGCTCGACGGGTTCCGGCAGCAGGACGAGGACAAGAAGATCGAGAACCTCGCCAAGAGTATGGACATCGACCAGGGGAGTGCGCCGAGCATCGCGATCAAGGGAGAGGCGGGCGAGGTGCCGGTCGGTGAGAAGCCGAAGGAGGACGTGGACGAGAGCAAAATCGTCAAGGACGACGTCGATGTGGAGATGGACGTCGATGACGCTGGTCGTGGTGGCCGTGAGGGCGACGAAGTCGAGTATTGATGAGTATTTGTTCTGGCTATCACTCTGAAAAGGTTCGGTCCAAGTGGTCGTCGAGGACCCGTTTTGTGTGTTCTTGTCTTTACGATCTCATCTTACGATGTTCTATCATGACAATTGTGTGTCGTATGTATGGTATATGCATTGCCCATTATGAGCTTAGAATTGTCCCGTAAAACGGCTGCGTCGCGCCTCGCTCCATTAGTATATAAACCGCCTGCCTTCTCCGCCTCCCCCCACTCCTCACTCTGTACTCTACGCAACACATCAACCTCGATTCATGGTATTTCCGGCCCCCTTCTTGTTGATCTCGGTGTAGACCGCCCAATCTTCTTCCTTTTTCCGCTTTTGTTCCTCCTTTTCTTCGCCATCATATGTCCCATCCTGTTCTGAAGCTAGTTGCAAGACTTCGGTGGATGTCGGGGCGTTCTCCGAGGCGGCCCTGGTCATGTCAGATTTGTCAGTATACTCATCTCGTCCCTCTTTCTGGAAACGCGAGCAGAGCACACGACTCACCCGCCACCGCTCAAGATGTTCCCTCGTCTCCTCTCTTCCTCCAAGTACTCGTCGATCGTCATCGTCGGTAGTCGATGGGGCGACCTGTATACCTCGGCCTCCAATCTGGCTCGATCGGATAGGTCCTGCAGGCCTGCCGAAGGGAGGATCGTGAACGGTTGAGTGGGCTAATGATGGACGATTAGGGTAACAGGCGATTAGACAGCCGGTCAGCAAATTCTGCGGAGAGGCTGTAGTCGTCCTTGTTGAACATAATTCACCTTGCCTCGATCGTCAATGAGCGTCGCCACCCTCCCCCTCTCTTTCCGTCTGACGAGATCCATATCTAACCTCCACCTCTCCTCTTCCCTCAACCCGACCCTCTCTCCCTCTTGTTTCCGCCTAGCCCGCTCCCGCTCGTCACGTTCCCGCTGTTGGTCCTCTTCGATGATCTGCGCCGACATGCTTGCGGATTCCAAGAGGGATGTTTCTTGGGAGATGGACGATAGTTGTGAAGAAGTCTGAATGAGGAGTAGCGTGAGGAGGGAGAGGGACGCTTGGCGGATGTGGGCGTTCGAGTCTGGGTTGACGCTGGTGCTACTGCTGGCATTGTTCGAAATGTTCAACCTCGACGTCGCCTTCTCGATCCCATCTGCCCCGGTAGAAGAGTCACCACCACTTTCTTCCTGCGTTTCCTCCATTAACGCTAGAATACCTGCCAAGGGGGATGAGCTGACATCTACGCCAGGAAGACCAGCCGAGACTTTCTCCTTCCATTCTTTCTCTAGACGGTATTGCTTGATCTTGGCGTCTCTCCGAGCGGCAGGATCGGAAGGGCTATACCTTGACGAGGACGAAGAGGAAGATGGGTCGGAGGGGTAGGTGAAGCCAGGCGGTGTCGGAAATGAATATGATTCGAGTAGGAAGAGAAAGGATTCGTACGAGTTCTAGGTAGAATTCCATGCAGTTTCATTTCAGCTCGATGATAGAACCAAGAAGGGCTTCTCATGTCTCACTGACCTGACTCGATTTGAGCATCTTCAACCGCTCCTTGAGGCCATCCCCGTTCACTCTGCCCAACACCTCCCCCTTGATCCACTCGACGGCCATCAACGAGAGCTCTGCGTCACCCACATCATCCATGGATTCGTTATCACTGAAAACTCCCAATGTGCTAGACATCCTGATGACCAGGTCGAGGTCGGTAAGAGCATCTTGCAGTGTCTGTTGGGTAGAGGGTAGCGAGGTCGAAACGTCGTCGTTGAAAATGGGGAGGAGCGAGCGGAGCGCTCGGGCGTACAGCGCCGGTAGGGTCAGGTTGGATGTGTTGGACATGATGGTGGGCTACGATCTGTTATGACATGTACCCAGCTCGCAGACGACGCTAGGTTGGTGAATCTGCTAGAAAGCTAGAAGTTGGATCGCGAGGTTGACCCCCCTTCCAAGAGTTACGAAGCACTTTGCCCGATGCCGTCACGGGACTTACGAGAAGCGGATTGAGCGGAGACTCGACGTCGTTGTTCTTTGGCTTTGGGCAGCGGAATGTTGTCGATGTGGGAATCACAGCGAGCCAAGCTCGTCTCCTTTGATCATTCGAAGGGACATACACATACAAACACACTACACCCCACACCTTTCGCCCTTCCTCCTGGACCAAGAAGGTATACATAACCAGACAGTCGCCCTCACACTTCAGCAATACGCAACCCGTCACAGCAGAGCCTAGCGACATCTACCACAGGTGAGCAACCGCTCAGGCGAAATGTAAACATACCGCCGGCACAGCAAGCTGATCTGATTTTGGTTCGTTTTCATTCTGTTATCTTTCAGCTAGACAGGCTTCCACAACCCCAATCAAACAAGCACATCCCCTATATTCGCAACTATGTCTTACGAATCCACCCTCGCTCACCTTGAAGAACACGGCCAAGGCCATCTCTTGGCGTTCTACCATCAACTCCCCGAGGACCAGCAATCCTCCCTCTTGAACCAGATCAAGAGCATCGATATCCCCCGTGTCAATCGAATCTTCCAGACCGCCATCAAGGCCGACAAGGATGCTGCCGAGGACGAATCGAAAGAGACGCTCGAACCCCTCCCTTCGTCCGACACGGCTTCTACCACCGACCCGAAGGTTGCAGAGTCGTCTGTTCCCAAGTGGAAAGAGACGGGTATGAAGGCTATCAGGGAGGGCAAAGTCGGGATCATCCTCATGGCAGGGGGACAGGGGACCCGGCTCGGTTCGTCTGCCCCAAAAGGTTGTTACGATATCGGTCTGCCCAGCGGCAAGACGTTGTTCAGGATGCAAGGGGAGAGGATCAAGAAGCTCGACCAGCTTGCCGGAGGCGAGAAGGGACTGGTGTGGTATGTGATGACGAGCGGGCCGACTAGGAAGGAGACGGAGAAGTACTTTAGGGACAGTGGGTTCTTCGGGTTGGACGCCGAGAACGTCGTATTTTTCGATCAAGGTGAGTTTAAACGGGTTGGCATACCGATAAACGATGTGTCAAGCGATCTTGACATTTGTGGTTGACGTATTCACGTGTTCGTAGGTGTTCTTCCGGCTTTGACGAACGACGGCAAGATCTTTTTGCAAGACCGCTCCTCCGTAGCCGTCGCACCTGATGGCAACGGAGGTCTTTACGCCGCCTTGCGTCAACCCCTTCCCGATCTCCCCGGCAACATGAGCGTATTACAACACATGCAATCTCGAGGGATTCAACACGTCCACGCCTACTGTGTCGACAACTGTCTCGTCCGAGTGGCCGATCCCGTCTTTCTCGGCTACTCGATCGAGAAGCAGGCAGAGACGGGTGCCAAGGTCGTCAAGAAGCGTCATGCTACCGAGAGCGTCGGCGTCTTGGCCAAGAGGAACGGCAAGTACGGGGTCGTCGAGTACTCGGAGATGGGAGAGAAGGAAGCATCGATGAAGGACCCTGAACACCCGGACGAGCTCGCCTTCCGCGCTGCCAACATCGCCAACCACTACTTTACGCTCGAGTTTTTGCAAAAGATGGAAGCGCTCGAGCAGAAGATGACCTTCCACATCGCCCGGAAAAAAATCGCACACGTCGATACCACCTCGGGTGAGGCCGTCAAACCGAGCCAACCGAACGGGATGAAGCTCGAATTGTTCGTATTCGACGTCTTCCCCTTTACCGAGCGCCTGGCCGTCCTCGAGGTCCCTCGGTCGGAAGAGTTCAGCCCGCTCAAGAACGCTCCTGGGTCCGCTTCGGATTGCCCAGAGACGAGCCGGAAGGACATCCTGGCTCAACACGCTGGTTGGTTGAAGAACGCCGGGTGCGAGGTCGAGGAGGGGTGCGAGGTGGAAATCGACCCAAAGGTCAGTTATGCGGGAGAGGGGTTGGAGGCGTTCAAGGGCAAGAAGGTCGGAAAGTCGGTGATCATCGACAGCGTCGACCTCGCCGACAAGCTCTAGTTTGCAATGGCGACGCACACAGGACGAGGACCATCACTCGACCCATCCCCGCCCCCTCAACGGCAAATCATGGCTTCTGCACTTTCCGTTTCCGCTATATTCACGACCCATACAGCATGTATCATTCTCTTCACATGTCGGTCCGCTTCGCTTGTCGAGGTGGACAGACCCGCCACGGCCCGTTTTACGTTATAGCATATAGAGATTCTGCTTATATGAGATTATACCTGATCGTTCGTGTGCGGTATTAATCAAGGCGATTTGTCATATCCATGCATCTACGGCGTCCCATAACGCCCTAATATGTTCATCAGAGGAGAAGAAGTGGTTCCCGCCCTCCACGACTACCACTGTCAGCCTGTCATTCTCGCTGGACCCTGCAATCTTGTCGAAGTAGCGCTGATAATCCGACGTCGACGAGAACTGGTCCCTGTCTCCATACGCCAGCAAGACTTTAGGTTCAGTTTCAGTTTCATCACCAGAATCAGCCTCGATGATTCGCTTGGTAGCGCTCGTGTACGAGCTGAATTTGAACGGGACGAGAAACATTGCGGTCATTCCTACTGGAGGCGAGATCAGGATATGTCGGACCGTCAGGGTCGCGCCCGGGCGGGATTTCTGGAGCTGGTCTAGCAGGTCCCGAGAGGGCGCGTAGACGGACGCTGCGAGGGCGCCGAACGAATAGCCCTGCGTGAAACAGTGTTGCAGTAATGCAAAGATCTTCAGCAGACTATCCAGATTGTATGCAGTGGAATATAAGGCTTACACAACAAAGCAGCTTGACCCGATCCGCGCTCACTGCTCGACTTTTCGTCTCTGTTGCGACGAGCCACTCGACGACCGCACCATAATCTCGCCGTTCTGCTTCTCCCGTCCAAGAAGCTCTGCCGGTGGATGATCCGGTTCCACGAGAGTTATAGACCAGCATCGTGATCCCTCTGGCAATCAGACCGACGGCGATCCTCGTAACGACACTAAGAGTAGGTTGTGACGATTAGCATACACGTAGGGCATCACGACCGCTTCGGTTACTAGGCTCACCGATCCCTCATCGTGCCGCCCAGAGCAGGCCAGGGATGAGCCACGACAGCATAAGTTTCAGATAAACCTGATTGTGATACATGGAAGTTGGCTTTTCAGTCTCCTATGCGACGATAGGGATGGGGATGTAGGAACAGCTAATCACGGTCATATCTGGGATTGGCTCGCACGAGCACCGCCTCGAGCTCAACGGACCCGCCTTCAATAGGTATTCGGCAGGGGGTCTCTACCACTTTCGAGAGCATCCTTCGCTGTCATATTAAGGATGCTGAGAAGGTGAGTGGGTATCAAGATACAATGACGTTGTAGGTTGGTGATAGAGGGGGGAACTTGAACCAGAGAGGTTGTGAATAGGTGGGGTCCCCAGCCCTTCTTGCGCTTTGCCCGCAACCAGGGTCGACGCGCTTCTGACGAGGCAAATGCGAAGCGGATCCGAAGCGATATGTGTGTTGAGCTCACAACCTTTTGAAGGAAAGTTCGATCGATCTGACGACACCATCAGCTCGTCTTATCACCACCTCCTGCAACAACCGATTGATAGAGCTTTAGACGACCCCGACGCCAACACATAACGGGGAAAACTATCGTCAATACTGTATATTGTACCCGGTCTGAAGAAACAGGATATACCCTAGAAGATCATCTGCAATCGTGTCCTCCAAAACAGCTTTCAAGCGACTGCAAGCGCGGCCCGGCATGCGGGCAAAATCAAAGGTCGAGGAATGGATGAACAGTCCGGGAGAGGCCACTGGGAGTGATGACGAGGAGGACGATGAGGCCCGATCGGATGCTTCTGAGGATGGCGGCGAGGGTGCTGCCGAGGAACTGGATCTCGAGGTCATCGACAGGAAGGTGTTCAAGAGCAAGACTGGTGACAGGATCAACTTTCTGAACAAGGAGATCGGCATCTCGGCAGAGTGTGAGCGTTATTTGATTGGTCTTGTTTGCGAAATGTAGCTGAAATGGAGACCTCTCTCTAGTCGCCAAGTCAACGGAAGCTCTCGATTTGATCAGTCTCCTAATAGACGGTCTCTTCCGTCTGTCAGACGACAAGTCACACTTGGCGATCATCCGAGTTCTTGTCAAACTCGCGCAGAAAGAATCGGAAGACGAGAGTGCCGAGGGCAAGGATAGGCTATGGAAGGTCATCATCAAGACGGCACACGATGAGCTGGAACGAGCTAGTTCGCCTAGCCGGACGTGAGTTACAGAACTTACCAAAGGAAGCTCTTACATGTCGCAGCCGGGCTGACATCACCGCCTTGGCTTCAAAATCTCGCAGAGTCGCTACGCACAACCTGTATCCTTTCATGACACTCGCACACGTCGCCTGGGACACTCTGGCGAGGAGCCGACCGGATTTTGCTACAGAGCCTATCTTCAAGCCGCTCGTCATCTCGATGGCGTATGCCTTGGATGGAATCTTGACGCCGAGAGAAGGAAAGGCCAGAATGAAGGATGCAATGCAGAAGGGTGCTGTGATCAGGACCCGCCGGGTGCTTCGAGGCGTGAGTCGGGCCTGGCCTGTGCGTGTCCGCTAGACGTATCATCATGCTTAACCTTCCTCTTATTGCGCTCGACCGCAGAACTATCGTCTCATCTCGGAGACATTCGAAGCTCTGCATCAGGCTCTTCCTAAGATTGGCGATCGGCTGTTACCCATGCTCGGCGTGACCATGGGTGTTGCGATCCGTTTGAAGATCGCACCGAAGCAAAAGGATGCAGATCAGGAGCTGCTCCGGGACAAGTACGCTCGGGTTTACAAGGAGCAGATGACCAAGATTTTCGTCGAGAGAATCTTGAACGCCAAACAGCCCTTGCCTCGTCGAGCATATGTGAGTGGAGCGCTGTGCTCGACCCGACCATGACTCTAGCTTCATCCTGACCCGATTAGCACATGACAGGCCGCTTTTGACGACTTGTGGACGGTGTTGGCAGACTCCAAGGTTTTCCTGGAGACGATCGTACCTGCGGTTGACAAAATGCTCACCAGGAGTCCTGAAACAGGTTTACCGGGTGAGTCAGCCATAAGATTAGCTAGAGCACACGCTGTGCGAGATGCTGATTCCTCTATTGTCATCAGTGATAACCCACATCTGTGATATCTCGGCTGTGGACCTGTCGGCTCAGGTACCACAAAAGCTGGTCCCAGGAATGATATCTGCTACAAAATCAGCCAAAACGGAGAACCGGGCAGCTGCTGTATCATTCGGTATTTCGCTCGCCAAACGACTCGATGCTCAAGCTCAGGGCAAGATGATGCAGGAGACTCTGGCTTTACCGATCAGCGGCAAAACCACCGGGCCCGAGAACCGGATAGCGCTGTTCGAGGTCGCGGCCTCGATACCTGCCAATTCGTCGACCTCGGGACTTGCAGCTTCTGGCTTGATCCCGCTTCTGTCGAAAGAGACCAACGAGACGGCCGCAGAGGCATTGTGTGCCGCTCTTACCCGGCATTTGACCTTCTGCACGGCTGAAGATGTGGGTCAGCCCGACGAGAAGTGCTTGGCTAGCTTGAAGAAGGATGTGACGTCCATGAAGACGGTGCTCAGGCGGCAAGTCCTCTTGACGATCGCCGACGCTCTTTGGGCAAGCGACGCTTCTGCTGCGTGGTCAACCGCGGGTTCGAAGATGGCAGAAGCTATCATTCCCGGTCTGGAAACGGCTTTCAAATCAGCGTCGACATTGCTTCCCACCAGTGCTACGGGTGCGCTGCTCGAACCTTACATGGCAGTTGCTCTGGTTGGAGGATCTCTGGCTCGCCACTTGTCATCAAACGCAAAAGTGACCAGTCTGCAATCCACCGTATCAGCATTGATGCAAGTCAAGCCAAAACCGTCCTTCCTGCTCAACGACAAGATCTGGCGCAAGGTGCTGACTGATGAGACGGACCCAAAATTGATCACGCGTGTCAAGGTGAGATGGAAGATCATGTCGGTATTCTGCGAGTCAGTCAGCTAACACGTGCTGGTCCAAATCGCTTTATCCAGACGTGGATGCTAAGGGCGTTTGAGGTAGCGGTCGACCGCAATGCGGAACAGAAGGTCGACCTTGCGATTCGGTCCGTACTGACTACACAATGTGATTGTCAGCGGACGTCCTAAGCTGATCTGCTTGTCTGCCTATCCGTAGTCTCGCCGTGACTACTCCTTTGGTTGTCACTGCACTTGAAGGTGCTGAACACGCAACTAGGCAGTCCGCGTTGCTAGCCATCCAAAAGGCCATTGAGCGACATCCTAAATCGTTTGGAGACAACCTCACCGATTCGATCAACCTATGGTTGGATCAGCAGTCGGACGGCGAGCGACAGATCGGAGATAACGAAGGGCACTCATCTCGGTCATTGCAAACCCGGGCCACGACCCAAATGATTGCCAAGCTTATCAAGACCCGAACAGAATCTGCCGGAGCTGATGCTCAAGGCCGATCAGCAACAGATGCTCTGCTTATAGCCTGTCTCCTATTGTTCCATCATCCATATTTCGGAGCCGCTGCAACCCAGGTCTGGCTTGATACTGCGGTCACTGCCGGCTGCGATCCCGCCATCCTGGCCCAAAACAATATGGACCAGATCATGTCAATGGTTCGCGAGACCTTGAACAGCAAAGATGTGGTGAGCTGAAGTTGATAAGTCCATGATGGGGAGGAATACTGCTGATCTGATTCTTACCTTTCAGAACCGCGCTCGCAAGCAAGCAGCGCTGCAAGCTTTGACTACGCTCGTCTTTGTTGCGCCCCACCATTATGTCCCTGCTGTTGTGCAGGAGGTCACTGCTACTATGGATCCCCTCAAACTCGCTTTCATTGGTGAATTCGAGATCGGTGTTTGGTCGACACCTGAGGGCGAGCTTTATGTTGACGGTAGGCTCTTGAATAAATTAGCCCGTTTGACAACAGCAAGCTGACACTTGTCCATTTGTAGTCCTGAGCCAGAAGAAGGAGGCCGTTTTGAACAAGAACAGCAAGACATACGCCCAGGACAAGTGGGACCAAGAAGTCAGGGAGTCCATCGCCAAGAAGAAGGCAGGGTCAAGCGGTGGGGCTCTGTCAAAACAAGATCAAGTCCTCGTCGACGCACAGGTAGCCAAAGAAACTACAACTCGCGCGCAAATTTCCCAGGTCCAGCGTGAATTCTTGCAAGGCCTAGAAGTCTTCAGAGCACTGCTCGACGGGCGGACCGAGGTATTTGACAACCACCTGGAGCAGATTCTTGCAGTCGTCATCGCTTCCGCTGTTGGACCCGCTGCTTTCTTGGTTGGAGATGCTGCATGTGGCCTCTATCTGGTGTGTCGTTTATATCAGTAAAGGATTCGATACATAAAGCTAATATCAGGCCCTGCATTTCTCTAGGATTTGAGCAGGGTATGCCAGGATATCGATGCCAACACCGCTAGGTTCGCTGGAGTCACCTTGTTGAGAGCTCAAGCCAGTCAAGGTCTATCAAGCAATTATTTGATCGAGGACATCACTGGTAAGTTCACTCGACAAGAAGTGAAATCGTTTCAAGCTTACGTTCGGAATTGATCGACCTATAGACCAATGCCTGAGGGTACTGCATAGCCTGCACACCAGTAGCCAGCACGGAAAGATCGATGCGGTCACGCTAGTATACGTTCTTCCTCTGCTGTCATTGGTCATTGCCAGCAGTGGACTTGGCGATGGCGAAGCGAAGCGAGAGAGCGCGCCTGAGCAATTGACTCTGGTCGTCGAGATTCTGGCCAATATTGTCGTCAGCATGAACTCTCTAAGCTATCCCAGACTTGCGGTAGCGCGGGACCTGATCTCTCTGTCGGAGCGCCAACCTGTCCAAGCCAAAGCGGCTATGGCCGCTCTGGCTCGATTGGGTGAAACAATCGCCGAAACGGCAACCGCTGGAGAGGTGCAAGCGCTCATCAATGGGATCCTTTCGCGGGAGAGTTACGTTCGGAACGGGTCTCTGCAAGCTTTACAACCGCTCGACTTGACTGAATTGACTTTCCCCGTCGAAATCTTTATCGGTCGTTTCGACAACGATGAGCCAAATGTGGCCCTAGCCGACTCGCTGTGGGAGGAAAACGGTCTGGACGTCACCAGCGACTACATCGAGAAGCTCCTACCGTTTTTGCAACACGACGTCGCTGTTGTGAGAAACGGAGCTGCACAAGCCATCGCTGAAGCTACAGCGCAATTCCCCGAGAACGTGAAACATGTCCTCGAAGCCTTACGATCGCTATACGTAGAAAAAGCCCGCGTTCTGGCCCCTGAATTCGACAAATTTGGCATGGTCATCCCCGAATCGCTGGACAGACAAGACCCGTCTCACATCAGGGTGGCGGTAGCTCGGTCCCTTCAGGCGCTCAGCCCGCTCATGGCCAAGGCACATGTGCTTGCCCTGTTTGATTTCCTGGTCATCGAGGAGGCATTGGGCGATCGTGCCTCCGAAGTTCGTCAAGCTCTGCTTGCAGCCGGTGTGGCCGTTGTAGACGCGCACGGAGATAAGGTCGTCAGCGAGCTGATTGCGAGATTCGAAGCTTATCTTGCCCAGCCTGCAAACGCCAATGTCGAGGCTGATTTCGTCAAGGAAGGTGTTATTGTCTTGTTCGGACGATTGGCCAAGCATCTTCCGCCTGGCGACAAGCGGACTCCAATCATTATCGACCGATTGTTGCTCGCTCTCGAAACGCCCTCGGAGATCGTCCAGGTCGCAGTTGCCGATTGTCTCCCGCCTCTGGTTAAAGTGGCTGCCGATCAGACCGAATCCTTCCTGGATCGACTGTTCGAGTCCTTGACCACCGGTGCCAAGTACGCCGCTCGTCGGGGTGCGGCATATGGTCTCGCTGGACTCGTCAAGGGACGTGGATTGTCAGTACTCTCCGAAAACGAACTCTTGTCGCGCCTGCAAGAGTCGACGCAGGACAAGAAGAACTACCAGGCCCGACAGGGTGCGGTCTTTGCATACGAAACTTTGACGTCCACCCTGGGACGCGCTTTCGAGCCCTACCTGATCTCGATCATTCCCTCGCTTCTGAGCTTGTTTGGTGACGCTCAGCCGGACGTCCGAGAAGCCACGAGTGATGCTGCCAAGGTCATCATGTCCAAGATCTCTGGACACTGCGTCAAGCAGATCCTTCCTTTGCTACTGTCGGGATTGGATGAGAAGCAATGGAGGACTAAAAAGGGGTCTATCGAATTGCTCGGAGCTATGGCTTTCTGTGCCCCCAAACAGTTGTCTTACTCGCTACCGACCATCATCCCTCAATTGACAGGCGTTCTGACCGATTCTCATGCCCAAGTCCGTACCGCCGCCAACACCAGTTTGAAGACTTTCGGAGAGGTACTCAGCAATCCCGAAATCAAGAAGTTGCAACCGACTCTTCTCAAAGCACTTGCCGATCCCACCAGTAAGACGGCAACTGCTCTTACCGCCTTGCTCGCTACTTCCTTCGAGCATTACTTGGATTCGCCTTCGCTTGCGTTGGTTGTACCGATCCTTGACCGTGGACTAAAGGAGAGGAGCTCAGAGACAAAGCGAAAATCAGTCTTGATTGTCGGAAACATGGCATCTCTGACCGAATCAAGAGACTTTATCCCCTACCTGGGACAACTTCTGCCTTTGATTCAAGCGGTCCTGGTCGATCCCGTTCCGGAAGCGCGAGCAACCGCGGCCAAGGCTCTGGGAACCCTGGTCGAACGTCTCGGGGAGGAAAACTTCCCTTCGCTCGTCACCAAGCTCTTGCAGACTTTGCGTTCCGACACCAGCGGTGTTGACAGGCAGGGTGCCGCCCAAGGTCTTAGTGAAGTGCTTGCGGGTCTTGGCGTCGGTCGGATGGAGGGACTCCTGCCCGACATCATCAACAGTGCATCGAGTCCTCGTCCGTACGTGCGGGAAGGTTTCATCTCGCTTCTCATTTACTTGCCTGCAACATTTGGCCAGAGATTCGCACCTCATCTGGGACGAATCATCCCGCCCATCCTTGGAGGTTTGGCGGATGAATCCGAGTACGTCCGAGAGGCCTCCATGCGTGCAGGTAAGATGATTATTAGCAACTATGCTAGTCGGGCCATCGAGTTGTTATTGCCCGAACTGGAGAGGGGAATGCTCGATCCGTCATGGCGGATCCGACAGTCCTCGATCTCCCTTACTGGTGAACTGCTCTACAAGGTCACCGGTATCAGCGGAAAAGTCGAAATTGAGGAAGACGAAGCGCCTGCGCATCACGCGGACACCGCCAGAAAAGCGCTGGTCGAAGCTCTGGGTCAAGAGGGCCGTGACCGCGTTCTCGCGATTCTATACATCGTCAGGCAGGACGATGTGGGCTCTGTTCGTCAGGCCTCGATTCACATTTGGAAGGCACTGGTCCACAACACTCCCAAGACTGCTCGTGAGATTCTCCCCACTCTCTTCAAGATGATGGTAGATCTCATGGGCAGTGAGATCAACGCTCAGCGCGACGTTGCTAGTCGAACTTTGACCGAGCTTTGTCGCAAGAGCGGTGACCGGACCATTGGGGATATCATTCCCATGATGCGATCCGCTGTTGCCAACCCAATGCCTCGAACTCGAGAAGGTGCTTGTTTGGCTCTGGCCGAGCTCATTGATAATACCTCAAGCGATCATCTGGAGGCTCATGAAGATACTGTCATCGATGCGGTCCGAGCCGCGCTTATTGACGAGGACTCAGCCGTCCGTATCGCTGCTGCTCGTGCGTTCGATGCGCTCCAAGAAGCCATTGGACCGAAGACTATCGAACGCACCATCCCCACTTTGCTCGAAGCCATGCGTACTCCTGGAGAAAAGTCTGAGACTGCTTTGATGGCCCTGAAGGAAGTGATGAGTGTGAGTCTCCCAAGCGCATCGAGTCTTGCCTATGGTTGTGAGGCTAATCCCGTTCGCTCACACCGGCGGAACAGGTCCGAGCCACGACCGTCTTCCCCACTCTACTACCTACCCTTACAGCTCAGCCGATCACGGCGTTCAACGCTCGGGCTCTGGCTGCGTTGGTGACAGTAGCAGGCGAAGCCTTGAGCAAACGCTTGAGTAGTGTCCTCAAACCCCTCGTCAAATCCATGGAGAATGAGAAGGACGATCAGATTAAGACCGAAGTGCAGACCGCTATTCGAGCTCTTTTGTCCTCTATCGAAGACGAAGAGGGAATGGAGACGCTGCAGATGTTGCTGCTTGGGTGGTCAGTCCTGCCAGTGTCAAGCAGGCGTTATTAGGTACTGATCGCAGTTGCTTGTTAACGACAATAGGGCCAGAGAAGGTAAACCCGCCCGAAAAGCACAGGCTTGCCAGATCCTGGCTACGCTTTGCGAGGTCGCCGAAGTTGACGCCTCCGAATACCGTGTGGACTGGGTTACGCAACTGGTGTCGTTGTTCAATGATCCGTCGGATGAAGTTGTACTTGGCGCATGGACCGGTCTGGACGCTCTGGTCAAGTCAATACCCAAGGACGAGTTGGAGGACTTGGTCGTTCCCCTTAGGAAAGGTATCGAAAACTTGTCGGCTCCTGGAGAGGAAGTGGCCGGATTTTCGAGGTCGAAGGGTGCTCAGCCCATCGTCCCTATCCTTTTGGCGGGTCTTCTAAGCGGAACCGAGCAACAAAAGGAGCAAGCCGCTTTCGGAATTGGCGAGCTTGTCCAACGGACTTCAGAAGCGGCCATCAAGCCCTACATCATTCAGCTTACCGGACCGTTGATCCGAGTCATTAGCAGCGGTACCTTGGCCGCGCAGATCAAGGGGGCCATGTGAGTCAGGTTGACGCTCCACTCTTGTTGCGTTAACGCAGCTAACGATATCCATTGTTACAGATTGTCTACGCTCACGGTCCTGCTGCAAAGCGTGCCGCAACTGGTGCGACCCTTCCATCCGCAATTGACTCGAACAATGATCAAGAGCGTGACCGACACCTCAAGCTCTTCCGTCAGGAGCAAGGCCGCTGCGGGATTGGGAGAGCTCATGAAGCATCAGGTGAGTAAATACAACATCGTGTATCAGTACCACTCACTGACCATCGCCATCCTGCCCAGCCACGTGTCGATCCCTTGGTGACTGAACTATTGACCTCAGCCAAGCAGGTTGACGCTGAAATCGCGCCTGCTGTGGTGAACGCTTTGGCCGTAGTGACGGAATCTGCTGGAAAGAATATGGGTGCTCAGGTCAAGGAAGGTCTGAAAGAGCTGGTCGAAGACGCCGACAGCACGCCTGGTAAGCCAATTGATACTACCGAGAGAATCGAGCTGCGATCGGATCTTCTAATACTACTCCGCGCGCGTCATTGTAGGCCCATATGCAACTGCCATCCGGAAACTGAAGCAAGCTCTCTCCGGGGAAACGAAGCCCGTACAACCCGAGAGCGCATCGTATGTAGAGGAATGATATAGATGTGTCACCGTTGTAACTGATTATATTGACATGTATTTGACCCTTTCTGCCAGCCGCACCGCTCCAGTCCCAAAGCCGACAGAGCCACAAGCTGACAAGACGGACACTCTCAAAGCGAAGCCCGAAGTCTCAGCCGCCGTGAAAGAATCGGACGAAAACGAAAAGGTTACAAATGGTACTGCCACCACCCCTACCGAACTCAAGGAAGACGAGCAGCCGGGAGCTCTGGTTCCGATCGCCTCGGTGCCAAAGTTCATCTCTCGAGAAGAGCATATCAGCCTCACGTCGACCACGCCAGCGTCTTGGACCGACATTCCGCCTGTTCTCCATTTCAACGAGGAAGGTGTCAAGATCGAATTTGACCCTGCCTACCGCAATCAGACCGAAATGAAAGGGGACATCTGGGTAACTGAAGGGTGAGAGCTTGTCCACGGCGGCTTCTCTGATCGAGCACACGCTAAACATCGCTTCTTCCCACAGTTCCGTGGCTTTCATGCCGAAAGGTACCGGTAGCACCGGGTTCTCTTTGGCTTACCCAAAAATCACGCTCCATGCCGTATCGAGGAACGCAGATGCAGGCAACTGTCTTTACTGCCAGATCGCCGACCCGTCTGTTGAACCAGTGGCCAACGAATCGGACGAGGACGAGGAAGATGACGAGGAGTACGAGCCACTGAGAGAGATGAGGATATATGTCAAGGACGATGCTGCCCGTGAGTTGGGGACAGCCGCCTGCAATCTATGGATAAGGATAGCTGATTCGCTTCGGGGTGATCGCAGTCGACCGGATCTACAATGCCTTCACGGATTGTGCCAACCTGCATCCTACCCCGAATGATCCCTCGGCTCCGAGCTTCCCAACCGTCTTCGGAGGAGCTTCAGGAGGCGCTAATATGGACTTCAGTTCTGGAGGCTGGATCACTGCCGAAAACATCCATGAACATGCCTTGACGGCGTTCGGCAGCGATGGCGGCGACGGCAGCGACTTTGAGGACGCGGATGACGATGAAGACGAGGATGACGATGATAGCGAGGATGGAGAGGACACCGAATAGAATCCCACAGTTATATACTTTCTCATTAGCATGTAAAAGTTACTTGGCATATAATAATCGCATTGGTTTCCCGACACCGTCCGATTCGAGGTGGAAACAAGGCTTTTGGGCGATGACGATTCCAGGTGGAGATTACGCGATCGAGGTTCGCCTCGGGAAACATCGTCGATCTTTCGGGACTCTGCCGCTACACAACGTCAATATTATATGTGATTGATCTCTAGACACTTGCCTTTGCTTAAACCAGGATATACACAAACTACTTCACAAGATGTTGAGAATCGGCGATATTGTCCAGCGAACGATTGTTGCCAGCTGCATTGGCGTCAGTGTGAGTAGGCCGTGAAGATCAACTCCGATGCTGGTTCGACAGACACTCATGGTGCTGTTCTCAATTCAGGCATGGGCATGTGTCGCTGCCTGGCAGGGTCATCAGGCGAGGATGCACAGAGCGCACGACGTAAGTATCTCTTGCGGAACGAGACGAACGGTGCACCGTCTAATGCCTGCGATCTCAGCTCTGGCTCAAATCTCAAGGCTTGCAGCCGGGGACACTGGTATGTCTCTCTTCTCTGACCTGGAATGTCCCGTTCGAGATCTCATCAGTTTTCGATTTGCTAGCCTCCTCCTCCTTCCGAGCTCAAGGATACTCCTATTCAGAACGGCAACCCTACATAGGCGGAAGATCGAGTTCAATAAAAGGCAATTTACCGTTCCATGGCGTGACGACTCTCCAAGGCCGCTGCGGAATGAACCAGATCGTATTGTAACCTGGAAACCTGAAAGAAGAACGCCGCTGTACCACACAATATCATCGCATTATAAGGACATCCTGTTACAAGGCATTCGGCATAAATCTAGCTAAGGGGCTGGCTAACGGGTTACCTGATCGGGATCACAAGCCTGGTACGGAAGGCATGGACTGGCAGTTTGGCTCTAATTCAGGGGAAGGATTGCAGCGAATTCGAAAGGGATCGTAACGTATGGAGAATCATCAAAACCGCTAGACACAAGGAGCGCTCTATTGGACCTTCATTAAACCCCTAAGGGCTTTGGCCATGCCAAATGCAGCACTAGCGATCTCCTGTCTAGCGGCCTTAGTGAACTCGGTCGCACTCTGGTGAGTGCTCAGCTTGTCTGTGGAATGCATTAGCTCGGCCAGTAATCTTTGCGCCTCGACTCCTTCTGGGCCATCATCCTCGTTCGGAAGGACACCCGATGCAACGGCAACGATGGAAGAGCCAATCGCTATGACTTCCGAAAGGTGATCGTTCAATGCAGAAGTCGACGAGGTCCCGTTGGCGTTGTTGCCGTTACGAATCTCCGCCAGGAGCTGCTGAATCGAATTGACTAGCGCGGAGGATTGGGTTGAGAGGTAAGGCTGTCACATAGCGCTCTCCATCAGTTGTCAATTATAGGACATCGTATTCACGCCAATGCCTCACCTTGACTTCTTCCCATTCTCCGCTGTTTCTCCTAGGTCTTTGCTCTGTCGTCGATTCTGGCAGATCTGTGACGTGCGTAGGGGATTGTCTACCCGGACTTGACCTCCCTGGAGACCTGAGCGGCGAAGAGATCCTGCGCTCTTCTGACCGATGTTGATATGGTGGCTCGGGACTGGGCCAGGATCTCGGTGCTATCGAAGCAGATGGTGGTTGAGGCGAGTATCGGTCAGGGGTTTGACGTTGCACTGGCATGTTCGGCGCCAAGTCCGACGCGAACTGTTGATGTTGCCTGTTGCCCAGGACGGATGCTTTGCGGTCTAAGTCAAACGCGTCGCTGCGTTGACCTGCCGACGAAGTAGATATCACGGAGTCCGCTCGTCCGCCTCGGAAACCCGGTGAAAGAGGCGGTCCCTGGCTGAAGCTCGGTTGTAAAGGGCTGAGCAGCGACTCGCCAGGCGATGGAGGGGGCGACTGGCGCTGTTCCCTGGAATGATCGCCTTTACCGGCAATGACAGAGCCGGAAGAGAAGCTGCGTCTGGTTTGCATCTCGCTGAAGCTCTTGCGAGAGAGTGATGTTGTCGAAGCGCTGGTTTTGATTGTCTTCCGAATCTTCAAGAGCTTGATTATCTCGACAACGTTCGCCGAAACATGACTCGCTGCGGCATCCAGCAGACTAATCGGCGACAAGCCTGCCGACATGGCGTGATTCCGAGCGGCCTGCATCAGAGCGTTTAACGTCGTTGAAGACTGGTGCTTGCAGACGTCCAATTGAGTCTGATCGATGGTAAAGTTGGGCTCGCTCTCCCAATCATGGACGTCCTCGGAGATATCGTTAATCGACTCGACGACGCCTTTCATGGCTTGCAAGACCCCGGTCGGTTGACTCGATCTAACAGGCGAGGTCAACGCCGTCAGTAATAGGACCGAGAGGAAACTGCAGAACAGTCAACGCACCGAGCGATCGCAAGCAGATTGTCGATTGCGCTTTGGAACGCAGTCACATGTACATCGGCGATATTACCGTCAAGAGAGGCTGGCATGTGGTCATCTGTGATCGGCTTCGAGACGAACATAGTGGAGGTGGCTGCAGAAGGGGCATCGAAGGCGATCAGAAAATGCTCTAATCACATGCGTTGTAGCAAGAGATTCACCTTTAAGATTCCGCAACTGCGTTCGAGTAGTCTCCCATTTGCGCTTGTAGTCGGCAGCATCGGCTTCTAGTTTACGTATTGTCTCTGCGTCCTCGTCCCTTTCGACCAAGAGCTCCTCGTTACGCGTGGACACCGCCTTGAGTTCCTCCATAAGGATGATCAGCTCGTTTTGGAGTTCCTTGATCGCTTCCGCCGACTATGTAGCGGAGTGTTAATGGTCAGTCTGTTTTCCAGCCGGTCATTTGGCCGACTCACGTCATTCTCGTCCAGGGTACGGTTGGCACGGCTCAACTGTTCTCGAGCATGTTCGGCTTCTCGCTCGAGCTGGGTGCACCGTTCCTTGAGATGTTTCAACTGCACATCGTCACCTTGTCGGGCGGTCTCGACTTCTCGCTTGAGAGTTTCAGCTTGAGAACGAACGGTATCGAGTTCCCGCTGCATCGACCATAATTCGTTGGCATGGTTCGATGATCGCTATCACCGAGTATGCTGCGTAAATGACCGATACCGATGCCGGATGCGACTTTGGCCAGCGAGACTCACCTCTTTATGGCTTCGCACTTCCTCTTCAAGCTCCTTTGCTCGATCGCGCTCCCACTTCTCTCGTTCGGTCGCAGCCTTGACTTCCTTCTCTAGTGCGGATAGCCGACGCTCTAAACCAGCCGACTTGGTCTCGGCTTCCGAGCGGGCTTTGCGTTCTTTCATGAGATCCGCCATGGCCGTAGCCGTTATACCTCCGCTAGCACCAGTCGCTGTCGCTGTGGACAAGGACGTGATCGAAGGAGAACGATTTTCGTGCGAGAGTCCCCGCTGCATCTCGCTCCGCGTTCGTTGCAACTGTGATGAATTGCTATAACTGGAGGTCCGGTCGCCGTTGGACAGGTTATTGGGTGTTATGTTTCGGTTTCTTGGAGACGGGTCGTCCTCTTCCTCTAGGTCCTCTCGAGCTTCGGCCGGCTGGTACCGCCCATTCGCAGCGGTACCCAGGCGCGACGAGGTCCGGCTCATCGTCTGACTTCGGCTCATGGTCGAGCTCGCCCGACTGCTCTGTCGCTGATGGCCACGCGCCTTCTCTTGCTCCTTTTCACGTTCCCGTTCTCGCTCTCGCTCCTGTTCCAACTCCCGTTCTTTCCCCTTCTCTTCTTCTTCCGTATCCATACCGCTTTCGTCACCCGACACGAGACTATCTCTGCCTTCCCTAGCGTATGGCACTTCGATCCTCTCTTCCGTCATGGTGCTTTTGTTCGGGACGACAGTGTCGTTCATCGAAGACCCGCTGAGAGATTGCAACCCGCTCTGAGATTGCGACGAAGGCAGACCTGGGGCCCTGTCCATCTGGGATGGTCGACGAGCGGGTCCCGGGACGAGTCTATCGGGAGGAGGATTCTTGTTCTTGGCAGGTGAGGTCTGGTTGTTCCCCGAGTTACGGGCTTGCTGGTTGTTCGCCGGCGAGAGCGCGCGGTCGCGAGTAGGCATAGGAGGTTCGTCCGACCGACGTGCCAGGTTGTCGTGAATGTTGGCCCCCGCAGTCGGGGGGTAAGCTGATGTGGGACTATCCACCGTCGGCGACTAGCAGATGATGTGCGAAACAGCTTGATCAGCTCTCATTTCACCATCCCATCCCAAAGCTCATCATCGCTCACCTGTACGCTTTCGGCGAACTCGGGCCAACGTCGCTTGAGCTCGAAATATACATCGCTTCCCAGATCCTTGAACCGGTTTTTAGGCAAGGTTGCGAGCTTTTGACGAGCTTGATTTCGCTTCGGGTGGAAATCCTCTCTAACGGGCAGGAACGGTGCTATGGAACGCAAAGTAGTATCGACCGGTCCGGGGCGTCAGAAACAATGTGAGAAGACACGGTACAACCCCGTGAGGTGAGGAAATAGACGATAGACGAACCTTCAGCAGAGTTTCCCTCTTCGGCATCCCTCCTCCTGACCAACTCGTCATACACGTCCGTGCTCAGCTCCTGGAACTGACTCCTGGTCAACCTCGTCAACTTTTCCCTAGCAGACGCTCTCGATGTGGGGGATTCTATAATAGCCCGGAAAGGTGCAACGAGCGAACTCGTCAGTGAACAATTCGATCATCGCGTTGCACGCCCGAGAGAGAAATATCGAGACTGACCGTTCTCCAACCATGTCCACAAGAACGCCCTGAGCGCCTGATAATGCACCTTGGCGACATCCCTCGCCTGGTCCAACTTTTCTTGCGTGACCTGCTGGGACTGCTGTTGGACCCCAGAGCCCCCACTCGCCGATCTCCCGTTCAGCAAGATCCCTTGAGGAGGTCTCGACCCGGACGGTTGTCGATTATGATATTGCTGACTCTGCCCCGAGCTGGCAGAAGAAGCGAGGTTGTTCGAACTGCCCGATCGGGGTGGGTTTTGAGAAGGAGGGGCTTGGTTCGGTGGGAGCCCGGGAGAAGTGCTCGAGTAGCCACCGTATTGGGAGTAGCTGTAACCGCCTTGAGACGAGGTGGTCGTCTGTGCCGAGGGAGAGAATGGGTGCGATCCGCCTTGTTGGCTCGATAAAGAGGGTCGGGACGAGTGGGTCGGCCGAAGCGGGTTAAGGGAAGGTGCCATTGTGTGCGAGATTCGTCGGATAATCGAGGCCCTCGGGCAAGTCGATCGATCGGGGTTGTTAACGAGCGTTCAGGCGATCGACTAAATTTGTGGTGCGGGTTGAAGTTTACGAGGTCGTTGGTGGGTCGTGTCGATCGAGCTCAATCGAATATCGACATGGAGACTCGGATGGAGGCAAGAGTCCCGCTCCTGGTTGTACTGAGGTACTGGCTACTAGCTATTGATCTGATTATAGCTTCTAATCTGACGAGGTTGGTTTTTCAATTCAATGATAGAGGTAGGTACTACTACTGTTCGCCCTTCCCCTCTAGCAGCTAGCAGCAGCAACCCGGCTCTTTGCGGTCGCGTCCGCGCTCAGAGAACGCGCGCACAGAGAGAGGCACCGCTACCTACTCGTGTAAGCTGCTAATTCCTATTGAAGCATCGCTTTTCGAGCTAGTTTCGGAGAGCTTGCCAGTTGCATTACCAGCAGTAGTAGTGCACCGGAACATTGGGAGATGCAGCTTTGGCGTCGATACGACGTCGATGCCAGCCCTGGCGTTGCGGCGTCCCCAGATCGCGACGAGGAACCCCTATCCTACACTTACATCTGCTGCTACCAAGGCGTTCTCATAGCGGAATCATCGCAGGTGCTGCAATGTTGAGGTACAATTTTCCAGGCTTGAGCTTCACGCTGGCAAGAGGGAAAGTAGAAGAGAGAGGGAGAGAAAGAAGTTCATTTTGAGAGATACGCCGCATATTAGAAGATCCTGGGCCCTGGGGCTCCTTAGAATGTACGCTAGCTACGCTTGTGTTGGGATTAGTAGTACTTGCTAATTGCTAATTACAATTGCTAATCGCTAATCGCTTACTTGGGCGATTTCTCGCGCATCCCCGCGTCGCTCTTGGCCGCCTCCCATACCTCCTGGGGGTCACCCTCGTCATCGTCGTCCATGTACTGACTATCATTGTCGTACCTACTTCTATTTCCATCGACGACAGTCCATCTCGGACCTGTTCTTTAAAAGGAGGTGCTTCCTCAGAAGGACACTGTTAGACATAACTACGTATACATATCAACATGGACAACTCACCAACGTACGTATTCGGGTTGGGCCATTCCCCCGACGTCATTCTTCTGACATACCCAACCTCGATCTCGACTTCGATTCTCTTGGTATAGAGCTTTGTTCGAAAACTATGACGAGGACTTCAAGTCGCTCTTGACTTCCTTGAAGCAGAAGCTGGATGGAGGGGCCATAAGGGATCTCAGTGGAGGTCAGTGCTACAGCCTACCGGACTCGAGTCGTCTAGTCCGCTTTTGATGCTCATCAAGGGCTTTTCTCTGTGAACAACTGCGGCACGATTGACGGAACGCCGAATTACCGAATCGGTCAACCGATGCTGAAACGATATAGAACAGCGGAAGTCGAGCTTGAAAAAGGTCGAAGCCGAGCTGGATGAAGCCGAAGAGATTGTAAGTCCCAGTTCCTTCCTGGCCGGCCATCAAGGCAGTACACAAGTTAAACATTCCTCATTCGATCCACCTTACACAGATCTCACAGATGGAAATCGAACTCCGATCCATGCCTCTAAGCATCCGGACGCCTTACCAGACGAGGTTAGGGAGTAGTAAATCCGACTTGAACAAGGTCAAGAAGGCGCTCGTAAGTTCCAGCATCACCTGGTCCTTCCCTTCCCCGCTCAACAAAGGGAGTCCACTTGGATCAAATTCTCTATGGGTGGGGGGCTGAACCATTCGATTTCACGTCAATTGTACTTGATAACGCGCAGAAAGACCTCCAGAGAGAATCTCAGCGTTCAGACCTACTCGGCAATTCGGGCGGGAAACGTCATCCGGGTCAATCGGATTCGCCTTATTCGGACGAACCGGGGTACGATCGGGATCAGCGAGGCAGGCTTTTGGCGGGTACCGAGACGTTGAATGACGGTGAGCTCGGGAAGGGGGAGCGTATGCGTGCCTATGGAATGGAGGCTAATGGAACATGAGGTCTGTTTGGTGGGAACAGGCTCGAGACGCCTGGAGAATGCCCACCGGATAGCACTGGAGACTGAAGATGTCGGGGCCGACATTCTTCGAAATCTGAGAGGACAGCGCGAACAGATTGAGCATACCCGGGACACTGTAAGTTTCTCGTTCCGTCTCACACTTGATGGAACTATTCCGAGCTCGTGTACTGATCAACCACCATGATGATATAGTTGACGCAAACGGATTCCGGGATCGATCGCGCAAGCGGGACGTTGAAGAAGATGATCTGGAAGTAAGTCTTACATCTTCACAACCGCAACTTGACAAGTCGGATAATGGCAACGCATGGCTGATTCTGACAAGCCCCTTTTCGTCCTTGCCTCGACCTTGATCCTGACCCTCGTCAACTCTTCTTGCGTGGTCCGCCCGCTTAGGATGCAACAACAACGGTTCTTGACTGCGGGGATCATCGCCATCCTGGTCTTCCTCATCTTGCTGGTTTTGTACTCGAAAATCTTTGGGTAGAAGTCTACGTTACTTTTTTTTTGGCTACCTAGCTCTGCCTGTTCGGTTTGTTGTTTGTGGATGATTCCGCGATTCTTCTCCTGAAACTCTTGTATGATCGACCTGTCTATACCTATGCCCTTGAGTCATGTTCTCCTTGATCTACAGTGGAGTTGTTTTGAGGTGAAACCCGCACGGCGCTTACCGCAGGTGTCTCCTGAAGTTTCAAGGTGCGCGATTACATCCTTTATCGTGATCTCAGTCACAGGAATGAGCAGCTAGTTGCTTAAGACGGGCTGATCACGTACTCGAGTACAGCTTGTCAATAACGATCATGTTCATACATCTTGATCTGATTTCTCCCCACAAGACATGGTGTTCGAGCGTAGAAGTAGGCGAAATTTCCGGCGGCTCTAACGTGCGAGATACCCTTCTGATTGATCGTTTTAACAGATTCAGCTTCAAATCGCTACAGCGATATCTCTGCCTGTTCGGCGTCTGTCCCATCAAATCGTGATCGATGTCCTGGGTCTTCTGAGTATAACGATATCTCACCACCCGAAACTCTCTCTGTTCGATCGTCTTCACCCGAGATCAAGAATGATACGGACAGATTGAAAGACCCATTCAACGGAGTTGAAGCAAACGCTCGCCGCGGCTCATCCTTGCCCCTGGATCGCAGACCAAAGATTAGTGAGCGGTCGAATTTGTAGCATGTCGCGTTCTAGAGGTTGATCGCCACCTTGGCTCGATTATAGTCGAGGATGAGTGGTCACAGTTTGATTTCGGTTTCCCCCGCGAAGCCCAATCGTTTGGTGACAGTGAGCCGACCCGGTCAGTCAAACCGGACCAAACATCCCAGAGATCTTCTATCGATGAGCTCGGACTGTCTGGATTGGTGATGTCGGGAAATTCTTGCGATACGTCCGTTAGCAGCGATGACTCGGCTCAAATTGAACAGGCAAGCGCAGGCGTGCCTTCTAGTATAGGTTCGGCAAAGAGTGAGTCGCGCTCTGCTGCCTGATCGTTGTTTGTTAGCCTGATCGTCAAGGCTTACATTGCCACTATGGGAACATTCAGTGCGGAAATTTCGTCGTTTTCTGCGTAGGTAAAGTCCGACTCGAATCAAAAAGTTGTTGCCAACCTTCGCTGCGTCTTGATTCTCGGCAGAAAAAACGATATCGGCCATACCCATGCGCCGCGACTGGGTTTCGAGGTCGGACAACCTGACACCGGAATACGTCGGTTGTCTTTGTGCGAATGGTAATGAAGAGGAAAAGGAGAAATTTGAGCAAGGATGGGATATGCCTGAAGATTGGGAGAGACCCTACTTGGAGAAATTCAGGGCATCCCAAGCCGCGCATAGTTCCAAATGGCGCGGTTGGCGCAAGAACCGGAAAGCGACGAAAGTGCACGAGGAGAGTCGGGAAATGCAAGGGCGTTGTGTAGTTTGGAGAGATAATCCGACGAGAATAGCGCACTGAGTATGAAGTATTTTGTATACTCGAACTTCCCAGTCCATTCAAACGAATGATGTCACGCAGCCTGATACACGAGCTGAAACATATTCAACGTGATGTGTCGTGTGGATTGCGACAGAACCTCCTTTGTACTGATTTGCCTCCCGCCAAGAACCAGAGAGACAGGTTGATAAAGCGAGCAGAACAGCGCTGCAAATGCTGCCCAGAACCATTACTGGATCGAGATAATCGAACTGTATGGACCTTAACCCCGCATTTGGTTTTACGATGGCAAGCCTGAGCAGTCTTGTAAATGACCAACCTACAGGTAAGCCTGGTGTCTTCTTCTGGTGAGTAGTACTGGAATATTGAATCGGTTAGGTCATACTCCATGTACCTTCCCGAAAACGGGCATCTACCAGGTTTGGGTCAAGAATCCATTCCCCACAGCAATCGATTCTCGACTTCGTGTCAGGATTCGTCCTTGACTTTTCAATCTGGACCAAGATCAGATGGACTATCCGGACAAGAGACGTACTGTGGGCTTAGAAACACCATCGACAGTGATTTCAAGCTGAGAGGTGGTAGCATTGCCGGGAGTGTGAGCGGTGACGATGGAAGCTCGATGTTGAGCACTCCTGAGCATTTTGATACGGGGATCCGGACAGTAAATTTGGGCAGAGTTCGGAAGGCTAGGGAGGTCCAATCGCGTCCCAGGCGGTCCGTGGTCAACAGCACCTTGTATGGAAAGGGCCACTCAGTTAATCTCGTGAAATCAGGAATGGCTATCAAAGAGTCGGGTCCTCTGCAGCAACTGGAAAATCGAGCTAGACAGGCACTCAGGGAGGAGACACCGGACCAGGAATCTATCAACCGCGTCACTAGAGCCGGGCAATATCGGTGTCAGTATTCAATTTGCCCTAGGCCAGTAAGCACCAGTCTCGATCTATTTGTTCACGACAAAGTTTGACCGACGTCCGCCCTTAGGCTTCGACGGAAGCTTCGACGGAAGCTCGAGGCGAGTCTCATAGTTATATTGACCTGAGATAGTATCTGACCCCCTGTCCAGATGATAGCGAACAGCGGTTCTGAACTGGCTATCACAACCGACGATCCCGAATTGAGCGAAGATTTGACTGCAAGCGACATGGTCCCATCCGAAGATGATCATGTCGTCGATGGTGTTGGGATCAGCAAGAAGTCTCATGATGCGCAAGCGGCCAAGGATCGCTCGCGACGTGTTCGCAGATTCAATGCGGAGAGTCCCGTACCAAACACCAAAGCAGGACCTGACGGGACAATCACAAATGAGAGTCGCAACAATCCGTGTTCCAGACCGGATCCAGCGGTGGACGATGATTTGGATCTCAGCCATATACAGCTCACGCAATCTCAGCAAAGGATGGTGGATAAGTTCAAGTCACATGTTGAGTCGAGAATGACACCTGTACCAAACTTCTCCGTCGAATTGAGTGATTGGAGACCGAAGCTCGAGGTCAACGAGTCGGTGCATGGATGGGAGAACGACACTTCGAGCTTTTTCTCTAACTTGGCATCCAAGTTGACCGACGCTATCAGATCCGTGTATTCCTGGATGTTTGAAAGCAAGCAGTCTGCGTCTACTTTTTCACCGGAGCCAGAGCAGCCTAATGAACTTAGCAGGAGATCAGATCATCTGTCTCTCCCAACCCCATCGGTTACAACCACTAATCCGGCAGTGGTAAACGCCGGAAGGGGGAAGCCGAGGCGCAGAAGGCCTAGAAAGACGATTGGAAAGAAGCAGCGAAGAGCGGTCACAGCGCGCTGTTCCAATGGTCTACGGCCAGCCCAGGCTGTGTGCGGCATGAAGCTTCGGAAACCTCGACGAGATAGAGGCAAAAAGTATGCGGCCCCATTGACATCAACCCAAAACAAGATGTTGAAGCCGAGCAGCAATGATGATCCTCACCAAAAAAGAACATGATTCTCGAAACCGACAAGCGCGCGCGTGATGAAAGGGGATCCTGGCTAAGCGAGAGGCTCAGTGGCGTGTCGCGGTGAGAGCGGGGGAAGGGGAACAGAAGGGGTGGCGACGATCAAAGGAAGGTTGCAGAATCAGTTTGATCGTGTGACGATTTCCAGGATCGATTCTAGCGCCTAGCCGATGGAACACGGGGAGGTTCCGATAGAGAATATTCGTATTATCCGGACGCTGTACCCCTGAAATCGACGACTCCTTGAGAATCGGGGAGCGGAAATCACGGGGCAAGGGTTGGGATTGGGTGAGGGGGAAGGGATACCGGCAAAACAGTTAGAGATAAGGAAACAGGAATGGACGTACTGGTATCACGAGAAATATATATACAGAGAGTCACACGACCAGGTTCGATGTCGAGATCCCGTTGTTGTACTTTCATCGGATTGCAGGAATACAAAACCAAAACGCGCACCCGCACGACCTATAGCTTGCATACACATTTCACAACATCGACTATGCCAGAACTTACCCCAGCGCATCACGCTCAATCCGCCGTAAGCTCTCTTGCCCTTTCCCTCCAAAACTCCACACCTTCGAGATACAGTTTCTGATCACGGTATCCTCTCCGGACATCCGACGGGACAGATCATCGGCAAATACAACAAACCCAAACCACCCACCCGTCACAACTCGATCCAGACCACGAACCTCAACACCAACCCCGACGCTAGTTCCCCGACCGAGTCCAACAACTTTAACGCCAACTTTGCTCGCCCCTACTCTCCCTCTCCATCATCCTCGACCTCTGGCCCAGGCGATCACAACCACGCCGAACCCGTGGATGCGGACACCCTCGAAGCTCCGGCGGGTATCGAACAGCCTTTCCACGCGAGAGGGTGTTGCAACCCGCAACACGCTCATCAGCACGAACAAGAGCAAGGGCAGAACAAGGTCAAGGCCAAAGGCTGTACGCCTCCGAGCTTGTTTACCCGTAAGCACCCTGCTTCCACTGTTTGCCTTCCCGATCGCGCCGACGCTGATCCTATTGACACTTACAGAGGGCAGCAAGTGGCTAGGCTGGAAGGGCTAGACTCGACATCGCGAGATGCCTTTCCCGACCGTTGACGACCATGCTCACGATCAGTCAAGACTCGGTAACTCACACGATACGACACGCCCCCCACGTCTCCCGTTATGACCCTCGCCCGGATCTCATCCCGACCGAGACCGATGCATACGAAAGGAGGAACGATAAAGTTGAATTTCGTTATATATGGTCGTCATTATCCTCCCCTCACGCCCAACTCTCGCATATACAAAGTCCGCCTCGTTTTCCCGTTTGTGGTGTACAATATAGTCTTCCATCCGGTCTTGTACACGCTGAGAGCATCAACCGTACGTTATGACTTGTACTTTATACTTTGATGATCAGGGCGATGATTCTATGTCTTGTTTTTCCTTTTTCTTCGTGTTTCGTATGTCTATAACCTCATGTCGCGTATAGAGTGTCGTGTATGATATCCTGTCGTGTCTACTTTGCCGTCCAGTTCAAACTCCGACGCAGATGAGTGCGCCACATCCGACCCCGTCGAACCGATCTAATCATCATCGACGATCCTAGCCCGACTCCTACTCCTGGTGACCGTTCTGCCACCCGGTCCCTTGCCTGGCGAAGCGGTAGAAAAGGCGGGATCCATCACCCCGGCCTTTTCTTGACCAATTCCAGGGAGTGCGTTGCCGGATTGCGAAATGGGAGCACCGAGGCCGAGGTGAGAGAGGTCTACCTGCGGTCGAGGGTCGGTCGAGGGGAGACTCTCAGAGTTGTTCGATTGACCGTCGGAGAGGGCCGATGCGTAGGTCGAGGTCGAAGTGTCGGCGGTGTTCGACTTGCCGGTAGCACGCGAAGCAGATCCCGAAGAGCCTGCCTGGACAGGAGCCGAAGCGATCTTGTTTCCCGTCGAGGTCGAGGTAGCGGTCGATGCGTCACGCTTCTTGTTGGCAGCGGCCGACGAGTAGATCTTGTCCGTAAACGGTCCCTCGAAAGCCAGCGCGACCATATAGACGACCCAGACGATCGCGCTCAAGCCAACCCCGGCCGGTTTGCCCCTGACGAGCGCCATCCCCAAGAAACACATCGTGCTGCCAACGTACATCGGGTCCCTGAGGACGTTGAACGGGAAAGAGGTCACACGGTGGGACATGAGGATGCCAAAGTAGTCGCCCAAGTAGGTTCCAGTCAGACCCAGGGCGTAAATGGAGGTGAGCACGAATAGTTGACCAGAAGCAACGAGGGCGTAGCCGAGGGTTTTGAAGATGGGGAGGAGGAGGATGGGGTGGGAAGGTTGAGAGGCGAGGGCTTTATGGTAGCTGCGTCGATCACCGGCCGATGCAACAATCATAACGATTGCAAAACAACAAGCAAAAGTCAGGAAAGAGCAGCATGTATGAAGTTTGATCAAGAATTCAGACTCACACCCAATCCCTAAAGAGACCGAGGGTAAAGATGATGAACGCCAAGACGCAGGTGCCTCGATAAGCACCGCCGAACATCTTGGTCATGCTCTTGTTCCTATACTCTGCGGCGCGGAAAACCGGAGCAATTGCATTTACAAGCCGTATCAGCTTCGGGTCGACAAGGCACAGATGAGAAGCAGGCTAGACCGGAAGACTGACCGTTCCTCGCGACCAGGTTCCAAAAGATGGGGTTGAAGAGGATGGTCCCGACCGAGGCGTACAGCCAGGGTTGGTCCAGGTCGACGAGCTTGTGAAGCGAGGACATGGTTTGCAGCAATTCCGAGCTAGCTGGATTCTTTGGCTATGAAGCGAGCTTCGTAGATGATTCGGTTCGCTTGAGGCTATTCGTCGAGGATGATGATGAGAGCAAAGTAGGACGACCGATATCGTTACCACGTCACTTCTTGGGTCATCACCTACGAGCGGATATTCAGATGTATGACACGTCATCACAAGATATGACTCTTGTTATCAATTTAGCCACCTGGTGGTATCAGATAAACCCGAGATGTCCGTCAAGGCGTTACGTCATCATCGTCCCCTTCCCTGCCCCCGCGAGCAGCTCCAAGAACAAGTTGCACAAGTTCGATCTCGACCGATCAACTCGAATGTGACAACCGCAACGATCTGATACGATACACTTATACCTGCTACTAGCATTATACCCTCAGAGATACCTTGTCCTGTCCAACTTAAGGAACAAAAAACGTACGGCAAAAACAGTAGAGGCAAAAATGTCCAAGACGCTCTTTAACCCGGACGCCGATCCTAGCGATCCGATCATCGTCGTGGGCGGCAGCTACGCCGGTCAGTCCTCGTCCCGCTCTCTTGCCCCACACATTCGATCCTCTGCTTATCTTCAATCTTCCTCTCCCTTGACCGGATCTATGAAATCCAAAACCTGACCCGAATCCTCTTCGGCATCACAGGCGCACACGCCGCCCGAACCCTAGCGAAATCCCTCCCTCCCTCCGAACGGGTCGTCCTCCTCGAACAACGTTCTCACCTCGCCCACCTTTACGTCTTGCCCCGTTTCGCCGTGGTGGAAGGGTACGAGGAACATGCGTTCATCCCGTATACCAACATCTTTGCTACGGCCGAGGACGAGGCTGGCAAGATGAAGGCTGGCGGAGAGCAGAAGGTACCTGGACAGTCGAAGAGTGGAAGCGATCAAGATGGAAAAGAGAAGTCGACCGGCGACAAGAAGCAGGAGACGGTCTCCCTGCAAGACAGCGGCCCTGATCACCACCCGGACCAGAAGCTAGAAGACTTGCCTAAAGAACCAAGAGCCGAGTACATCCAGAGTACGGTCACGAGGATAACGACCAGAGAGGTCTCGTTCGTCAGGCATCATCATCATCCTCGGCATCATCGGATTCAGACGAGATCGCAGGGGAAAGCCTCAGAGCAAGGAGAAGTAGGCGGGACAAGGAAGTTGGGAAAGAGGAACGGGAAGAAGGGTCAGATGAACCCTATTTGGAAGCTCGAGACTGGCACTGGAACCGGCTCTGCTTCCTCTGACCAATCCTCCACCGCACCGACCGGCCCACATATCCACTTGAAAATCGACGGAGAGCCTGACGAGACGCAGACGGTCGACCTTTTGACTCCGCCGGCTAGCAAGGGCAACACACCGATGCAGGAACGAGGTTTTACCTGTTGCAACGATTGCATCTCGCCTTCGTCTGGGTGTTGCCAGGCTTCGTCGCTTTCGCCTTCGACACCACATGTTCACGCCACCACCGATTCTGCAGGCGGACAAGGACAGGTAGGGGAAGGCGGTCTTTTGACTCCTCAGCCTAGCATCGAGTTCAAGATCGACTTGAACGGTAAAGACTCGCAGCAAGTCCCAGTGGCCGGGCGGGGGAAGACGATGCGAGCTCGAGGCTGTGCGACGTGTTTGTCCAACTCGGAGACTTGTTGTCAAGCCACCTCTTCATTTTCCTCGTCGTCTTCGTCCCCATCTTCATCATTAACGACGGACCCAAACGGGATCGAACCCGTCGCAGGTGGGATGCAACCTCCTCTGCCATCCCTGGTCAAGGGCGCCATCGAGGACGAACAGGAACAGGCTCACATCAAGAACAGCAACAATACCGCCGAACAAGACGAGGTCGATGTGACAGAGACGATCAGGTTCAAATACCTCATTTATGCTACGGGTAGTCGGCTACCACACCCGTTGATTCGGTTGCCAAAGAAGAAGATGGAGGCCAAGGACTGGTTGAAGGAGAATCAGAGGGCGGTCAGGGAGGCGACGAGGGTGTTGGTCGTAGGTGGAGGAGCGCTTGGAATTCGTGAGTTGCAGTTTTCAGGTCGGCTTTTGGCCCGGCTAGCGAATTTGGGCTGAAGAATGGTTTGGCGTACGATGCCTTAGAATTCGCGAGCGATATCAAGGCGTACTTCCCTACTCACCACGTCATCCTCATCAACTCGCGTTCCAGGTTCTTGAGCATCTACGAGCCGGGGATGCACGATCATATCCAAGCCGATCTCGAAGCGCTCGGAGTCGAGGTGATACACAACGAGCGGGTGGAAGATCTGGATGATCTCGAGAGGCAGCGTGATGATGCTGCGAGACAGGAAGGCAGGGAGGGCAAAGTCGGTAGGAGGATGGTCAAGACTAGACTGAAGAGTGGGGCTGTCATCGAGAGCGATCTTCAGGTGCGCTCAAAAGGTTCCCGTATCGATGTCTTGCTCGACGCTCAGATCGCTTTTGTTCTTGCGCAAACCGCAGATCATCTGTACCGGACAGAAACACAATCACGAGTTGATCTCACAGGAAGAAGGATCGTTGCTGAGCGACAGGGGATCGCTCAACGTAAAGTCATCGATGCAGCTCGATCACCCGGATTGGAATCACGTGTTCGCGATCGGTCAGTCATGATGTGACGAAAGGGGTTAAGTTCCACTTAAACCCGCTGACACGCTCATTGTCATTTCGTTGGGGATCATAGGCGACGTAGCCAACACCTCGGCTATCAAGGCGGGCCATACGGGTTGGTATCAGGCCGGTGTGGCCGCAGCGAATATCGTCAAGATGGTCAAGGACGGCGACGGGGCCGAGCTGGACGATTATTCACCTACGAAACCGATGATCAAGGTTACAGTAGGAAAGGTAAGCAGAGAGGGCCGGCCGGATGTTTTCGGCTTCGTTCCAGTGGCTGACTCTGCTCGAGACTTGCATGAATTTCCGCAGAACATTGCCGTCACGCAAATGTGGGACGAAGAGGGCAAACCCAAGGTGTCGAGAACAGATGACCTACCTGAGGACTTGCAGGCTGGACTCATGTGGACGGCAATGGGCGCCGATACCAACGACATGTCATTATAAATGTAGATCATGAACATTATTAAACAGTCAACAACGAGACGACGGACAAACGTGATGTGTGAGAGCTCGCAGTCAACATCGATCAGGCTTTGTCCGATCTATTACGCTAGTTTATGCAGGTGGTTATATGTGTCGTGCGAATCGTTTTAGAGATTTGAATTACGATGGGAGCTTTGGGATGGGTGTCCGATAGGCTTTCAATGAGCGTGAGATGACGGATGTCATCGAGATTGGGCCGAGGCGGCGACGTTGGATGAAGTGATTCTGAATACCCGCCGATAGTTCAGCTTGGGTGTGGGGTTTGGACGACGTCCACAAACAAACTGGACTCACCGGAGGCCGCTAGACCGACGGGTTTTGCTCAGCGGTAGGACCTTTCGAATCGATTTGAGCGAGCGGCGGATTCGACCTGATGACAGTAGCGACCTTTCCGGCAGAGTCTCCCATGGCCCCAAGATGGTTCAAGAGGGTGGACATAGTGGCGCGGATGGCTTCGGTCTTTTCGTCCGAATGCTCGAAAGAGTTGATCTGGTCTTGCAGGGTGATGATTGCTGCGTGCAGACCTTTGTGGTGCTCCAAGGCTTCGATGAAGTATAGCTCGGTCGCGGCGTTTACTGCCTTGTCGTGTTCCGAGGCTCTTTCGATGAGTGTCAATTTCTTGTCGATCTGATTCACTTTCTGTTGAGTTTCGGCTTGGGCTGCCACGAGCCCCGCCACCTGGGCCTCGAGGGCGAGTCTTCGACTTTGAAGCAGGATGTGTCGGCGGTTGGTAGTTGCAACTTTGGGCATGGTATTTGGACGACTTTCGATCGAGTATCTGTTGATCGGAACAATTTGTATCGGCGTCTGGTTCGGTTCATCAATAATCTTTGACGAAGCGAATTCTCACGATATGGTCTGGTGAATGCTTGAGCGGGAGTGGCTGTTGAGCGTGTGCAGTGGCCTATGGATGCCAGTCGAGTGAGATCCGACGGTGGTAGACTTTTGCTAGGTATGAGCGACTGATACGGAGAGGGTGATCGGTGTGAAGTCAACATCATGACTGCTCCACGACATGTGATCAACTCCCGCTTACTCGTGGTATCAGGTAGAAATCTGAAAGTTTATAAAGGAATCGATGTGAGGTATCTGGGAGGCGTGACCAGTGTAGGGTATAACTAGTGGTTGCGGGAATATCGGTGAAGAGAAGAGAAGATATCAAGACGAGTGGGGAAGTTGTAGCGGAAAGGTCTAGGTCTGAGAGCATGTTGATTGATGAGGTCCGATGCTTGTTGATGTGCGGAATGTCAACAGCCGGTGCGATTTTGGATCCGATCAGTGGCGATGTATGCTTCTTGTGACAGTCGTTTAAACCCGTTATACGTCCCAAGCTTCTCCTACCGAAGCGCAGTGATCATGACCCTCCATAAAAAGATTCTGCATGTAACAGCATTGGAAAGTCGCCAGGCCCGATACAGCGGTACCATCGTGGCTGATGTTGCAATTTGGCGGCTGGAATCCTCATCGGTGGCATATGATCAACGATGTACATGCGTCGTTCGTTACCGTTAGGAGATCATTTGTTGAACGCAAGGGATAGAGAAGCACGATGGGCAAGCGGCAACAACCTGGAACTCATTTGCATCACCACTAATATACTATATCATTCCAGGTAGTACAAATTACAGATGTGGTCATCGCTATCGCTGAATGACCGACTGAGAGGAAAACACCGAAAATGGTATATCGTACCGTCGTCTCGTTCATTATCGCCACCGCGTCGAACCGCTTTTCCTACTTCCATCGCACTGCTTGGGCGGGATAGCTCGCGCACATCCCCTTAACAGGCCAATGTCGTCCCTTCGTCATGCGAAGGTAGACCCATGACATGCCCCGTCGAGCTGATACCCGCCGACTTCGGATGATTCGGTAGTGGATCTGGCCTGTGCTCGCCGTGTACCAGCTGCGCCGGCCACATCTGACCCGAGGGGAACGTCATATGTGAAGGGCCCATCATCGCCTCGAGCGTCTGCGAGGACAGAAAATTGAACCCGATCTGATTGTTTTGAACGGTGAAATTCTGTCGTGCGTGCTGCTGCTGCTGATGTTGCTGTTGCACCTGTGTGGACTTCGCCCGCGCTTGAGAAGCCTCGATGGCAACGCTCCAAGCGCGTTCCATGGCTTTCCACAGCATCTCGTCTTTGATCCCGAGATGGACCACGTTGCTCCACATCTTGTGGATGTTTCTCAGCCTCTCGACGATTGCGCCGATCGGGAGGGTAGCGAGTCGTTCGGCCGGTGACTTGGAAGCGGTCTGACCGGGCAGTACGATGGGCGGCGGTAGAGCCAGGAGGGTGGACAGGAGTCGCGCCGGGTTTGGGAGGTAGAGGTACTGATGCAGCGTGATGAATTGCGTGGGAAAAGGTACCGAAAGGTGGACCAGCGGGAGTTGCGTGGTAGTTCGGATCGGGGGGAGGTCGCTTGTAGACGGATCGTGGTGGTAGGAAGCGTTGAGTGGCAATGCGAACCCTGACTCGTCGAGCGCTGGACCTTGACGAGGCGGGAAATTTGCGCAATGTGAGATGTAAAGCAAATGGCTGCGCGCGGGTACGGGTCATCAGCTTTTGCAGACCCGCGTATGATCGGTTAACCCGGAGACTTACTGTGCAGGCAGCATTTTACCCATGTACTCCTTCTCTTCTTCCTCCGAACATCCTACCGGCTTGGATTTCGTGTTCTTCACCGCCAAACAACAGTCCGGCTCGCAACCCGCCAATTCGGTCCATCCTTTCCCATCGCGCTCGTCCAGGTATCGTTCGGCCTCGACGGTCAAGCCGAAAGAGAGCGTCTGATCGAACATGATATCGAACGGTCCTTCCAGCGAGTCGGCCGTTTCCGTTGACTCAGTGGGATTGGTCTTTGAGCTCATGGTTGATCCCGTCATGGGTCCAGCAGAGTAAGGCGGTTCGACGTCCTCTTTGATCGTGGACAAGTTCGAAGGGGAAGAGAACTGGTCCGATACAGAAGCCGACGGCAGAGCGGAGCTGGAAGACTTGGCGGTAGGAGTAGCGGAATGAGGCGATCGCATGGTAGCCGGGTATTGAGGCCGATAAAGGCCTGCCGCTCGAAGAAGATCACCTGAGATGGTCTTCAACCTGGCTCGGACGTGTTCGATGGACTGAAGAGAACAGCGCACGGCTGTTAGTACCCACCGAAAAAGTGATCTGAATGGTAAGCGCCACAGACTCACCTCCGTGACGTCCGGATCGCTTTTGATGATCCGTCGCGCAAGTACGTCCATGATGGGAGGCCTGGGCAATGACACCGGCACTTGCATCTTTCCCGATCCAGCCCCACTCGAACTCCCAACTCCAACTCCAGCTCCACTACTGCCGCTCGCTCCCAACCCAGAGCCGATCGAAGAGCTGTAGGTCAAGCTTGGAATCGACGGGAAACTTCCTGACTGCGCGAGCGAGCCCTCCGTTCCGATGTCGGTCTTGAAAGAAGGGATCCTCATGACCGGTCCCGCTTGCAACTGCATAGGCATGTATCCCTGTCCGTCTTGTTGCTGGGACTGTTGTACGGGATAGAAGCCAGGTAATTGGAACTGCCTTTGGGGTCGATGTCCACCGTCGAGCATGAGGTTTGCAGGGGGTGGCTTTCGGCGACCTCCTTTAGAGGTGATGACGGGTGCGATCATGTGCGTCGGGTTCGGGCCGTAAGACGGGTAGCGGCGCTGCTGTTGTTGTTGCTGCTGCGTGTGGGTAGCATTCGTCTTCTTCGGCTGGGTGATGCTCATACTTCTCAACGATCCGAGATCGAGATCGCCCCCAGTCGATGGAGGGGCGATATTCTCCGCTCCCCTAGGTCGACGAAGGTTTTTACCCCGAGCAGGAGGTCGTCGAGGTCTTTCGTAAGGCGATCTCATCCTTTTACTCGCCAACACTGATGACGTTGCCGAAGGGTGCAAGGTCGATCGAGTGTCTGACGTGGGCTTCGTCGTCCTCGGTCGGAGAGACATGGACATGGTCGATCGAGCGTTAGAGATAGGAAGTCGGGAAGGAGAGTCCGATCGGTTTTCCTTGTTGTCGACGAGGTCGTCGTGGATTCGAGGTGAGGAAAGGATAGAGGTCATGCTGAAGGGGGCGGTGGCGACGTATCAAGCCTTGAAAGACGTTGTGAAGAGGTGAACGAGTAGGCGAGTGGGTATTCAAGACGATCGAGGCTATCGAGGTTGAAAGGTATGTATCGGCAAGAAGGGTAGGTGTCTCCATATATATAGATATCCTGGCAGAGAGAGAGGTGTCCCGTTGCCTTTTTGATGATCGAGCATTTTGTTGATGTGGTAACCCAATCGATATCATTTGCCTCGTCGAGTCGTCGCCCGAGTAAGGAATCGTCCTTTCCGAGTGAAATCAGTTCATTTGGCTCGTCAAACAGTCGTCAAATGCACTTGCGCACTTGCCCGATCCGTCTTTCGTGTGAGAGAAAAGTTTCGGCCGATAGCCCGCCTCCTCTTCCTGCCGCTATATGTGTGATGCTTGATGGATCCGACACACATGACGCTGGCCCAGATCCTAGAAGAAGATTGCAAGCGGAAGTCATGATATCCAGCTTGTAGGTTGTAGTTCGATAGCTTGACAAAGGTCGACTTTTCCGAGGAGATCGGCCAGGTGATATGATGAAAGGATCCCAGGTGGACGAGAGGATTGATCGCCGGAGTGAAGATCATCTGAAACGCGTATATCCGTGGTCAACACCTCCTTGTTCTCGATGCACATAAGTCGAGCTTGGTGAAGATTACAGCGTATGACAGTCGACATGTACTCGATGTGAAGATGAAGTGTAGCGACCTGCATCAGACAAAGTTCAATCCCGAACGTCTCCCATCAATTAGCAGAGCGGGCCGTCACGCGACCTACACCGCCTCGCGCCAACCGCGATCAATCTCAGCCAGCGACTTTCGATCGACCGACCTCGCACCGAGCGCGTCACCCCCTTTTTAGTGTTTTAGGTTTTATCCTACCCCTTTCCCTCTCTCTCACATGCGATGAAGTTGTACAGGACGCGGGCGGACGCTAGCGGTTGCCTCCCCACCAATTCTCTTGCGATCTGGATTTAGAGAGGTCTTCAAAGGCGATACGGTATACCCGTAGTCCTTTCGCTTGTGTCGATTCTCGAACAGGTAATCAAGATGGTTGTAACGAGAGGTCGGAACAGGCTCAAACGGGCGAAATGGGCAATCGAGAGCCAGGAGGACTGATCTCGGCTCGACAGTTTTGATCCGCGTCGCTTTTAGCCGACACCCGACACACTTTGCGGCATCAAGTGTCGTTTCACCATTCAGCGATTCAGACGAAATTTTGAATTCCTATTGCGGAAAGTTGCGTGCGGGTCGGGCATAATCTCGAGGGGTCCGCGGAGCTAGCGTAACATCTCGAAGAGGGACACGTCGATACCATTCCTGACATGCGATCAAGCCGTTCCCTTATACTCAAGCTCTCAAACCTGCGAAGCGATAGATGACCGATCGAGTGAAAAGACGGGACTGATGTCTGTTTGTTTCGCACGGTCGGATTGATCGATTGCCAACCCTTTTGGTGACGAGCCGATTGCCATGTCCCTGCTGGTCCCGCCGCCGCCTCTTCCTCAATTCCTCCCTTGATCCCGGCTCGCGCGTGAAAGGCGAGGCTGAAACGCGGATCAAAGGGGGATGTTGAGCGGACATGTGGTCAGCTTGTATGTCCGTTGAGCTCCCATTCCTCGCTCGCCCCCCTTTCGCTCTCGTCAGCCATTCCGGTGGAGGGCCACCCGCCGGCCGATCGAGAGGTCGACGTTCTGGTAGGATGGGTAGGGGTGATGGGTAGGTCATTCATCTTGGGGTGTCTTTGTGACGTTACAACACCGCAAAGCTTGCAAGATATAATATCGTTCGTTCATTCGCATTTACAAGACACAATCGGTAGGATCGGTAGAGTCGCAGTCTCCCATCATCCCAGCATACGCGATACGAGCCACGGAAACATCGACATGCCCGGCAGACGTACGTAGAAGGATAAGCGAAGCACTTGCACAGTACAGCTCTCTCCTCTCGCTCGGACGGCCTTGGAACTGAGATCACCTGGGAGACTATACGGCTACATCGCTGCTTCGGACGACAGCATACCATCTCAATCGGGATTCGTACGACCATGCCGGACCAGGTCGATACGCACGGACAGGCGACATCCGGGTTCGAACGGGATTTACCTCCTGTTCCCGGCTCGTTCCCCCTCTCTTCCCCCTCTATACCACCGCCACCACCACCACCACCGCATGATCTCGTGTCATCGCCCTCGACATCAGCCATAGATCCGTCCGATCCGGATGCGGACCGCACGCTACCCCTCATGAACCAGCACTTGAGAAACCTCAACCTCGATCTACCGGGGTTGGAATCTCGCAGAAACACCATCGGACTGGATAGCGATACCGGTGATACCGCTAGCATTGGATCATTCTCGAGAGACGAGGAGGATGGGATGCTCCACGCGGCCGCGGTGGTGGGCGGGAGTAGAGGTGTGGGGACCGGAGAGGTGAATTCGAGGAGGAACAGGAAGAGCTCGAGGGATAGGTCTGATGAGGCGAGTCTCCTCCTCGAGTCCAGTCGAATTCACTGGAACATTGGCTGATGTTGACTTTCACCTCGTCTTGCCTCGACAGTTCGCTCGAGGGACGTTTACAAACTCGCCGACTGCCATATCCTCCGGATCCCCATGGAATTCCGGTCCGGCCCTACGCAGACAGAGTGACATCGCACCTCACCATCTTCCCTCCAGCCTTCCTGCACCGCACGCCACTAGCGGGCTAAACGTACCTCCGACAAATGCGGGCTCTCTGTTCAACCTCGACATCAACCGGGCTAGCCTGAACAAGACGCCGGATTCGACCATGAGCATGAGCGCTGGGGGTGTGATGACACCCGGGGACTCGTCGGATTGGGCTAGAAGGCAGAGTTCCGAGTCGGAAGTTTCTGAAGGTAGTCGCAGGGCTTCAAACACGACGTCGACAAGTGGGACGAGCGGGACTGTCGGTATAGGAGAAGAGGATCAGGCTCACGGACAGCCAGACGATGGTGTATTTGAAGACGACTATGGTCCGCCCGTTTTCAACCGGACATATTCGTGCCCACTGCCAGCGAGGGTCGCCAAGCAGTTTGCGCGACCACCGAGCAGGCTGAGGCAAGACTCGACTTCTTCATTCCAAACACCCCCATTGACGACGGACGGTTCTGGGGTCTCAGGGATGACGAGCGACGTCGTCACCCCGGCATACAATCACGTCGCATTGCAGACGCTGTCGAGCGAATTGTCCGACTCTCTCCAGTCAGCCATTCAGACCTTGTTGCACCTCTCCCCACCTCACTTGCTGGACAACGCCAAGGAGCAGTATTCAGGATGCACGGTACAGATGCCGACGACAAGCTTGTCGGCGTTGTTGACCGCGATGAAGGGATTGAACTACCTGTCCGCCAATGTCGCTTCTCTGTGCGAAGACATGCCCGCGGAATCTCCTCGGCCCGTCTCGCAGAGTGTTCCTGCATCGAGGCACTCTAGCATGCATATGAGCGACGAACTCGACAACAACGGCATCTCGGGCTTACCTAGCGTACCGCCTCCTCCGCCAAAGACGATTGCAGGGACAAACGTAGCCTCCGAGTACGCGACTACGGCCATCTCGGCAAGGTCGATTCCTCAACCTCACATGTCGGGGATCCTCGACAACGTCCACAAGGCTCCCGAGGACTTCGATATCGGCGAGTTGTTGCAGAGTACGGCTGACCTGTTAGGTGGTCAGGCGGCCCAGGCTGGAGTCGAGATTGTCCTGTTTCATGGAGACGTCGGGATCAAGCATACCAGCGTCAGTGGGGATGGAGAAGGGTTGGGTTACGCCTTGAGCTATGTGAGTATTCGATCAGCTGGCGGACTACTGCGACGTACTGGCTGGTAGCTAAGCGTGCACGATTGGTTGGCGCCATATAGGTCATCCGGCAGATTCTGCAAGTCTGTAGACAGGGCGATACGCTCGAGCTGGGTCTACAAGTCACGCCGCAGTCTCCCTCGCTGACGCCCCGCGTCAACATGCCTCTGTCGGCTACCGAGGTCGACGAAACGAAACGCGCCAGTCAAATCTCGGTAACGGAGGAGACTGGCAGGATCTCTCCAGGCGAGACCTTGGTCCGGTCGGTCGAAGGGTCATCAGGCCCACTGTTGTGCACAATCGAGATCGTCCACACGTTCGCGGCTCACCAGAAACCGTCGCTTGCCTCGACGCCACGGGCCGACAGGACTCTCCCCATGGACATGACCGACTTGCCAGATAGGTTAGAACCCGACTTTGACGGTCTGCTGTGCAGGAGAATCATCAAGCATGTCAACGCTGTGCTACGTCAAGGTGGACCCGAACAGGAACCTTCGTACTTTGCACCCGGTCAATCCGGGTCGACCCGGACTTACGAGCTATCTGTCCTTTTGGCACGTGGGGAACCGATCAACGAAACCACGGCTTTGTCCGCTGCAGAGCAGGCCGCCAGACAGCCTTTCCCGTCCCTCAAGCTGGATCGCGAGCCAACATTGCTGGAACTCTCGACTTTTGCCTCGACGTTGCGAGGGAAAAAGGTTGAACTGCACGCGAGTCTGATGAGCATATTCGCTCGTCATTTGACTAGCTACTTGGCGGCTTGGGGTATGGACGTCTCGCACATACCCATCGAAGACAACTCTAGGAGGCCTTCCGTAACCGCCGAGCCGGGCGAGAGCACGCGGGAACCGAGCTTGAGCACAACCAATGCCAGCCGCTCGTCTACCTTGTCCACGGGATCCAAGGTCGATGACGCCGGGATCGTATCAGGAGAACGATTCGTCATCATCGATGATGACGTCGCCATCCTGAAGGCGCAGCTCATCAAATTGAGGTCGGAATCTTTAGCCTTTGGCGGCCGACCCCGAACACTCAAGAGACCGTCGATGGCTTCTAGAACACGTTCTTCGCCTCACGTTAGGACGCTTCAGGCTGAGGGCATGGTCATGCCAGGAAACACCCAGCCTACGGCAGTCATCCATTTTACCAGTCTCGCCAGATACAATCATGTACGCGACGTCGTTGCCGGAATCTTAGCGTCCAGCTGGTCCCATCCTCCTGAAATCATGGTTATCCCCAAACCTGTAGGACCTAGACGATTCCTCACTGCACTGCATACGGCCGTACAGAGGCCCCTGGTCGACCCGTTCTTCGCGCCCATCGCGACTTCTCCGCGCTCACCTGGAGGTGGGTATTTCCCCCCATTTGCGGTCAAGACGCCGTCAGCGATGCCTTTCGAAAGTCCTCTGCGGAACAGCCACGGGACGGATTACCTGGGTCAAGACTACACCACTCTTTCTGCATACCGGCGCGGAGGGCAACCGTCACCTTCATACGAAGGCATACCGGGTCGTCATCACGACGGGTCCGTTGCAATCTCAACGCCTGGTGGAGAATACGTGGCGACGCCGGCTGGAAGCTATTTCGCGCGTCCTGTCGCTCACGGCTCTGCTTCGGCCGCACAAGGGGTCTTTGTCCGCAACGCTTCTGGCATGCATATGGGGGTCTTCTTCGATCCCAGTAAACCTGAAAGCAAAGAGAACCGACGCACGCCTTCCAATAACTCGGATGGTCTTCGTCGCAAGACGAGCAACGCCAATCGTAATAGCTCTGGCGGTAATCCCGACGGCAAACAATCATCTTCTGTGCCGCCTTCGCCTGCGAGGAGACTGTCGGGCATGTCATCGACCTCGAGTATAGAGGACAGAACTAGCCGACGAGGTTCGACGCTGCAGCCCGTGACTGATGAAGTGGAGCCAAACGAGGACGATGTCGTTACACCTTCAGCTCGCTCCCACGTGCGCATATCGTCTGGTCGACGACGGGTGTCTGGCGAATCCATCGGGAACCCGCGCGAGAGATCCTCCACTCTGTCGAATCAGAAGGACCGTCCTGCCTTGCGATCCTATCCCTCAAACGCTTCGCAGGGTGAAGCGCTGCTCGTCGAACAAGTGGCGGAGATGGTCGCTTCTCCAGCCGTACAAGACGTCTCTGAGCGTGCGACTAGACGAATGATGGCGGTGGAGGCTATGCGGACTGCGAGAGCCAAGGCTGAGCTCAAGGCGGCCGAAGCGCAGCCTCCGCCCAAATCGGGCAAAGCTGCCGCTAGCAAGGCAGTTACCGTCGTTCCGCCTATCAATGTTTTGATCGTTGAAGGTGAGTACGTGAAGATGGCGAATTTAGACGTGCGCGCGCTCATTACGGTTCTCATCTGTGTATGACAGACAACCCTATCAACCAGAACATTCTCTCGATGTTCTTGCGAAAGCGACGGATCAAACATCAGACAGCCAATAACGGGCAGGAAGCCGTGGACAAGTGGAAGACTGGGATTTTCCATCTCATTTTGGTTTGTCTACGACTCGAGCAAAGACACTGCTACGCCTTCTCACGCGCTTTTCCCTTGCAGATGGACATTCAATTGCCCGTCATGGACGGTATCGAGGCTACTAAGCTTATCAGGACGTTTGAAAGAAACAGCAATATCGGCTTTTTCCCTTCTACACCTGGCTTGGATTCGCACAAGACCCTCAGTCCCGTCGCAGACCTTGCACCTCCCGGGACGCCACTGCGATCCTCGGTCATCATCGTCGCTCTCACCGCTTCCTCTTTCCATCAGGATCGTGTCAATGCTCTCGCTGCGGGATGCAATGACTTTCTCACGAAACCCGTCTCGCTGAAATGGCTAGAGAGCAAGATTATCGAGTGGGGTTGCATGCAGGTGGGTTTCGATGTTCAGTCACCCAGGCACACGATGCTGATTGTCTCACACGATTCTCAGGCATTGATCGACTTCGAGGGTTGGCGAAGATGGAAGAGCGTTGATGCGAGAGATAAGGGAATCCAGGAAGCCAAAAAGGCTGTTCAGAGCCACTCGGTCGCCAATGCCAAGAATGTCGCCGACAAGCTAAGGCTGCCGAAGAAGATCAGCCGCACTGCCCTGTCGGACGAGGAACGTTCCGCCGCCAACCTGTCACCAGGCCCTATAGCCACTCCTCTTGGTCTAGATCCGGAGGAACCGGTCCCTAAAGCTCAAGTGTCCATGGACTCGCCTGCCGGTTCTGAGGTGCAACACGTGATGATACCCGCCGTATCTGTTACCAGTCCCGACGAGAAAAGCGACTCGTCTGAAGCTTTACGACGGCCGCTGTCTGTATCAAGTCCGCTCGCAGAACCTCCTACCAACGCCCCCGGCTCGCCAGCGTTACCTTCAAAGGACCAACCTCAATCATCCGGCTCGGATCTTGGAACCCCATCCTCAACGAAATCTATCCAGAAGCCTCTTCCTCCCTTGCCAGTTTGATCGTCAAGCTGCGTATCTTGGCCTGATTCTCTGCAGGCCGCATTTGCAGTACGCTGGCGGGTGCACATAATCTCTCATCTAGACACTGAATTGTTACTTGTACGACTGGCTGGGTGGTGGATGTAGGGCATCTTGTAGATCAATATGACATTGACGAACCATATCATGACTCTTACTACAACCGTATCAATAACCCACGCTGTCGCCATATCTTCATTTTTCGGCCATAGAGGGAGCGACGTAAATATGCGTTAGATTCTCTTCATTCCGGTTCTCGGTGTCGCCGTCGGAACTGCCAGTGATCTGCGAGATCAACGTTTCTTGGGAGGCGGCGAGATCAAGGTCTCTTCGAGGTCGTCCTCCTTCTTCCTCTTCCTCTCGCCGTCCTTCTTCCTCTTCCCCTCGCCGTCGTCCTTCTTCTTCTTCTGATTGTGCGATACCAGCTCGCGGAAGTCAGCGGTCTTGGACGGACCGGGCATCGGGGAATCGCAACGCGCGGCGGCGGTCTTGGACGGACCCGGCATTGGGGAGTCGACGTGTTTGTGCGATACCGTCTCGCGGAAGTCAATCCGTCTATCGCTGACCGCATAGAATCCTTCCTTCCTGTTGTCTCTCCTTTCCTTGCGCTCAGCCGCCAAGAGGGCCTTCTCCCGCGCCTCCAAAATACCCGCCCTCTCATCAAACTTCGCAGCTGCCTCCTTCTTTTTCGCCTTGAGAGCCTTCTTCTCTTCATCAATTTTGGCTACAGCAGCGTCGATCCTGCTCGTGACGGCCGCATCGACTTTGACCGCGTCGAATTTGGCTGCAACGGCAGCATTGATGGCTGCGTCGATCTTGGCCGCGATAGCGGCATTGATGGCGTTGTCGAAGTCGCCGGCATCGATCTTGGCCGCAATGGCGGCATTGATGGCGTTGTCGAAGTCGCCGGCATCGATCTTGGCCGCAATGGCGGCATTGACGGCAGTGTCGAGGTCGATGGCGTCGATCTTGGACGTCTGAAGGGCTTGAAGGCTCGACTCCAATTCGTCCTGCTTCTTCTTTGACTTTTCCACTTTTTTCAAGGCCTTTCAAAAATAAGATATTCTTTTTCAGCGGGGGTACTGTAGCTCTTCAAGAGGATGTGCAACACATCAGCTTACCTTTGAAGTATCATTCTTGAGGGGTGGTAATTCCTTCAGAAGGATATCATCAACGCGAAAAGACAGGGATTCGATCGCCGCCCACACCCTTTCCTCATCGGTTGTAGGGAGACCGATAGTGCTACTGCTCGCCATGTGTAAGATTTAGATTTGTCGAAGAAGGTAGTATAATGATAATAGTTGTGAGGCCGCGAGGGCGAGGAAGGACGCTATCGAGTTGAGGAGCTTCGGGGTGGTCTGATGTATGATAATGAGACGTGTCACAGTCACACGATTGATCCTTCTTACAACCTCACTTTAGTCTTTCGATCTTCTAGCTTCTGATCATCATTTGCGCATCTTTGATCAATCGTTCCTGCGTTCGATTGGCTTCCCCCGTGCCCTGCGCCCCGTGCTCCTTGCCACCCACGCGAGGCTATTTACGTCATCTTGATCACGCGCGCGGTCAAGTGACGTTTCATCGGAGATCCACCAAGAGAGACGAGCTGGGATGACGTAGCGATCGTCACTTTGACCCATCCTTTCATGCCTTTCATCTTGTTGTCACCGATCCGTGGTTCCTGGCCAGAGTCAGCGGATCTGCCACATCCATCGATGCTACTCGCGATGTCGACTTCGAGACATGATGGGATCTGAGATCCGAGACCGGATCCGTTGTTTTGAGACGGTTTCATATCGGTAGAGGTAAACCGGAGGGGTTCTGCACGCGAATGGCAGTGATGTCATGACACACTCTACTAGCTACTAGCTACTGGATACTGGCCCGGCATCGGCCGTTTGGACTGCTTGTTCGGTGATTGGTGAGCTAAGCGCCGCAAGGTATCCGCGTAAGCGTTGACCAACTTGAAGCGGGCGCGCTTGCAACGAAGCGGGCTGCGGGCTGAATCACCCTGACCCCCCCATACAAATCATGAAGTCCTTCTCTTCTTCTATCCCGAACGATCTCATTCGGTCCAAGTCTTCAGACCGAAAAGACCAAACCAAACCATCCCTGATATTTCGTCTCTCGACTTCATTCTTGCTCCATTCCTCTGGATCGTCTGTTTCTTGCCGTGTTATCCGGATAGCTTCGCTTCTTCACAACGCACAGCCGACGTTCGAACGCTGACATCGATTTGGCTTTCCACTCTGTCAGTTAGGAATATGAATGTAGCCCTAGTATACCAATCATCAAACGTGAGCTTCAGTCTGTCCTCCGCTTTACGACACAAGCTGAAGCGTATGCTTGATTGCTTATCATTTTAGGTAGCTAGACCGAATCGACGGAGGTGTGCCCTGAAGAAAAGGTGAGCCTCGCGATATTGCTACTTGCCATTTCAGCCACGATGATTCGTTTGACTGATGACCCCATTCGATGTCGATACTTCCCCTTCAGATGTCAGACTATCGAGAAAGCGGACCAGGAAAATGTACGAGGAAACACCCACCGAGTTGGGAACAATGAATATGCTCTGAAGACATCGAGATAGTTTATCGAAGACCATCTGCAAGCCACGCAGTATCGAAGATGACGCGGAAATTGTATCGAAGACTCCCAAAGATGACGGAACACCACCGCCGGATCGGAGTCGAATGCTAGTGAAGACCTCTCAACGAAGATGACGGAAAAGGATCTGCCCGTGAAAGACGAACGAACAGAAAGCCCGGAGACCAAGACGGAAGACAAAGGCCTGGTCGGAGACCAAGACTAACCTCCGAAGACGCCGCTGTGGCCCCTCGCAAGAAGGATGCAAGAACGAGGGTGACTTCAAAACGGCGACGATCGCATCATGAAGCGACATCAAGATTGTAACGCCGAAAGCAAGAATGTGAACCAGCAAGGAGAAGAGACGTATAAGATGCCTGTAGAAAACCATCGAGAAGACCGCAGGAACCTTAGTGACTGAGAATACCCGCCAAGGCACCCATAGCGTGCATACTTCCGGCTCGAAGGGTTACCAAACCAACTCAAAATGGGAGCACGGAGAAGCTAGTTGGCTTGGTAACCCTTCAAGCCGAAAGTATGCGGGCTGTGGGGGACTTGACCGACCTGATGGGATGGAACCGCCAACGCCAACGATCTGGTCGTGATTTGGAACGCAACGCTTTGGCGAGACGAAGTAGGGGTGTGGATGAAGCTAGACTGTCTGTGTTCTTACGACCTGAAAGGGCAGGGACCACAGTAATCATGACCTTCACCGGTGTGATTGGTACGTCCCGGTAGTGAGTAGTCGTGCCTCGAAGAGTCTCGTCAAGGCCAACAACAAGCGGCAGGGTCAACCGGAGGCGGAGCAGGAGGGATTGTTCAGGCCGCTGTGACACAGTGCGCGCCGGACATCGCGATGCCGGGTTCCCTGTCGTCCACGTCAACCGCCAGGATAGCTGGACAAAGAAGACAAGTCATGCGCAAGAGGATGAGATATCAAGATCCCCGGCCAGAACAAGATGTGATACGTAGACTACCGAACAGAAGAGGAAAGGTCCCGGGACGTCAATTGCCAGAACGAAACGACCCAAGTGGTGCTACAAGACGGAACAAGAAGTGCACTACTAGCACGGGCGGGGACAAGAAGGTAATTCAAGCATTTCTCCTTCCGTTTCTTTCTGGTTTTTTCAACCCCCTTTCCCCCCCTTGTTTCGATTTGGATTTCGGTCTGCATGAGCTCTCGCCTTGGTTGCGGGTTGCTGGTCTTTGCGTACGTGACCCGTTACCTCTCTCTTGTCTCTTCTCATTCCTATCTTCAAACTTCGAACTACGGCCATACCGAGCGGGACAGCATCCTTCGCCTACACCGAAGGCCCGGAGTCTGCATGGCATCTGTGAGTCATCGAACCTACGGCTAAGCAGATTTCTAGGTTGATCGCCTCTTCGTCACAGTCGACAGATATCTTCCGAGACGGCTGGATCGCTGTGATACCATGCGTCGATGCTGCTCACAAAACTTGGTGAGTGGTGCATACGAGTATACGTGGGCGACTCTCCTTGATCACGATGGCCTTGTCCCGAATATGCAGGCTTGCCCTGGGATCCGTGGTATTGAACCTGCCGACACTCGATCCGGACTGAGGTAGCAGATCGAATGTCAGCACGTATTCCTGAGTGAGTTCGGATGGTCATGACTATCGCTCTACTCCGTGCCGGACCGCTCACCTGGCTGTCAATTTCAGATCGAACAGTCTCGAACTAAGATCATCGAGCTGACCCCGCCCGAGGGTGCCCAGTGCTGTTGTGCGGACTGATCGAAAGTAAGTATCGATGGACTCAAAGAGACCTTGCCAAGTGATCAAGCTGACAAGATTGCTGTGCCGCAGGCTTCTTCCGACTAGACTGGATCATCCATCTTACAACTTGGTACCACGCGGTCTTGTCGCCTTGGGCTGGCGCCACGCTTCGGCCCACATCAGCCTTGCGTCAGTGCTTGCCATTCTTCATGACTCCCGCCTATGGGCAATGGACGAATCCTCCTTCATTGGCACATGTCAAATATCAGAGCTTGACTCTTTCTCGTTGTGTTCAATATGTCAAACATCTCATTAACATCGTACATCGACAAGGTCACTAAGCACTATGTCAGCTGATGACGTATTACGCGTCAAGAACGTAGAAGATCGATCAACATTTTCCATGCGCCGACCGCCATCAATCCCTCAGAGCGCCAGAACCCATCGTCCCATCAAATTCCCATTCCCATCAAAAAAATCGGATCGACTTTCACTTTTTCGATGGCGAAATCGAGCAAGATCTGTCAACGAACTCGATTCATACCGGTCCAACACATATCACCCACGCATCCACTTTAGACAATTAGACACAACAGAGGAAACGTAAATCTAGCCAAAGGATCCCGTATAACCCAGACTCGTCAAACTCGCGCTCGGGAAACGGGATCACTCCATCGGACGTTGGCAGATTGGCCGTCCCAGCACGAGTGAGTCTCCGATCTACTCCTATCACTGCTTCGTATGACTAATTACCTGTACATCTTCCCCCATCTATTTTTTCGAACTAGAATCGGCGTCTACTCCCTCGAAACCAAGACCGCGCCTCGATCCTTTCGACAGCTCCGAAGCTCTCCACACCTCCTGCTTGAGTCCTTTCGACGCCATGGAGTGGCACAAGCATGTTCCATGGTTTCCAGAGGGTACCCTCATCAAGTTCAGGAGGGATGACATGATGGGGGATCTGGCAGAGACAGAGTTCAAGGTCTCCAGCATCTTGGGAAAAGGCCACAACATTGTCTACAAGTGTCTGTTGGACCTTCCCTCGTCGAAGCGAGAGCCAGACGCGACATCACCTCTTCCCGCATCGACACCTCTTCCCGCATCGACGTCATCCCCTCGATCTCCTGATCATGAATCGTCTCCCTCGTTGAAGCGAAAGGTAGACAGATGGGGAAGCACTGGTCGATTCAAGAAGATCAGCAAGCGGACCCGAAAGGCAACAGCTACCGGCGTCATCAGCGGTCACGATGAAGAAGCGAGCGCCGACGCTGGAGAAGCGAGCGGGACGACGAGCGTCTGCGTCGCCACCGAGGAAGTCTGCGTCGCCGCCGAGGAAGTCTGCGTCGCCACCGAGGAAGTCTGCGTCGCCGCCGAGGGAAGTGGAGCGATGAGAGGGAGGGAGTTCGCCATCAAGATCCAATACATCCCAGCAAAAGACTACAAGAATGTGAAGAAGGAGTTGAGCTGGGTTTGGAACGAATTTACAGGTACGTCCGCGCTCAGACGGAACGCTCGCCTATCACATCGCTCACAAAGTGTTTCCGTCTACGCGCGAACCTCACTGTAAAGTGTTGAGTGAACTTGATGGCATCACTCCCCAACCTCTGCTGTGTGGCTGGGTCATGGTGAAGCCTCCTGGTGATGACCTGTGGACGGTGGGACTGTTCTCTGGTTTGGTCATGCCAGTGTATGAGGTTCTGGAGTCTAAATTGAAGACTGCCAGTATCGACGGGTGAGTGCCGACCGTCTATCCCTCGAATCTCGCTAACCGTCTCTCCCTCGATTCGTTCCGACCGTCTATCTCTCGACTCTCGCCATCCGCTCACTTTCGACTCTCGCCATCCGCTTACCCTCGACTCTCGCCGACCGTCTATCTCTCAATTGTCGCCCACCGTCTACATCTCGACTCTCGCCGACTGTCTACATCTCGACTCTCGCCGACCGTCTACATCGCGACTCTCGCCGACCGTCTACATCTCGACTATATCTCAACTCGACCCTACTCGCACGGAACTGCGACTCCGACGACCCTCCCTCGACCTAGAGTAAGAGGTCTCGTTTGTAATGCCTTTCAACAATTGCGGCTCTTTCACCAAGCAGGCTATGTGCATGGGGACGTCAAGATGGAGAACTTCCTGGTCGGAGCCGATGACGCCGGAGGATCTCGAGTGCTGGTCGCCGATGTAGAAGGTGGGCCACCGAGTTGGAACTTTCGCGCTCTCTCGCTGATCTCGTTCCGGAGCTCTAGGATCGTGCAAGGGTGGAGAAGGGCTGACAGAGAAGTTCATTGCCACCATCCGCTTTGCATCAATCTCTACATTGGGTCATTTCCTAGCTTGTTCAGAGGATGTGGCTGCTTCCCTGGTTACCCCAATTGCCCCTGAAGGTGAGTCGCTATTGAACATACTCGACCGGATCAAGATCACCGAGGTGGCTGAGTACTGCTGCCTTTCGATGCGCCTTCCGTCTTAGCTGCGAACAAGGGGATGGACTACTGGTCATTTGGAATGATGTTGCTGGAGATATACTGTCCTGAGTATCTCGAAGCGCATTTTCCCATTGATAGCCTAGTTGACAGGTTGAAGGGGAAGAAAAAGGCAGAAGAGCTTGTAATTCTGGAGCAGATTAGACAGGCTTACACGAAGTAAGTGCAGTCGGCGTCGACTTGAAATCCCTCGACCGAATCGAATTGTACCGCGTAAAACTTGGGCTGATCGGGATGTGTCACTCGATGCATGACAGGATCTACGATGAGCACGCCTGGGAAAAGGAGGCAATCCACGTCCATGAGTAAGTCGACGTGAGATGGGCAGATTGAGACGTGAGCTGAAGACCATCGATGTCAAGGGATATCAAACAACTTCTTCACTTCTGTCTCCAACGTCCCTCCAACTGCGGACTTCTCGGCAGAGACGCGGTCGACGCGGATGTCGATTCAACAGTCAGTGCAAGCGCAGACAAGGTCCCCTGTGCGCCGGCTTACATACCCCCTGACTCAGGCGCCCGGGACGATTGCCTTACCGGAATTCAGTTTGGCTGCTGACGTCAAGAAGACCAAAGGTATCGCAAGACTATACAGGTAGGTACACTTTTATACATATCACACGCTCAGTGATATCTAACGAAGACTGCTTTTCATGCCCCAATGTCAACGTACAGCGAAAGGCGTAGCGCAGCCAAAGGCGCTCAACCCAAGGATCAGCCAGAGCTGCCTGCTTTACGTTTACCTTGGGGTGGATGCACATTGATCAGCACGGGCGGAACGCAATACAGTAAGTAACCTCATGATGATTGCTTCAACAGCAACGTGTGTGATGATGACACCTTTTGGCCATTTTTTCTCAGCCATGGATGTGCCAGGTATTCTTCGGGAAGCCGATGAGTTTGGGGAAGCGGAATGGATCTATCGACAGTGTCCTCTTGAGCATTGTCGAGGATACAGCTGTGACAGCAGGATCCGGTACCGATGCGGAAAATGTGGGTGGACAACTCGCACCTGGAAACTCGTAATATCTCATACTCGCGAGTGCTGCAATGCTGGGTGCAGCAGAGAGGCGGTGCCTGGAGAATAGCGGACTCACCTTCGTCTTGTTTGTATCAAACCCTAAGACGTGTTCGTAATACTTAGTTGCATCCTTCAAGATTTGATGCAATCTCACAAGAAGAGGTGACCCAGAGATCGTTACAAGGGCGAATTCTGTGCGGTTCTGGAATATGCAGGTTTCTAGCTTGCGGGATATAACGCCAGGACAGATGTTCCGGGAACTGTTTTATTTGTAAAGCGCGAAATGTACAATTGCAAAGGCATATATAGCTGTTGGGCAGCTCGCTCGGAGATGTGACTACATAACGACGGGACCCTCTGAGGAATGAGCGGAAGACGAATCGATGTGATCTGTAGTTCATTCGGATTAGTCTTACCGACACACATCGACCCGTCTGTCATGAGCGAGACGTACTACATATCGGACAGATCGGTATTGGCTATGCTGGAGCTGCTGCATCAGGGGTAGAGCGTTAACTTGCAATCGACCTGATACAGACACCACGCTAGTCACTTACAATTCCGCTCAGCTGTCTCAAGCAACGTGTTCCATCCTGGTACACTCTCCTGCTCATCCTCGTTCAGTTCTACACCGAGGTTCTCGGCCGCGATCCCGAGCGCTCGAATATCGACAAGCATCTGCTGTTTAAATCGCTCTTCCTCTTCCTCGATGGTCGCCGATGAAGCGTTGCTGCTTGAACCGAACAGCGAGAATGTGCTCTTCTTGCCCTTTCGATGACGCCGCAGTAGATCTTCCGTCTTTTGCACTGACACCAATATCGAGGTGTATCTGCACGGCAACCTCATCGTCAGCTTCGAGCATCACGCTGGCTTAGTATGTACACTTACGATATCACGACCTCCTCCATGACTTTGCGGGACCATGCTGGCCCAACCTCTTCCCGTAAACCCGACCCATACCCGTTCTTTCCAAAGTAATCCGCTAGCGGCTTCAGGATGTTCGGTATAAAGTGACTCGGCTTGGGTTCTTCCTTGAGCTGTGCAGGCGGCAATGTTCGGAGCTGGGATGCGACCGACCGAACGAGTTTGAGTCCGTCGGTACACCTTCGAGTAAGGATGGCGACGATATGGCCCGACGGGCCGTTGAACAGGGCAGACAGAGATGATAGCGAGTGATCCAAGGTTGCTGACCGCGAACGAATGGTAAGAACAGTCTTTCCCCGGGTTCCCGCACACGCGACTCACTCTGTATTCTATTGATCTCCTCTGGGGCCAAAGTCCGTTGAAGCAGTTCGTATATACGCTCGTCCCAGAACGCCGAAATATCCTTGTGGACTCTGCTGAGATCCGACGCGATCAAGCTGGCCGCCTTGAGAATCTGCTCTTCTGCTTGTGATGAGGCGGGATCAGAGCTTGGGTCGCCTGTAGGAAGTGATGGTCCGGTCAGACTCAGAGATGGTCGGGAAGCACTTGTCGATGTACGGGCGGCAGATGGCTAGAAATTCCGAAGTGGAGTCATTCAGAATGTTTCAGTAAGAATTATCGAAGTCGAGTCGAGCTCACCTGAGAGACTGGCTCGTAAAGCGCCGGTACAGATGACTCCAGGAATGTTCGGTACCGGCTTATTATCTGTCGAAACAAGAGAGATCGACTCGCGTGCGCTGTCTCGCAAACCGGAATGAAAGACTTACTTGCAACCCTAACCGCCAGAACCGAAAAGAGAGTTCAGGGATATAGACGTCTGGGGACCAACAACTCTTGAAAGCCATCAAAATGGCTGCAGTCTGCGGTAAAGCGTATCCGTCCCGCCCCCGTTCGGCTGTTATGCCCGCTTGCCCGATCACGAGATTGTCTTCTAGCTCTTTGACGATCTCTTTCCACCTCAATTGGAAGTAGACGGGCAGTTGCCACCGCCGTTCGAAGGTAAGATACGCATCTGTCGACCGCATCGCTACAACAGCCGGTACGGAAAGAGCGAGACTTTCCAACTGTTGGACAAACTCGTGAGCCAAGGTATAATTCTTAGGAACGGCAAGAATCAGCAAACGATCTGAATCGATCAGCGAGGTCCGACTCGGCTCACTTGATGCAGCTCAGCGACTCGACCAGCTGCGAATAACACTCCTCCTAGTTCCGACATGATCGATTCCGCTGCCGGTGTCCAAATCGAATTGGCCATGAACTCGAAATTGGCCTCGGGTCCGGAAGCTTTTGCGGCTGTCTCCGAATCGGTGTCCTCTGCCTCGTAATCTGCATCGTCGTCTCTCGTCTTGGAGCCTTTCGCTTCATTCCTTTCCCTGATCTCTTCGCTTGTCCTCAACAAATCTAGGAGACTACCGTCGATATACCGCAGGACGTTGTTAAATATAGTGGCTACGGGTCCCGCAGACTCGTCCAGAAGCTTGACTTCTCTTATCTGCTCTGGTAGCGGTATTGTTCCGGTCGATCGTCCGTCGTCCTGCTTCAACGTGGTCTCGAAAGGATTCGGGTCTGCTGATTTTGGTGCTAAGCTTGTCATTGTCATTGGGGTATGTGGAGCTGTCAGTACGGGAGACATAGGGTTGTTGTCCTTGATACCGAAGGGTGTGACCGGAATAGATGGTGATGGTGCTGTGGTCAGATACCGCACTGAAACATGCTTTTTGTCCGTGAGTTTGAGTGTCAGCTAGAAGGCTCGGATGTCAAGGGAGCTCACGCTGCTCACATTTCGGACCCCGTCAGCAACGATCTGCTTGACGACTTGTTCTGCCTCTCTCCACCCTTGAATATTGTTATAGACCTCCAAGCAGCTCCGCAGAGTCCGTCTACTCTGATCGGAGGTTTGAGACCTGGATGATTGCCGCCTTTGTAGAGTCGAGGCTAATATCCGTTTGAGGTTGAGGAGCAAAGCTTGTCGTATTACTTCGATTCTCTGTAGACATTGTCAATATTGGGTACATAGAAGTTCAAAGCTTATTGAACAACTCACGCTCTCAACGGATCCCTCATCCCCTAAAACGTATTCGCACTCCTCCGCCCGAGCTTTCATGACAAGGTACATGACCTGCGTGTATTCGTTGGCTATCCGGGTGATGGTCTTGATATCTTTCGGTTCCTCTTCCTCTTCGCCAGCGTCGATGATAACTGCAAGCTTGGGTCTGCCAGTTCGGCTCGAGCTACTCTCTTCAGGCTGCTCATTCTCCCGAGGTTTCTGTAGCTCATCTTCCGAGGTACGTATACCAAGTAGCCCTTCCGTCCGAGTCAAGCTTTCACTGAGATGAAGGAGGGTATCCAAGATCGCTCTTTCTCCTCTCAAGGATGACCGGTCGTCGAGCTTTGACTGTAATGTCGTTTCGGATTGGTGCAGATGAGAATGAATATCCTGAAGTAGCCACGGTACGAGTCAGCTTCGAACGTTACTGGATAGCTGGGAAACCGGAACTCACCTGAACCTCGACCTTCAGTGCTTCGAGGGGATATTTGAGATCTTCCAGACGACTCCCTTCTCCTCTAAGACCCAGTCCCAGGCTGATAAACTCTTCATAGTCGTCGTTGATGAGGCCGCCCAGCTCCTCCTTCAAGACCCCCAGATACTCCCGAAGCTCGCCTCGAAGCTCTTCCAATGGTACGTGTAGCCGAGTCAGGAGGAAATCATCCACGCTCCAATCCTCTGCTGAAGCTGTCAGCATAGGGTGGTCGTGCGAAAGCGGCAGGAGACTGGGTAGATCCGGATGCTTCCCCTCGTCGGTGATTTCGGACACCGCATCTCTTGAGGAGGTTGACCATCGCGGCTGAGCGACAGCTCCGTTCCGTTGTTCGATCACATCAACGGCAGCCATTACTAGTCTCAATCTCGATGAGGGCTGCCCTCGTGGATGGCCGTGACACCTGCGAGTGCTGAATGGCGAGTAGCATCCAAAGAGTACATGATAGCCACGAATGCACGATGTACCCTCGGCTCACTAGGGCGACTCGTTGTCACGTGATCAACGCGCGCGCTGCTGACCTTCTCCAGTGCGCTCCCAATCCCTATGCAAAGTGTGAGGACCCAGATGACCCCATTATCTCAACAACGAGCACGGATACCCCCATTTTGGACTCCATAAATGTGGTTAGGGGGTCAAAATGAACATTTTGTTGCATTTCCAGTTTTCTGCAAATGTGTGACTGGTGAGTTGTAGCCACTTGAAATTTTTGAATCTATTTCTAGACAGCTAGACAGATTTGCAGAATGCTGGAAATGCAACAAAATGTTCATTTGATCTATCTTACCAACCCTAAAGCAAGAAAAGTGGGGGTATCCGTGCTCGTTGTGGAGATAATGGTCATGTTGTGCATATCTTGAGCCAAATTCAACCTCTCCCGGAGAGGTCGCGAAGCTGGTGAAGGTTAGGATTTGGTTCCGAGGGAGACTTTGTAAACAAATCGCCCTTTCTACTGACGACATGGACTGGATTGAACCCTCTCGAGCCTTTTCGCTGAGATGGTCCATCTCAGGTCTCGCATTGGACCCCCATCCGATCTTGATTATTCATAGTCTGGGAGGAGAGATCTAGCCGCCGAATGCTACATTTCCCGGTACCGAGGCCGACGGGTCCACCGGCATCCCCTTGGCGGGCATCTCCGGAACCGGCCTACGACCAAGCATCACCTACTCGCTCTTCTTCATCCGACAAGAACTTACCTGCGTTGCCACAACAAGATCGTGGTCAGATCCTCAGTATGTCACAGTCTGACATTCCACGGGAGGCTTCCTCTTCCAACGGATCAAAGGGTGGATTCAAATGGTGGTGGAAAGGAGGAAAGAAGGAGGCAGAAAGGCGCAAATCGCTCGGAATAGGCAGTAGCCGTACTTCGTACCATGTTGACGAGCTTTCGTCGGGATTGCAAGGAGTAACCATCGGGAACAACGGGCCTCGCGCTTCGTCTGCAAGATCAGAAAATTTCAGCAACAGTCTTAAATTTCCCGATACTGTTGGCGGGAACATCCATACCGATCCTTCCGGGAGGAAGCGAACACCTCCGCCTCCTCCTATACCCCCTCGACCCGAAATTTCCACTTCTACCTCTATGAGAACGCCCGTGACATCGTCATCTACATCGAGAACTAGCCCTACCAAACTCTACCGAAAATACGATCCGCCTCCTATACAGGTACCCGCCCACCTGCCGGATCTGTATAGCTCACCGACGAGGTCGAGCCGACTCCAGGAATCTGAAACACCGTCACAGCACATGCATCATAGCCGTTCGCAGCCGACATTACTTGCTACACAAGCCCAACAAAGGTACTCTGCTCCGCAGCAACCATATCTACCGCACTCAAGCACGACTCCGGAGCTCACCTCGTCGAGACCGATTGTAGGCCCGCAACCGCCGCACTCCCAGGGACCTCGCACACCGCACGAGTACAGGTCATCTGCATTATCACCTACCCATCGAGACAATCTGGCCGACTCTGCCAGATACCGATCTCCACCATCTTCGCAACGATATGACAAGCTACCGCCGCGCTTTCAGCCACCTACGACCCCTACGTCGAACCGCACGAGCACTTCCCATCTGGGCACCCCGGCCTCGAACTCAGGTTCTCCTGCTCGGCCTGGAACTACCGGTACATCTCGTCAATGTTCCGGTTTCACGCGACTAGGAAGGAGATGTAAACGGATGGTCAAGACTGCAGCACCTTATGCGGCGCTAGTAGATGGACAGCTGGAAATCATCAACAAGCCAATAGCTGCTTTGGGTAGCCCTTCGTCGATTCGGAATGACGGTCGCGGTGTCGTTGCTGACGCTGGTGATACAACGATCGAAGAGGAACCTCGATATTGTCGGGATCACGTCAAGCAGATCTGCGATGCCGAAGGATTCTATTGGAAGGGACAGAGAGGAGACAAATGGATCAGGTTTTCGGATTGGATACCGGATGAGCTGGAAGAACAGAGTAAAGTGTTGTTACGGTTGACGATGGAGAGCGCTTTAACGAGCAGAGTGAGTGAAGTGCGATACTCGCGTTGGTGAACCGCAACCTTGCTGATCGGTGGGATACAGGAATGCGAAGGATATATTTACGCCTACGAATTACGAGGTGAGCCGGTCGTCCACCGTTGTTTCGGCTAATCAAGACTAACGATAAAGAATGGACCGCCGAAAGATTTACAAACGGATAAAATCGCCTACTACAAGGTAGGCCGAACAGACAACGTGACGCGGAGGCTTGACGAGTGGAAGAAGCGTAAGTTTCAGGTTGTCCTGTGTTACGCGGACCATACTTATAAGGATGTCTGTCTGCAGGCTGCACGTCCCATCATCCGACTTTGCGCGATATCTTTCCGCTTCAAGACGAGGGGCCGGGTCACTCCATGCTGCCGGGTGCAATGGGAGGTGGGATTGAAAGCGATGGTGCGGCACGACCGACGTGTCCCGCAGTCAAGCGATTGGAACGTGAGTATCTTCCTTCTTCAACTTACACATAAGATCTTGATCGTGCTGATATTGATCTCATAGGGTTGGTGCATATCGAAATGGCGGCGCATTCTGCCCAGAGTACTGGCAATCACTTCAGAAGAACAAGATACGACTGCTTAGACTGTCAAACATCGCATCAAGTGAGCGTTTCCACGTTGAAAGAGCAACATCTCGAATTCGGGCTGACAAATCACGATTCAAAGGAAATCTTCCCGATCACCAGGGTACTGAAGGATCCGCACCAGTTGGATGCTGCAGGGTGGGAGTACGAACAGGTGGTCAAGACGGCAATCTTGCGGTGGGAAGCCTTTGTGCGAGAGATTATGACCTGAAAGTTTGCGTTTAATGTCCCGTTATCGGGCCATAGATACTAGCGAGTCGTGGTCAGATACGATTGTAATACCACGGCCGAAAGGCTGCATCGCTTCACGTTTAACCGATACGGCATGTTCGTGCATGCGAGACCCGGCGTTGAAGCGGTTCTGGCCAGTAGTAAATATGGAGTCCAATATCGATTTCCGCTGTCGACAATCCATACAAATGCAATTTCAAGTGCGTCTGATAATACAAAAATCTTACAATCGGCCTTACTAAATCCGGCAGCCTAACCCTCCCTGGCGACCTCCTCGACGCTCTCCTTGAAGATCTTGCATGCGAGCGCCATCTCTTCCTCGGTCACGTTCAGAGCGGGGATGAACCGAATGACGTCGAAGACCGAGGTGGTGAGGATGAGCATGCCCTTCTCTAGACACTTTTTAGCGACGCGCGAACCGATGTCCTTGACGCGCTGGTCCCCCTTTTGGGGTACCGAGCCGGGTTGCGATTCGGACTTGTTGGCTCCGACGGCGGCTCCGGAGATGATAGAGGCAGCAGAAGGAGGTTCGGTGAAGGGAGTAAATTCGACACTATAGCGACAGATCGATGAAACAGATAACATACATCAGTTCCCGCAGTCGATCGATTCTGTCGGAAATTTCGAGCTTACCCGACCATCAAACCGGCTCCTCTGACATCTCGGATCATGTGTCCAGTTAACTCGGACTGCTGTACCTCCCTCAGAGTAGCAAAGAGTTGCTCTGATCTCGCATTGACGTTGTCGAGGATGTTCTCCTTTTCGAAAGTCTCCAGCACGGCCATCCCAGCGGCACAGGCCAAGGCGTTTCCGGCTGATAACGACGGGACCACGGAAAATTAGCCAAATCCTCGACTCTAGACAAATAAGACCAGTCAACGGCTTACAATAGGTTCCACCCATACTTCCGGGCTTCTGACCCTTCATCACGTAGTTCTTGGCGACGATCGCCGAGAGGGGCAGACCACCTGCGATTCCCTTGGCCATGATCTGGATATCGGGTACGACGCCTGAGTATTCCGAGTAGAACATCTTGCCGGTCCTTCCGAATCCAGATTGAACCTCGTCGAAAACTGCGAAACATCGCAAATATAGGGGTAAGGATATATCTTAACCTGGTATCGCCCCATAGCGGAGACTTACCGAGGATAATTCCCTCCTTGTCGCAGACCTCTCTCAGGCCCTGCAACCATTCCTTCGGAGCGGGCACGTAACCACCCTCACCGAGGACGGGCTCGATGACGATACAAGCGACCTCGTGAGCGGGGATCTGCTGCTTGAACAGGAGAGCGAGGTGAGAGAGGGAGAGCTCGGTCATCTTCTCGACCGGGGTATCAGCGGGGACGTGGAGCTGGGAAGCATAAGGGAAGGGAGTGGGGTAGATTCCGGGCTGCGAGCGTACGAGAGGAAGTTGATCAGCGCGTGGTTACGAGAATGATGCAAGGCGACGCAAATGAGCTCACCAGAGAAGCACCGAAGCCAGCGGAGTAGACAGTCTTGGAAGCTAGAAAACCCGTTCATCAGCTCGGCTTCAATCTTCCTTTCCGCGTTTCGGCATTGCCTGCTAAGCGTTACGTACTGGTCATGGCAGAAGTGGCATACGTCCTTCCGTGGTAACTACCTACAACGGCATAACAAGCATAGTTGGTCAGCGCTCCGGACCGCAAGCCAGGACATTGCCTCAAAGTCAAAGCAGACGAGATTTCGGCTCACCCTGCATGACGACGACACCTCGTCGGTTGGTATAGTTCTTTGCGACCTTGACGGCGTTCTGACGTCATCCACACATCCACCGAAATAGCATATCTCCCGTCAGCTTAAACACGATGTGTTGATGAGAGAGCGACATGGACTCACCTCGACGGCCTCGCTTCCAGAGTTGGTAAAGAAGAATGTGTCCAGTTCGGGACTCGGCATGACAGGGATCAACTTTTCGATGAGTTGCAGTTGGGAGAGCGAGTGAGCGATGTTGACCTGGGAGTGAGAGATCTTTTCCACCTGCGAGGTCACGGCGGCGGTGATGGCCGGGTGAGCGTGTCCGAGGCAGGTGACTCCCTACAGCGATGGGCAAACAAGATACACATCATTAGCAACATGAGGATCGATGCGAGACAAATCAGAGCTGAATGCGGATGTCTCACGATCCCAGAGGTAAAGTCCAACCACTTTTTCCCGTCCGTCGTCCATACCCACGTTCCCTTGCCCTTTTCGATGACGAGGTCGTTGGAGACCCTCCCGATACCGGGGGTGATGTGCTTGTTGCCGAAATCGCTCGAGATCGAGGTGGACATGGTTCTGGCAGATACGGCGGGTCGTACGATGGACGAAGTAGAGGATTTAGGGATGGTCCGGAGGATCGACGCGGATTTGAACATGATGAAGGAGGATCTCTTTGCTGAGTTTGCGGGGGGTCTGGGGAGTTTGGGGGGATGTATATTATTATATAACGAGGTGTGTGTGGATATATAGACAGTAGTAATTGGTGGAGATTAGCCAAGGATAAACATCGGGGGTCATGAGGTAGAGCCTGAGCGTGAAGGCCGCCCATCGCGTATACCCTCCCTGCCTCGCTTATAATACACGCGGGGAAGACAACCTCGGCTGTAGTAGACGACACGCTTACGTCACTTTTGCGCTTCGCGCCCACAGTCGGTATGGTGGCATGCTCGCAAAGTCAACCTGCAACCTGAACATCGAGGATGCAAGCACGCAGGCCCGTTGTGTCCTGTCCGTATCGCATAAGTGTACAAGAACGCAAGCAATATATATAGACGTTTACTTGGAAAAATTCAAGGCGCAAAGAATATTGTCCATGTGAAACAGTACGATCGAAAACCGGGTTCATCCAACTCTCGACGAGCCGTTCAGGGGTATCCGCTGGAGCGGGCCGTTGGAATCGAACCGGGCCACAGCTCTCCGTAGGCTCCCTTAAGAAGAGACGTCAGTCTTGAGTTGTCTCGGCTGCATTGATCTCGAAACGCTGAGAATTCCTCCCGAGTCGTGGAGAGTTTGTTCTCAGTCATGGAGAGTTTCATCCGAGTCTCTGTGAGTTCGCGCTGGCTTTGTTCGAATTGGCTTTGAAGTTCAGCGATCCGAGCCTCCGCTTCTTCCAAGTTTCTAACACGCTTGGAAGGTCCTCTGATGTCGTGTCTCCAGATCGCTGTTGCGATTGTCACAGTCTCGGTCTGGGATCCGTCCAGGTATCTATCCAATCGCCGCTTGAAGTCGAAGTGGTAAATGCCCCCTTCAGGGGCTCTGTGAACTTGCAAGTCCTCTGACAACTCGTAACCTGCTTGATAGGCTTCGGGAAGGTTCTCCTTGGTGAAGTTCGGGGAAATCATGGTAGAGGGTCCTCGAGCATTCTTCGTGAGAGATGCCAGCAGGCCTTGTAGAAATCCGAGCTTGCCTCCAGGTTCCCCGACATGGAACCTTTCTTCCGAATTTATGACCGACTCCAACGTGTCCAACAGCTTGCAAGCGTTTTTACTGGCTCCCAACCCTCAGCCAGCGCTGTACACAAGTCCCTAGCAGGTTGAGGCGTGCGTGAAGACTCCCAAGCGACCCACTTTTCGAAATGCTGATTGCGCTGCAGAATGGAATCATAGTACTTCGTGCGTTCGTTGACCATGTTCTGAAGAATTGAATGTGGACTCGTATGTTTGATCCGAGTTGAATGTGAGCGTATCTAGGCGACACGTTCTCTTGGGTGGAAGTCGCATGTGGCTTCCTACCCAGCCCCGGTATATATACGAATCTGCTCGCCGCTTCTGGGAACCATGACAACATCGATCATGAATCTCAACAAAGGTGTAATGGTAGTCTGCAAACATTTCTCGTTCCCTTCCCCTGGGGGATCATTACGTCAGGTGACGAAAGCGCACATCAAAGGAAGATCAGGGTTATATGCTCTGGCTGCCCAAATCACAAGCGCCCACTGATCTCTTACTGCATGTTACGCCTTTTACGGTTGCGTGATGCTCGATGTACTTGTCAGTAGCAGTCGATGCTCATCTTGCGGAATGATGACAATATGTATACCATTGTCTCTCCTCAACAAGCTTATCCTCCAACGCGAAAAACACGGAACCCACTGTATATCTATAATGCATACACGCCAACAGACCGGAAGCTATGACAATAAACCTAAAATAATGACCTCAACCTACTCGTCACCCTTGACCCGCAGTCCGTTGACGTTCCCGCGTCCATGTCCGTTCGTATGCCCATGTCCATTCACGTTCGGGTTCGCCTTTACCTGCCTTTTTGCCTTCTCGTCCAGCTCGATCGCAGCGACCTTTTCCTTCTCGGCCGCCGTTGCGGCCGCTTGCTTGAGCGCGCGCTCCGGGTGGACTTCGTCTTTGCCCTTGGAAGAGACGAGATCGCCCGTCACACCGTCTCTTGTGTCGGCGTCGCTCTCGGGAATGTCGCTGTATCAGGTAACGTCGATATTAGCGGGAAGTTCAGGCTCATCCTCGCGGGTGAACCGGACTCACTCTTCCCCATCGCTCCTGGTGTCCTCAGCGCCGAGACCCATAACGACCCTCCAAGCGACATTACAAGCCATCCAGAACCAAATACAGTTCATGATCAAGAGCACGATCAACAGCGCCGGGAATCCGTTGATCACCCAAGCGTTGGCATATTGGCCCTTTTCCGGATGCCAACCCCAAGGCAGAATGTGACGGGCCCGGAAGATGCAGGAGAGGGTGACGAGGGAGAAACCGATTTGGCGGGTGATAAGCCAGGAGATGAGGAAGACGACGAATGTCAGATCTGTCAAGGTGGGAAGACGGAGATACCGGAATAGCTTGGCCAACTTCAAGAACACGAGATGAGATCAAAGTCAGCTTGTTGTCGCAAATGATACAGCACTGATTTTCGGTGATTCAACTCACCGGCAACCAGATATCACAAAAGTCCATCAACACTAAAATGACCGTCCCGACCCTCGTGTAATTCGCCCAATAGCTCCCCATGACCAAAGCGATGGTGACGAAATGATGAGCCAACATCTGGTAGTAATCCTTTCTCCTGGCCTCGAGGTTGAAGATGAAGAGCTGGTGGAACCAGAATCCGAGTTGGACGAGGTAGTAGAACTTGGTCAACGGGCTCAAGGGAGTGTGCGGGTAATTGTGCCAGAGGTATCGCGACGAGAAAGGGTTGATCGGTACGAGATGGAGGATGTACTGTGCACGTAGAGCGATGGATACCGCATGTCAGTCTTGATCGTTTGAGCTTATACCGAGTGGATTCGTAAAGAGCGAACTCACGAATCCCAGACACCAGAACACTGTCGCATACGTGCACGTCCAAGCCTGCTCGGCGAACCTCACGATCACCCGATCCCTCAACTTTTGCTCCTTTTTCGACAATCTCTCCTCCGTCCTCTCCATCACCCCAATCTCGACCTTCTCAGACCCAGCCTGCAGCTGCTTCCGTTCCTGCATCCTCAAACTCCGATTTCTCTCCCTCTCCTTGATATCCAGCCGACAGAGGTACCACCGTGCAAAGGGCCTGTATGCCCATCGCATCAATGCTTCTCTCAGGATCGTGAACGTTACGGCCCAGAAGATGACGAAGAGGGCGTCGTTCGGACCTTTGTCGTAAAAGAGGTTGTAAGGGTGGGTCGAAGGGTGGGGGATTGTCAGGGGTTCGCAGAGCGGGAGTTTGTGGTTGTAAGAAGATGCTGGTATTGATGTTGATGAGGAAGACGGGGCGTTATAGTAAGAGGTGTAAGGTGGGCGAGGCTGACAGTCCGAGCTAGAGCTGCTATCCGTCGCAGCTGATCGGTAGGACCCCGCCGTCGCGGAAGAGGGGCCGACCCCATATCCATTTCCATGTCCATCGACAAACACCCGTTGTGATTCCCCGTCTCTCACTCCCGACCCCGACCCTGATCCTGACCCGTGCCGACCCGCATCTGCATCCTGCTGCAAATACCGCGAACTGGCGGATGAGTTCCGGCCTACCTCCCGTTCCGACCGGATAGGATAAGAGAGCAAGACGAAGGGATGAATAGTCTCAGGGAGGATCGACCGAAACGACTCGAGGTCGATAGTTGAGAGGTGTTCGAGGGCGTTGTCGTAGTACTGCATGGTTATGGCTCTTAGTGTCGAGGTAGGTTGACTTGTTGTCTTGGTCTACGCAGGTTTCCGTAAGAAATCGCTGCGGCGTAGATGAAGAGATTCGAGGGATCTTTTGAAGTGTCCACCTGTTGTCGTTGTTCCGTTCAGATCGCACGTTCCAGAAAGTTGTCGAGGCCGATATATCCGTGTGCTCACGTCAAGGCTGAACGGAGTATATGGCTTCAGAACAGATGAATGGCCTAATCGCAACTGCTAGCTTCTTTCCTGGATCCTGTGCGGGCGAGTTGACGGTAGTGTGTTCCGTGTTGTCCTTTTTGTCTAGCGTATTATATTGCAACGACCCGAAAACCTGCTCGATCAGACAAAAGACAGGTTTCGAATTTTGAAGGAGTGGTGATCGGACGTCTCGCGTCTGTTGATGGAAGAGGTGCCCTCTTTTTTTCCCTTTTCTAACGGAACGATACCAACGAGAGTCCAAAAAGCGAGCGGGGAGGTGACGGATAATGCGTCCTAGCGTAAGTTATAAGTCGACGACGAGAACGATGATGCTGGTAACATCAATAATTTGGCTAACGAGAGCGAATCGCGACGACTACTATTGCGTTTTGCTCTCGATTCCCCAACAACATGCAGCTCCTTGAAGATAAAAACAGCTTCCGAACGCCAGCGAAGAGACCGAACCCCTCGCAACCCATTTCACGCGACGCGAGCACTGATATAACGATGCCGTCGCGATCACGCCGCGGTACGATTTCACAACATGTAATCTGTTCTGCTGTTCAACAGGTTTGACCTCCTTATAAATTGCACTATCGCCATCGACTTGATCACATTTCCAGCCGCAGCGACGTATCGACACCGGTGCGACACCTGCGCATTCCGACGAGTCGCGCGTCTCGGTAGCGCCCGCGTTTGAAGGAAAAGGTTCCGAGACAGCAAACGCTGGTTCCGGCCGAGTTGAAGCCAAATCAATTGTGCACGAGTTCTCTGGGTTGGACGACGAAAAGTACCTCTTTCGCGACGGACCCCTCTACGCATCATCGCGGGGTGGGAGATGTCAACCTCGAGACCGATGACATTCTGACAAGGGCTACAGGCTTCAGGTTGAATGCGACAGAGGAGTCAAGGCCTGCTTTCTCAGCACCGACTCGATCATCTGCTATATCTATACAACTCAAAAAAGACATCCTCGCCATGTCACGGGAAACCAACCAGCCTTGTCCGACTTTGTACGTCAACAACATCGAATCCAAGATCAAGAAGATCGGTGCGTACCAGCTCGGAATCCTTTGCACGGCTCCATACCTTGTCATGTCAGGACACAGCTAATCGGACTGGCTATCTGGGAATGTTTGATGACGTAGAACTAAGGAAACAGCTTTATGCCCTCTTCACGCCTTATGGAAAAGTGTAAGCCAACACTTCCGCGATTCTACCCTTCTAGATCCGCCCATCTTGCTGACGACCTTCTCACATCTGTTCCCGTGAACTATCCAGCATCGACGTCGTAGCTAAAAAGGGAGACCATGCACGAGGTCAGGCGTTCATCGTCTTTGCGGATCAGACGAGCGCGACGACGGCCATGAGGGCGTTAGTCGGGGAAGAGTTTTACGGTCGACCGTTGGTGAGCCTTGACTGTCTTCCTCCCCCACCGCTAGTTTGGTATACTGATATGTGTCTCTCCGTGATCTGATCGCCTTGATGATGTCTCTACAGCGAATCGACTATGCCAAATCCCAGTCCCGAGCCACCCTCCGTCAACAAGACCCGTCCCTAGACGACCCCGAATCAGCGTCCAACAAGTCGATGAAGAAGAAGAACCAGATCGTCACCGCCTCCCGGGCCGAGCAAGAATATACCGAGCTGGAACAACAGAGGCAGGAGGAGGAGGAAGGCAAGGGGAAGAGGGAGAGGGATGGGGAGGCCGATGGCGAGGGCGATGGAGAGGAGGTTGGTGGGGACCGGAAGAGGAGAAAGGTGGACAATGACGAGGATGAGGACGAGGAGATGGAGATGGACGAGGACGATGAGGACAAGCAAGGTAAGTTTGCGAGGACATCGAAAGTGGTGTCGGGAAGATTCCCGTGACTTAGACATTTTACAATTCGTTTGCCACGTAGCCGAGGCACCGCAGCGCAACGCACCTAGCGTGCCGACAGTCCTTTTGGCTTCAAACTTGCCTCAGGAGACTACACAAGAAGCTCTCGCCAACCTGTTCGAACAGTAAGTCTCCGTTCTCCCAGCAATCGCCGCGAGACATGTCACTCTGACACCTCATCCCCCTTCCTTTACCTTGCGTCGTCTCGCAGATACGCGGGCTACCAAAACATCACCTTACTCCCAGCCGGTTCTACACCGACGAAATCCGCCTCGGTGTTGTTCAGCTCGCTGCAACAGGCCGAGTCGGTACAAAAGGCCTTGGACGGGTTCAAGCTCAAGCCCGACTGGGCGATGGGGGTTGTGGTCGTGCCGGTCGATGCACTCGCTTGAAGGCGAGAATGACAAGGGAGATGATGAGCTGTAGATGAGTAACGTGATGTATGCAACTAATATGCAGCGTGTATGCTCGCAGGCCCGGAGTTCGCCGGGACGATAAAGACTCAGATGAACGGGCCCAGTCTACGTTGATCTTCATGGGCGATCTTTGACACTTACTCTCCTCCAACGCTGGTGATCAGAGCGTAGCCGTCTTCGCCGGCTATCTGATCATCCACCGTAAAGCGGTAACTTTGGCAGTAGCGCAGTAGTGGGATGTGGATGTCAACGTAGTATGCGGCCTGCGGACGGACAAGCAGAGCTATTCTCATGTCCGCTCACAGCAGACCAGAGCGTCTATCAACCAGATCAGCCAGAGATTGCATCTTTGCATATTTCTGGTACCTCCCATAGCTCCTAGTGCTTGTGGACATCCACCATTGTGAGCGATCTTCACATACCTCACAGTGTATTCTACTCAGCAGCCACGACCTTCAATCTGGCGGGATCCGGACGGTGAGGTATTCTCGACAGCGACAATTACAGATGGCGGAATCGTGAGTCTCTTCCTGGTCCGTTTCGTTCTCGGCCCACTTGTCCAATGACTCGGGTAGTAGCAGGTTGTCGTTCGAGACTGCCACAACAAGCTGATGTTCGACAATTGGCTAACTCTTGTGCCAGATCCGCAACTTCTACTTATGATCTAGTCGAGTTGGACGATGCGGCTCCTGCGCCTGCTCCTCAACATCTACACTCTCAAGAGGGTTCGCCAACCTTGCCATCCTCCACTGAGACTCAGGAACCTACAAATGGCCTCGCCTCTCCATTGCCGTTCGGTTATCCTAAGCGGCCCGGTGCCGTCGGGACCATGGCCGACTTCCTCGCCTGGTTTCCCCTCTACGGGATCGTGCAGACCGAGACCGTCACCAAAGTCTTTTGGCACATGCTGACGAGCTGGTTCACCACTGGTCTCCTCTACAACACGACCTCGATCGACCTCGATGAGAAACGAAAACACCATCCGCTCGTCCAGGGCGAGACGGCGGTGCTCCGAGATCAAAAGGAGGGCAAGGGCAAAGGCAAGATCAGGACCACGGCCTTGATCCCGTTCAACCACAACTTGCCGGATTGGGTCGTGTCTTATTTCGCGACGGGGTACGAACCCGGGGAATGGGTAGCAAGGATCAGCATGGTCGTCGAAGCCAAGCGAGCTAAAGATTGGGACATTGTGAGCGGCACGACTACCTATGCCCTTGTGCTCACCCCCATTGCGCTCATCTCATTGATGGCTGAACCTCGCGCCCTTCGCTGAATGATCATTCCCGCTCCACAGGCCATGTCACAGATCATCGTTTACATGGCGAAAGCTTTGCTGATGGACGGCTGTGCTATGGGTCTCGTTGTTGCCGGGACAGAGTACAGGTACAGTACCGCTCGAACAGCACGCCCTAGCAGATCATCAACGAAGTCTTACATCTGGGCGCGACCCTAACTAAACAGGTTTCTCTGGTGGGACACAAAGCAAGGTCGCCTCTACTGGGCGGTTCCGGCATCTAGGTGGGCACCCGACTCGCTCGAGATGAGTGAAGCCATCGAAGGTTTTACGAACAGCGGGCATGAATGGAACGTCGCTCACCACGTTCCGGCGGCACGAGATCGGGCCCGTCGCAACCTTTACACTATCTTCGAAACGCTCGAACGGCAAGTACGGGCAACGATTGAGAGGGAAAACCAAAACCCCCTCTGTGGCGGTGGCTTTCAACAGCGGCCAGTCTTGGATGGTGCCAAGTTTGTCGAGATCACAAGGGTGTGGAAAGATCTTCCCGGTTCATCGTCACCCGCGACCATCGCTGTTACAGTCCCAGACCCGACTCTCGAACACCCTCGGAAGCTACCTGATGGTCAGACTAACGTCGCTCAAGCCCGTGGGAACGGGGACGAACACGATGATCGTTCCGAGGACCCAGCCGGCGACGGTGATTCTTATCATGAAGATGACGGTTCATCATGCGACACCGATGAGGAGGCGCAACACAACGCGATGCTCGAAAGCCTAGGCGACGCGGGCGAAGACACCAAGGCAGTCTGCTTGTGGTTCCATGATTTCCAGGAGGAACACGTCTTTCCGAGACGATTGAGGCATCAAGTTGAGACCTGGGCACAAAACACCTCTGTCCCGAGCGAAGGACAAATTCCGACTGAAGATTTTGGCGCGCTTTCGTCGCCGACAGACCCTGGCAGGCAGCCCTTTTAATGTTTCGGAACGCCGATATCAAAATCCGTGCTGCCGTGCATCCAAAGGCAGTGTCTACCACTTCAAAGGCAGTGTCTACCACTGTGAGTGTGTCAAAACAGATGTTGATTGCTACCCTGAAGGCCGGTCTGGAGGGCTCTCCGTCCCGGTCAGCTATGACGGCCCAAATCTCGTCAGTTCGAACGACATCATCGCTACAGTTACTGTTTTCTGTTTTTCTTGACGTTACGAAAAATGTGACGACGCGCTTATCGACCTTGTACTGGAACTATATACCGCTGTGACCAGTATATCACGTTGCTACGAGCTTTTTCACTTTCCGCCGCCTCTCGCAAATTATCCTCCCGTATATTCTTATTCTTCTCACGGTGGCAGTGAGAATGTGCTTGATTTTGATGCCCTCTTGGGTGACTTGTTGAAGGAATGAAAGCTTGCCAAGCTTGAGCTTCTCAAGCTGTTGCAAAGGTAGTAGTTCCTCCATGTCCATGATGACGTATAGAAGCCGCTATCAAGGACGAGGTGTAATGGTGTATGCAACGCTAGGGTCTACAATCAGTTCAGTTCGAGCCGGAAATCTGTACCATAAAGCTGCCATGACAATACGTAAATATAGGAAAACCAAGCTGCAGAACCGGCTTGCGAAGGCTTTTATGAAGCTCGAGTGATTGAAGAAACAAGCCAAATGTCAGTTGCTCGGAAGCGGCCGTGCTGCCATTGTCGCGAGAATCCTGATGGTCGGGCCATTCTCCCTGCCGGGCTCGCTGCATCAAGTCAAGTCTCTCGACGGCACTATTCCCTCACTATAGACATTATTATCGAATTTGCATTCTCGTCAAAAGGCGCATGATCTCGTCCGTGTTGACTACAATGGTTCGTGCTGGTATCAAGTCCTGCCGAGGACGAGTCGTATGTTGTCGTGGATGTTCAATCCTGGTTGTCGTAAATAAGCCAGCCTCCCCTTGCTATCGGCAATCTCGCCAACGCTGCCACTCAGGGCAATCCACACAGCATCTTCGTCGCGGTTTACGAGCATCCGATAGAGCTGTACAGCCGCATCCTGCTGCTCTTGATGCACCTTGACGTCCAGAAAAGGCCGGAAAAGCATGATCGTCTCCCAGATCACACTATCAGCGACCGGCACTTCCTTGACGACGTACCGCATTGTGTTGATGATTGCTAAGTGTAGCCGATGCGAAACTGTATGAGAAGTCGACACGCCTCCCTGACCGCGCCTGAGCAGAGCCGATTGGTCATCAAGGCGTTTTTGCGTCGCCAGGATCTTCTTCAGCATTGGCCAGGCGTTGTCAAGAATACGACGAGACATGAAATCGCCAACCCATTTGGCCAAGGCTTCTAATAGTACCGCGGCTTCGGTGACCACGTACGGTTCCTTATCCTGCAGTCGGTTCAGGATATACGGCCAGGCGGTGTTGACCAAGGGTAACAGGTCGGACTCTCGGTTACCAGTCACCAAGACAGGTATACCGTTCGTGAAGAGCGTGAGTACCCGCGCGCGTACGAACGGCGACGAGTGGGTCATAAAATACACGTCCTTCTCCATCATCCGCTTACAGACCTCTTGAGTCCGGGTTGGCGGGATTTCCGGTTCGTCCCGAGCGTTCTCGGGCGGGTCATCAGGGTCGCCCCCGTTTTTGTCACCATCTTCTCCTTGACCCTCGCGTTTCCAAGCTTCTCGAGGGGTCGATTCGATGAGATCGTCAACGGCTTCCGCCGCCCTTGTCGCGCGGCCTCTGTACCATTCAGCAAAGGCTTCGAAGTCTCGAGCGGGATCTGGACCCGGTCGCAACCTCTTTGACGTGGAAACAGGCGGTGTCCATTCGGCCAGATCCGTCTCGTTTGTCATGGCTCGCATGAGGGTGTCGAGTACCGCCAGCATGGTAGAGGCAAGCAGTTCATACCCGTGATAGTCATCTAAACAATCAAAGATGTCGTCGACGATGTCCTGGACGAGCGGAACAATTGGCTCGCCAACGAGGCGGATCATCGAGATCAGAACCATCGGAGCCAGCGGACTTAGGCGTTGATACGTCATCCGTTGCGAGACAACATTGATCACATAGTCCACATTGTCGATAATCATGTTTTGCGGGGATGCATAGCCAATGTCGTACGCGATTCGCATCAGAGCGATTTCGGCATACCCACGGATGAAGGCGACGGGTGATCCGAGGTGTGAAAGCACGATATAGAGCGTGTTCAGCAGCATAGGTCGAAAGGAGGATCCCAATATGCGTGCGCATACGGACATCAGCGAGAGGGACAAGGCCGTCACCAGCTCTCTATGCGTCTTGATTTGCAGGGTACGATTCTCCCTCTCTGTCGTCTGATTACCACGATGATCTCGCTTCAAGAGGTTCGTTAAGGCATTGATGCCCTGTTTCTTCTCGACCACCATCAGTTCGTCCGAGACGGACTCTTGCTGTTCGTCATGCTGGGGTTCTTCCATCTCCTCTTCTTCATCGTCGAACATGATCAGCGTCCGCACGATCGACCTCGCTTCTTTCCTCAACCGTTTGTCGTCGATATGTTTCGATGTGACCAAACCCGCCATGATCCTCTCCGCCGCCCAGAGCGCCGAAGCGGCTTTCGGCACTTCCGTAGAACCTTTCTTGGCCTTGGCGATAGCGACGAATTGTTCTACCGCATTCAGCGCATCCAGTCCTGCGGCTTCACCTAGCGATTCAAACATCTCGCCTATTGCTTTCAGCAAATTCGGAGATTCCACCCTTTTCAGGAATAATTCCGGGAACTCTGGTCCACTGGCCTGGTCAGGCACATCCCCCTGGTCGGCATTGGCGCTTGCATTGGTCAACCTCGCCCCTTCGATCTTCAGGTGTTCGTAACTAGATCCCAATCTCGCCATTGCCCACGCTCTCTCCGCATATCCAGCCCCGGGCACAGCCAGCTCTTTGGCTCGTCCAAGTTCCAGGCACGTGAGCAGGGGCCAAACCCATCTCTGCATCCCGCTATTCGGACCTAAAAGATCGTGGAATAGCTTGAATCCCGACGAGCTTGCCGAGTCCGAGTCGGCTGCTGAGTTGAAATTGCGGTCGACATTGGCGACCAGCCGAGATAGAGCTGTGATGATCCTCGTTGCTTCCAGCGCCTTTGCTTCAGACTGCGACATGATGGCGCGGGGAAACCCGGCCAACGTCTTGTTCGCAATCTCTTTCAACCTCGATCTCATCTTCTCCGCGACATCCGTATCCACAGCGGTTTCCAAAATCGAAACGGCGATAAGGCTGTTCAAGACCTTGCGAGCCTTCCATGAGACCTGATCGTGTTCGTCCATCGTCGCCTCCAAAAGCACCTCTAACAATGCCACCTGGAGATTATGTAGGGACAGATGACAATCGACCAACAGCGCCTCGCAAAGATTCACAAGCTCCACTCGAACCAAAGGAGAGGTGTGCGTCCGGAGGGCCGGTATTACGACTTTGAAGGAGGTTGAAAGTTGGGCAGAGGTGAATTCCAGGTATTGCGCTGTGAGGGCTGGGAACGGTTCAGGCCGTTCAGGGGCGGCCTTCGGTATGCCTGCTCCCGTCTTATTCGTCGTCGAGACTTCCAAAGTCCCGTTCTCACTCGCGCCATCGATTCCGTCGACGCCACCCGCATTCAGATTGATTTCCTCGACGAGCTCATCCAAGCTAGTCACCTTTCGCTTCAAGACATCCTTCCTGACCAAAACCTCATCCCCGAGCGTCCCTACCAAGACCGCTTTGAGCAGACCTATCGTCCCTATAGCTACCTTTTCCCTAACTTGTTTCCCCGCTGCTCCTCTAGAAGTACTGAAGCCAGGACCGGGGCCGTTATTCAGGATCTTGATAGAATTGGAGACCATCCCTGGTAAAACGCTAGCGAGCATCTCGATCCTGTCCTTCATATAGACTCCGACGAGGTGGGTGAGAATTTTCAAGCTTTCAATAGGTATAATAGGCTGGGAGTCTGCTGTCGGTGGAAGAGAAGTGTCGAGCAGGGAAGAGATGGTGTGAAACAGGATGGGAGGGAGGATCTTGGAGTTGTATAGTCTGTCTAGGTGGGAGGATGTCGGGTGGGTTCGTTTGCCCAATGGTAAAAAAGTCGCTCCATCGTCTTCATCGTCGCTTCCATCTTCCAGATTCTGCTGAATGTCTTCAGAGATGGGTTCCAAAAGAGCTTTCATCAGGCCTAACACGGCCAACTTGCTCTCCTCGCTCAACGCCCTTCCCTTCCCCTTGTCCTGCTTCCCATCTCCCGTCGAACCGGACGATCGCATACGCCTGGGATCCAAACGTTGTAATGGACCTCCGATGAGCAAGGCCGATAAGGTCCAGAGTTGTTCCCACATGTTCAAGTCGATCCCGTTCGGTGTGCGTTTCCACCTCTCGATGAGAAACGTCAGGCATTCGAACAACCTCTCCAAGATGCGATCTGGTATACGTCCTTTTGTGTTCCCTGCTTCTTCCGAGCTGATAGGATTGTTGCGTTGGAGGAGATGGGTGAGGGGAAAGATGGTATAATTAATGATGGATGGGACGTAGGCTTCGTCAGGGATCAGATGGAGGGTTGTGTGGAGGTCGTTAAGGAGAGCGAGGTCATGTTGGTAGGTGGAGGGGTTGAAGGCGTGGATCGCCATGAACGGTACGCATTTGGGTTTCAGCTAGAGAACGTCTCTATATGCTCAGCAAGAGGTTCCTCAACATGCTTATAGGTAGCGACGACTCACCAGCCTGAAGGCCTCCTTCTTTAGTAAATCCGCTTGAGAGGGTTGTTCTGAACGAGGTCCGAACAGCCCTGATGTCGACGGACGCGGGCCCATCGCTGGATCGCCGCCATTCGTCCCGCTAGTAGGTACTCTAACTGGCATCGCTATGTGGGCTAGATCGAGTGCTCTCCATCGTTGAAGATGCTGTATACGACGTAGGAACGAACAAGTAGCAAGTACGTTATCCCCTTTGACCTCCACCTGACCCTTCCCTAGACCGTGCGCTTGGTTGTTATCGATTACGAGAGAAAGTTACGTAAGATGAGGAGCGAAGTCTGCGCCAAGTGGAAGCGCGCGTATCTCAACCACCACCCCTCACTCTAACCAAAAGATCGAGATCGTCGTCGCAACTATCAAGCATCACGAAATAAACCCCACCGACCAGGACCACCGTCGTTCATTCTACATCATCATGGCACTCCGAAATACTACTCGCAAAACTACCGCCCTCGTCCCGGCAGCGGCTCCCGTCATCGTCGAAGCGCTCCGAGCGGGTCCGCTGACGACTCAAGAACTGTGGGCTAAATGCATCAGCGACAGTGTCCAGAACGCCGGGTCAAGTCAACAAGCAGGAGAAGGAGGTAGTAGTGGGACGGACAAGTTGGGTTTGCACGAGGTGTTCAGGACGAAAAAGTGAGTCGAATCGACGTTGAAGTGGGGTGATGTCGTTTGGCTCGACGGTCAGGTTACTAACCTGGTATCTCGATCTCTCTCCTATCCTTCTCTTTCCATCGACACCGAACTTCCGACCCAACAGTGACCTCAAGAAACGAATCCTCCCCATCCTGGAAGCCAATGCCATCATTCAGCAACATCACCTCCAATACCCCCAAGCAAGGATCGTCGACCCGGCCAAGCGATCAAGCATGATCGTCGAGAAGTTGATCGCCAAGAGGCATAGGTCGGGACAGTCATCAACGCCATCGCAATCTTCATCGAGCACGGCAGCGGCATCCTCCTCCAAGACTGCCTCGACGACCGCTTCACCTTCCTCGTCCTCATCCTCGTCGACCTCGACGGATTTCGTCTGGAGCCTCAACCACAACCTACTTCCCGAATCAACTCAACACCCTTCTCTGTTCGACCCCACCCTCTCGACAACCTTGCAAGACCGACTCTCCCGGATCTCCTCTGGTACTGAATCCGTCCACTTGATCACCTCCCAGACCCGGGCCGAACGAGCCGCTTCCAAGGAACAGTACCACGAATCCAAGATCTTGCACTTGGCCCAGGTGCAAAACGTCTGGAAACGTCCGCCAGGGGTCTTGAACCCTAGGCGGTACGGCGGAGAGGCTGAGGAGTGGGTGTCGAGTGAGGAGGAGAGGCAGCATTTGAACAAGCGACGGGGGTTGAAGAGGGTCGGCAAGGAACGGAGGATGGTCAGGTTGGTTAAGATCCTGGGGGATGCTTATTTGGGCAAGGAGGGACAGGTGCCTACGTCCAGTTAGGTGCATGGCAAAGCAGGATGAGATGCAGGCGATGGAACGATTTCAGATAACGGGATTATGATGATGGGACGGACTCTGTACAACGGTATGATCATACAACATGGCAGCTTCGCATCTTCATGACCTTTTCCCTTGTCTGTCCACTTCATTCGCCTCAACCTCGACCTCTTCCGTTCCTTCACCATCAGCCTCGGCGTCGCCGGCCCCTCCTCCGACCTCATTTTTGCTCTTCCGCTTGTTCTTCTTGGCCCTGTTCAACTTTCTCCTCCGTTCCTTTTCCCACTTGATGTCCTGCTTCGAATTGCCCGGGGACAGATGTTGTTCGACCTGGTCAAGTCGGAACAGAATGGCACATGTTTAATAATGATCGAGGTTCAGCCCGTGTGCGACGGGTTGATGGACACCGAACGAGAAACCGACCTTATCTCGTAATATCTGACGGGCCAGCCGGCGATTATGCTGGAGTGAACGGGTCTCTTGACATTGGATCCTGATCCCCGTAGGAATATGTATCAGGGAAACCTACGAGTTTGCAAATAGCAGCCGTCCGGTCAGGAATGATGAAACAAGGTGAGTCACGAGGTTCGGACCGGTAATGATCGTGTAGTGCAAGAGAGGAGAGCTCACGGCATTTGAAGTCTTGTTGATCGATTGCCCTCCCGGCCCGCTTCCTATAGCGTCCGGGTCGTTCTTTTCAGATGATCTTCTGACGCAACCGAGGATCTTCTTGAAGCCAGTGTGACTCACCTCTAACAAACCGCTCTTCGAGTTCTTCTTCAGGTAGATCCGGGCTTTGACGGGTAGCTAGTTGTTTGTTCAGTTTCTTGATGGAGCTAGGCAACTTGTTCGGTTTAGGAGCGATGATGTGATTCTCTTCAGATCCTAAGGCTTCCAGGGCCGGAGATTGAACTTTTGGGTGGTCACTGTACCATCTCGAGATCGAGGTCGATGGCCGTTCACCACGGGCTTGGTACCCGACGAGATTGCACGCAAAAGGGCACTGCAGACGAGGATGAGCCAGGGCAAGTCTCAGAGATCGAGGCAGCATCCCGGAAGGTCACGGTCGAGATGACGTGAGACGACGAGCTGGTCAGTTGTGTACTAGTGTGCAAGTGAAAACGTCGTTAGTGGCTTAGTGATAGCTAGCCCAGTCTTGATCTGCGTAATCGCGGCCACCGGGGTCGGAAGCTAATACATGATTCTCCGGCTCCGGAAGCATATAAGCCGGTGCGGTGCGGTAACTTACGCATCATCACTCTCTTTGATACTCCTAGCTACGTCCACGACCAATCTGGAAGCTTGTTCCGCTCTTAGGTTCAGTCTAAATCCCTATCATCAGCATGGCTCAATTACAAAATGTCTATTACGAGAGAAAAGCGGCTACACCGAAACAATGCTATGTCTGTCGGACACCCACGACGACGGTCTTGTCGACCGTAAATACGGTCTCGTGGATTTACGTCTGTCCGAAGCATCTGGACGATCCGTGAGTCACCTGTACTCGTGTCTTGCTTGTGAGATGGTTCTGACTGGCTGATTGATAATACCGGCTGTCCCGCATCTATAGAGGATTGTAAGCTCTCCTCCAGACTGTCCATCGATCTTGCAAGATCTGACATCAAGGAGGGTATTATCGCCAGTGCGACTTTGATCCCACAACCCGAAACGCCAGCGGGCCCAAGTAAAGAAGATATAGCCAAAGTCATCGAGGAACATCGACAACGAGAAGTTCGACGGACCGAGGAATCAAAAAACAAGACCGATGATGCAGGAAAGGACGATGATGCGAAAGCAAAGGAAAAAGGAATCCCCTCGGATAAGCCTAAATCCTCTTCCAATGAAGCTCCACCTATTGGGATCCCTGATTCCTCATCCTCAGGCCCAGCTGCGGTCAAACATCGCCAGTTCGCGCTTCATCGCGGGATATTCAGCATGTTGGAACGAGAAGCCAAAGGGAGGGAACAGGGTGCCAAGGCGAAAGAAGTTGGCAAAGGTGCGTTTTTCGCTCGAGGCTCTTGTGTTGTGGTGTCTTGAAAAGATTGGGCTCGCTGATGCGGATCCGGAATACCTTATATCTCTGCACCGTAGGGTTACCACACGTGCCGAGGACTCAGTTTTGAGGTGATAGAAACACGGAGAGCTGATTGTGTATACCGAAGAATTCAGATTATCGCGGAGACGACTTGAAAGGGGACCATGTAATAGGTTGACGATACGCCGTAGTGATGAGGAACGTGTCGTCTTCGGAGTGACGAGAGGTGTGTTGTGGTAACAAGGATGTTGTAGCAAAGATATCGTAACAAAGGTGTTATACCGAAAGTAGATCATTGAGATTCATCATCGGGCTTGGCTAAGGCCCTATCCCTCATCCATTCTTCCAAATTGCTGAGAGCGCCGATACCGCCTTTTTAGGCATCCCCTTCCTCCGCACAATCCTTCGCAGCTTGTGCGTTCTCGTTAGCCAAGCGGTTCGAAACCTCACGGATGGGAGGGCGCTTCCGGTAGATCCTTGGTTTGAGACCATCTTTCGGCATCACGCCTAACCCCCTTTTTGCCACCTCTGCTTTCGCGAAGTTGTGCAGATCGCTCATCTGCATGGTAGTCATCAGTACGGCATTCGTAGACTTGCGACTGATATGTGAACGGCAGACGGGGGCTCACCATTCCGCCCCTAAATTCCTTGACACGCTTGACGCAGACGCAATAAGCGGCCTTTAGAGTCCTGAGGAATTTGCCTGCGTTCTTCATCCAGTTGCCCTCAACGATAGTTTGGTAAATCTAAGGGGCAGGGATGAGCTCCATCCAGAAGAATCCATTTCTCTCAGCTTACCGTTCTTGGCCTGAAGGAGAGTAATGGCGGGTTAGCAGCGATATAGTCGAGGGCCCAGTACGTTCCACAGATACGGAAGACTAGACAGAATGGAGGATTCCTGCTGATGGCGTTGATCCATTTCCCCCGAAGCCGTACCGACGGCACTGTCTTGGGCTTTGGATTCACTTCTCCGCCATGGTCCTGGCCTTTTCTGGCGTGCGCTTCTTGGTCGAGAAAGTCGGCCAGGTCCACATCCTGCCAGACCTTGAACATTCCAATATTCAGACTCTGGTTATGAGACACGGCCTTTTGTTCTACGCCGTCTTTGTTCATATACTCGAACAAGAGCACATCGTGGATGTCGATCGTTTTCTGGACATTCGTGTGGTTCAGTGGGACCTTCTCGGCGTACGATGTTTTCAGGATGTACTCGAGGACCTGTCGTCCAAGTGGATCTTTAGGATCTGCGGGGGTTTCAACAAGATCGCCGTGTTTGTTTTTCCCTAGAGCCGGATAACCGACACTCCCGTCGGGCACAGGAGAAGATAAGCCCACGACTCGGCTTAGAGCGGGGGGGATCCGGTTCCAAGGGATAGAGTTGTGATATACCTCGACACGATCGACCTGGCCGATCGTTGCCTGAATCCACAAAGCATTGAGGTCGGTGTATCAGACTTGAGTTGACGTGGATGTACTGGAAGTAGAGCTACAGACCTCGATGATTTGATTCATGTTTGATTCCAAGTAGGCCTCCGACGCCTCGGGATCTCTCCTGAGTTTCTTTGACAGTATCATGAGTCGCCGAATAAGCATTTGTTCCAGACCCTTGGGCAAGTGCTTCGGCGACCGGATGAGCGCAATGACGGAGTCGTGCCGACTATCAACCCATGTGGTTGGTTCAAGACCAGCCTTGACCAAGCGCTTCCAGAAGGTCTCGTGATCATCACCACCGGCCGTCAAATCGGTCTGAGCGTAGACGACGCTTCTGTCAGTCATGTCGTCAAAGGAATCGTAGAAGGAGTCATCGTTCGCATCTACTTGCGATACTGAATCTTCCGGGAAGATTTCAGGATCTTCTAATCTTCCTTCACTCATGAGCGGTTTGAGCGAGGGCCAAGATGGCAGAGATGGGAAAGAAGATGCGGGTCCGATATGTGGGGGCAAGGAAGGGGAGATCTTCCGGAAGCGGACTGCCTATAATGTAGCGTTCTTACCACGCTCTCAGAAAGGCCGTACGTGACCGGAAGCGAGACTTTTGGTGAGCCTGCCGTTCTGTACAGGTCTGATACGTAGTAGAGCAAGGTTGTCGTTCATCGCTCACAGTCGAAGTCGGTTCGGAGTGAAATGAAGATGATTCAACTTTGCAGGTCGATGCTCGCGCGCCAACGCGCCAACTGATCAACTGAATCTCTTCTGTCTGTATCGATTCACGGGAGTGGCAAAATAGGATCAATGGTCAAAGATGAGTCAGCTAGCTGCTAGCCACGCAATCATGCTATATACTAGCTATGCTAGTCATGCAAGTCAGCTGCCTCTGCAGAGCCGTCACCTAAATGGTTGCCCGTCTCCGTCTCAAGGATCAAGAACATCTATCTGTTCGAGGTACGTGATGGGAAAGCTTAATTCGACAAGGTGCAAGATGTGCATCGCGATTACGTAATATCACGTGATATAGATCCCCTTGGCCAGGAGCGGTGGATGTCACTTAGTACTTGTAGCTTGCCTCGACACTGCGATCACTACTACTACTACTACTCACTAGCCTAGCTAGTTTGCTGCTTGCTGATTGTAACCAGCGCTCGCACTCGCTCATCTATCTCGATACATAATTTGTCGCTGCGAGCGATACATCCACGCTTGCAGCAGCGTCCCGTATAGCGACATCTCACCATGCCCGTAGGCGAGATCACCAAATTGCCCATCTTGGCATTCAACGATGTCTATCGAGTCCATCAGAAGTGAGTATCCAGACTTGGTATACGTCACACAGCATATATAGACCCAATGTATTGACTAGGCCATCGAATGCTCACCTCCGATCGTCACATCGCAATCTCGATCTAGGTACAATGCGCCTGCTGGCCACGAAGCTCGTGATGCAGCGGGTAACGATCCCGAAGCCAGAACCGGCCAACCACAACAACAACAATATATCGGCGTAGGACAATTTGCCAGGACGCTATACGATGTGCGAAATAAGTGGCCTGAGAGGGAAAAGGATGTCGGAATGGGCGATCGTGGCGACGAGAGGGACGGGCTGGTTCTCTTCGCCGGTGACGTATTCAACCCGTCGGTCGAGTCCGCGATCACAAGAGGGTCGCATATGGTGCCGATTCTTAGGGAACTGAAACTAGATGCTTCTTGTGTTGGTGAGTCAAGGGCGATTTGCTACACGTCGAAGCTAAGTTTTTCCTGATACGATTTCGTCACTCGAAGGCAATCACGATTTCGATTTCGGGTATGCCTCACCCGCCACCGATGATGATGACGACCATGATCTGTCGGCTCACTCCGTCCTGGTCTTACAGTTACGCTCATCTAACGACCCTGATGAAGTCATGCGGATTCCCCTGGCTGCTCTCCAACATCATCGACGAGAAGACCGGCAAGAACCCCGAAGGCGTCCACCGATGCGTCGTGAAGGAGCGGTGTGGTGTGCGAATCGGCCTCATCGGCTTGGTAGAACAGGATTGGATTGCTACGATTCGTAAGTCAAGGTAGTAGGCTTTCAGGGAGAGGATTTCGCTGAAGGACGTTCTTGATAGCTTCATGGCCAGAGACTTTCAAGTATAGAGAGATGAAGGATGTAGCTTTGGAGCTGTCCAAGGAGTGAGTCCCTGTCGAAGGTGTACTGGCGATTCACGAGGCATCGCTATAACGGTTCGTTCCATCTTTCTAGGATGCGAGATCCGAACGGACCTTACAAGGTAGATATGATAATCGCTTTGACGCATTGTCGGTTGCCAAACGTAAGCTGGACTCGGGCGAACAAGCCGTACCGACGCTTATGCTCAGAATATCTTCACGGGCTCTTGCAGGATATCAGACTCGCCAACGAGCTAGCTGCGACTGTAGGCCAGGAAAATAAGAACGAACATGGAGTGGATTGCCTTATTGGCGGTCACGATCAGTGAGTCAACCTCGATATATCTTAATCAACCTCGATACCTCTTTCGGACCGGAGTTTGAGTACCCGACTTTGCAGCATGTACTATATCGGTAAAGGAGCACAGGAATGGGAAGGGTTCCGCGGAGATCCCAAGATTCGAGGCGTACAGGAAGACAAGGGAGTTTGTCTCATAAAAAGCGGCACTGATTTCCGAGGTGAGCAGGTTATGCGAGGGTTCGGAGGATATCAATCGCTGAACTTGTTGGCAACCATCCTTTCTACTGCATCTAGATTTGTCAGAGGCCGTCTTCGAGCTTGAGGACACCCCGGCTGGTAGCATCAGAACCAAGGTCGTCAAGAGCTTGTCAGGGAAACACCACGAAATCACGCCAGCTACACCCACAGCGCCCGAGATCGACAATCTCGTCAAATCCTTGCTGTCCACAGTCTCGGATACTTTATCGAAACCGGTCTGTTTCAGCTTGACACCGTTCGACGTGAGGAGCGAGAAGGTACGGACGGAGGAGACGGCCATCGGGAACTGGGTTGCGGATATCCTGATGCACGCGTATGCGGAGAGATTGGAAGAGGCGGGCAAGGAGGAGAATGGCGATTCGTCGGCGAAAGGGAACGAGGCGGATGCGGTCATCATTTGCGGAGGGACTTTCCGTGGAGACAGCTTGTATCCGGCAGGTAAGTGCTGTTGATCTGTACGCATTTGGATTCGCTCACTTATCTGTCCGCGTCATGTTTAGGTAAAATTACGCTCGGAGATATCCTAGAAATCTTGCCGTTCGACGATCCCGTTGTTTGTCTGGAGGTCAGTGTTGCTGGCTGCTTTGGGTTCTACGCTGCTTTGCTGATATGTCGAGACAGCTCGATGGTAAAGGTGTACACGATGTATTGGAATGTGCCCTAAGCAAATGGCCGGCACAAGAAGGGTGAGACAGGCGGATCACAATCCCATCGATGGCGGTGCATGCTAAACCCCGAAAGCCTGCAGGCGCTTCCCTGTAGTATCGGGTTTGCGAGTTACCTGGGATCACATGAGGCCACCGAATGACCGAATCATCAGCATCCACCTGACTGAACCAAGTCTGCCCCTGGAAGACGAGGACGGCGATGGCCAGATCGACAATCCTGAAGGGCTAGGTTTTATCCAGACCGATGACGGTACAAGGATCGAGGTCAAGCAGAGCAAGCCGAAACAGGGAGAGGAGATCAAGAAGGCCGAAGGAGGCAGGATTTACAAGATTATCACCAGAAACTACATGGCCGAGGGATACGATGGATTCCAGGATCTCAAGAACCGCAAGTTCATCATCGATGATGACAACGGTCAAATCATGTCGTCGGTAGTCCGATCTTTCTTGCTCGGTGAGACCTCTTCACTTCTTGGTCTTTATCAGACGCTCAAACTGATGTCCTGGACGGCTATTCAGGTTCCAGCTACATTTTTAGGCACAAGCAGCTGCGGGACGAGCATCACAAGCACATGTCGGCGCACAGCGACGAGGTGCTTGACAGGCACAGAGCTCGGTTCGAGAAATCCCACCAGGATCTCAGTCAATCGCCCGAGGGATCTCCGGTCGTTGGCCAAATGTCGAGTGCATGGAGTAGCGGCTGTATCTCGAACGGTGGGACGAACAGGCGGCATGTCATCGACCACGACGCTAGGGATATCAGAGATGCCTTGCATATTGCGAGAAGGGAGCACATGTCCGAGATGGACGCGTTGGTAAGTCGGTTGCGATACATCAAATTTCGCTTTTGTTTGTCTTATCATGGCTACTTATCTTGTGTAGGACGGTAAATCGCTACGGAACTTGACCTGCACGAATTGTGGGACGGAAGTCCCGCATGACGCCCAGCCAGGCAAACAGCCCACATCGCCCGTCTCGCCTCCCATGAAAGCGTCATTCCTCGTCGGTGATCATAACAGGGAAGAAGTCAGGACCATGGATGACGACATTGCGATCGTCTCGCCGTTGATAGATGGTCGACTGAGGGACATCTCTGCGCACAAAGACGAAGAGTGAATTCCAATGCCATGGAACACTGTGCTTAATCGCATCCCTCCTATGGAGATCAACACGCATCAAAGGTGGTATCGGCACCCACCTTGAAGTCCAAATTATTGACCTGACGATTATAAGACCTGTAACTTTGTGAAAGGTTCGGTTTTCGGCTTGCATCGTGATCCTGTACGCTATAACCATGCATGTCGCATGTCGAACCCTAGCTAACGGGATTAATGACGCGTGAAGCGGCGCGATCGCGAGGACCGCTCCGGAACTCCTGCCTATTATTATTGCCTATGCACAGGAGTTCACGCGCGGACCGTTTTACCCCCGTTGAGAGGAGTTCTAAACGGGCTAGTTTAGACGCGCCATTTGTTAGGGGATAAATCTCTAAACGGGGGGGTACACGCGGTCAATTTAACGCCCGTTCAATGCCTGTTCGCGTTGCTGTGCAGACCGGTCTCAACCGCACACCAAACGGGCTTTGAACACGGTCTTATTGTTCTCGATTATTTGTATCCGCACCCCCGTACGCGTCGCCCCCCCCCTCTCGTACTCGACCGAGAAGCTCGAATCGACTTACAACTTACTACATACTACTCGAAATCGTTATTTGTCTATAAAACATCAAACAAAGTCTTTACGAACCTCTTACTAGTCCATACGAACCCCCTTACGACCCCCTTAATGTTACTATCTTTTTTTACGACCTCTCAAGATGCCTGCCGCCGTAAGTTCTCGATGTTGTTGTTTTGGGCTTCTCGGAAGGTGTTATCGAGACTGAACAATCCCCGTTTGATGTTCGTTTCTGTCTATAGCCTAAGACTACCATCAAGGACCTCGTGAGCCTATCAGATCGTTCTGTTTGACTGCTTACTGATCGTGATTCACGGACACACCCATCTTGACAGTTCAACACCCGTTCGACCCCCTACGAGAAGCCTGCCGACCTCGCTGCCGCCATGACCCGGTTCGACAAGAGCCTAAGTGTTAGTGTAGGCAGTTGTAGTCGCCGACTAGGGTAGTCGCCGTATAATAGTCGCTGTTTTTAGTCGGCGACTACTAGTCGTCCGTCTAAAATTAGTCGCCGACCAGGGGCTTGACGACCACGACTACGTCTAATATGCCAAGGCTCAATCCAGTGCCGACTAGTCACGCTTAGTCGTCTAATCGTCATGTCAAGGAAGACCCCTCTTGTTCTTTCTCTGCATCCGGCCAGTGGCCGTCAACAGATACAGACAGCTTAAGAAACGACGTCTATATGCTTAGGGTGTCATGTTGTCCGTCAATGTCGTTTCAGACTGAGCGTTCTAGTTTGAACGCGTGAGAAGGTTCGACCGTTTAATTTATTTTGCTTCCGCAACAACAACAATTCGACTCGTCATCTATCGAAAGACTAGACATGCACCCTAGTCGAACTACCTTTGAACACGTCTTGCTTCATACAACCTTTCACAAAGTTCTAGAACGTAGACACCTACTTCTAGACGTATGGAGTAACTGTCAAAACCAACCACGCGAGGTTTTCGGACACGATGGAACCTTCGAGTAGCGCCGCCGCGTCCGGTTCCAGGTCGGGCCTCCCTTCGACGCCTACCAGAAAGTCCGGTGGGTGGTCGTCCGTACAAGGCTCCCCCTCAACGTCAAGGGGAACGAAGAGGTCGCGTACGGGTTTGAATACGGATCGTGTGACTAGGTCGCACGCCGTATCCGAGAGTGACGAAGAGGAAGACGAGGAGGAGGAAGAGGAGGATGTGGAAGGTGAGTCGAGCGTGTCGTGTTTAGACGTCTACATGCCCGTCTTGTATCTGAAATTCGAACGTCTTCGATCTCTTGAATATACATAGACTCCCCGAGTAAAGGAAAGGGGACGAATAAGAAAGGGCCAACAACCCTTGAAAAACAAGAAAAGGCTTTGTCTCAAGGTGAGCCGATTAGACGTCCAGAATCACTTCGCGACTAGTCGATTGTACTTGAACACGCCTTTTGCTAAACTGTTTGACGCTTTATCGTACTCGCAGCCAAACAACAATTAAGAGGGGTCGCTAAGCCCGACGCATCGGCTCCCCGCGAGGAACACCAGAATTTCCTCGATAAATGGTGCGAGGTCTGGTTCGACAAGGGCAAGGCGAATAATACCAATAAACGGTATCTTCGACCTACCCTTGCTACGTCGAATGAGCTCCGGGAGAAGAGCAAGGAGGCGGGGTCGATTTGGTGGACGTGGCGGTGCAAGTGAGTGTGTCCAGACGTCTAAATGTATTAGACGTCTAACCACATTAGACGTTCACAACTATTGATTGTTACTGACTTGCTCTGCGTGTCGTTCAGATATTGCCGCACCTATTATATTTTGAAATCGGTCGAGTTGGCCGGCTCGGGTTCCAGTTTGGAATACCACGCCGGTCGCTGCAAGTCCAATCCGGCCAACGTCGACAATGGTACTGGTCTGTTGCAGACCACTATCGAGTCGACAACGACTTTGGGCCCGGCGGTCCGTGAATTGGAGACGAGGCATGCAATCGTCGCCTGGATCGCCAGGAACAACCACTCGTTCAGCGTAGTGGATCAGCCCGGTGTAAGTTATTTTGATCGCTAATCATGTTTTGCACGTTCAAATTTGCTGACGACTAGACGTCTACTTTTTGTACGTTTAGTTCAAGGAGATGTTTGGTCGCTCCTATCCCGCGTTGAAGGCGGTCCTCCCGTCCAGAAAAACGGTCGCCAGCGACCTCTTAAAGGTTCACAAAGTGAACGAGAAGAGGCTGCTCGGCCACTTCAAGGCTCACGATGGGGCCTTCCATATTGCCGTCGACGGTTGGACAAGCCGTCGCAACAAATCGTTCCTCGGCGTTCATTGCCATTGGAACGTGATTGAAGGGAGTGAGATCACGCCAAGGTCGATGTTGATCGACTTTATCGAGTAAGTCAAAACACTCAAAATTTAGACGTCTAGTATTTTACTGACGATCACGAACAATAATAGCGCGAACGCTCCGCACACGGGTGAATACCTCGCCCAACTAATGACGATTTCCCTGACCGCTTGGGGAATTCAAGACCAGGTCCTCTCCGTGATCTGTGACAACGCATCCGCCAACGACGTGATGGTGAAGAAGTTGTCTGAGCACGAGTGGAAGAGGTTTGGTGAGACGGGTCGTGTGCGATGTTTCGCGCACGTTTTGAATCTGGTGGTCGGGGTTAGTAGAATTAAGTTTATGGTTTTTAGACGTCTAACTTTTCTGGACGTCTAATTTTGAACGCGCAAAGCTGACCTGCCGTTTTACTTGCAGGCGATCATCGAAGGGGCCACCGGCACAAAATGGTCGGAGGATAAGTGGGAACAGATCGTCCCAGATTTCGACGTCGAGGTCGCCGAGAACGACCCGTCTTTGGTCAAGGAGTTGGAGGAGTTCATCGATTCGGACGAGCCCAACGAGAACGACTTTGTCGTTGATCAACCGATCCTGGACGGGATCAAGTTGGCACGAGTACCGGATGTGACCCATGTCAACCAGTCTCAAGTCGCCGAGGTGCTTGCCGCCGCTGGTCGTTCGACTGAGACCCCCCAGTCGCTCAGCAAGGAAGAGACCACCGTTATCTGCACCGGCGTGGCCGCCAGGGTCCGAGAGTCCCAAGCCGTCATGGCGAGTGCTCTGGAGAAGGTGAGTATTAGTCTTAAACGTTTGTGTTAGATACGTCCACTGATGTATACTACTTCGATTTTCAAACGTCTATTAATTTGGACGTCTAGTGCCGCTCTTTGGCAAAGCGATTGAGATACCGATCGCTTTGGAGACGACAATGGGAAGCGGCCGCGGACGCGCTCTTCAGTGAGCGCAAGATCGAAACGGGGGCTCGAACCATCCCCGTCGATATTCAAACAAGGTGGAACTCGACTTGGGAGACCATCCGGGCCTGCCTCGAGAACGAGGTCGTTGTGTGAGTTTAAACGTTCAGCCGACTAGTCGTCTAGTCGTCTTGACATTGATACACGTTGGACGTCTACCTTTGAATACGATCATTCGTAGCAAGAGGTTCTATACCCTCCTGGAGCTCAAAGAGCAGAAGGAGGAGGAACGATTGACGCCGGTGGAGTTCACCGCCTTGAGACAGTTGGAGCCGGTCTTGAGGGTGAGTCTACTCGAACATCTAAACGTCTACAAATATAGTCGTTGATATACCCATACATATCTCAGCTCATGAACGCTTGTACCAAGCGTTTCTCGACGGCTTCAGAGGCCAAGGTCGACAAGGCCTTCATCGCCGGGGTGATTCCGGTCATGGACGCGATTACCGTCCAGTTTGACTACTGGAAGTCGCAGCCCGGCGACGAGAAGGCGGCCGTCAAGTACGGCATAAGGAGAGGTCAAATGCTCCTTAATAAATATTACAGCAGGACGGACGAGAGCGTCTTGTACCGGATCGCCCTGCGTGAGTTCAGATCGAATGACTATTATTGAACGTACATGACGTCTAACTTTTATACGTTCACACCGTCTAGTCCTTCATCCTGGGTACCGACTCGCTTACATGAAGCGAGCGCGTTGGCCCGACTCATGGATGGATGAGGCCAAACGGGTTGGTCGGGAAATGTGGGAGAAGCACTATCGACTTGCTCCCGAGCAGAAGGCCGCCGAGCCGAACGACCAGATGGTTAGTCGTTTAAACGGTGAACGTTGATGTGTACTGGAGCGTCTATGATTCTAATACTGTGCTGTGGCATCGCATACAGGAACTCGATGACCTTGATAAGCTCATCGACAAGGCGGCCGCTGATCCCGTTGATGGACCGGACGAATTTGATTCGTTCATCAACGCGCCCAAGGCCGATGTCAAAGTCCCGCCGTTCAACGACTCGGCTTTGGTATGGTGGGCTCATCAGCCCAAATTGGGTGGACTCAGGTCCATGGCTTTGGACGTCCTTGGAACGCCCGGTAAGTTTCAACGTCTAGAATTTTAGACGCGATCAAAAATTAGACGTCTAGATTGTTGATCACGTAATTGATATAGCCACTTCGGTCGACGTCGAGAGGGCTTTCTCGAAAGCGGGGTTGATGTTCTCAGCCCGAAGGACCCGGTTGGACCCTGAGACATCTAAACAACAGATGTGTGTCGGCGACTGGATGAAGCACGACTTCTTGTCGGAGAAGGCTTTCGTCGACTCGTTCAAGCAGCCGGGGCGGAAGACGACCGAGCGGAAGGTTGGGGGCGCATACAAGGTCACCAAGAAGACCAGCCCGAAAAAGAAGAAGACCACGGTCATCGAGCTCAGCGGTGACGACGAGGAAGGGAGCGACATGGAGGTCGATTGATTTTGGGTATCGGGGTTGTTCTTAGGTCGTTTTGTTGTACAATTACGGGTTTTGGTCGTCGTCTCCTCTTTTTTTATCAATACCTTGCCTTATGTAAGACTCTGCAATTGGGACGACCATGGAAGATTAGACGTCTAGTTGGCGTATAATAGTCGCCGTCTAATATTAGACGCGACTAATTCGAGCCGTTCAAAGTTCACGACTAATTCCGGCCGTCCAAAAGTCAAATTGGTCGCGACTAACCGGGCGACTACTAGTCGGCGACTAGTCTTGCCTACACTACTAAGTGTTACGGGATCATCACGTGAGTCGACTACCGACACACGGGTTCGATCTACGGACATCAGCATACACCTAAGTCCGGCTCGACGAGGCGAATCCGATTCCCTCGGAGCAGATTCGGTCGCCCCTACCATTCGCCTTCACCATTCACCGAAACAACAAACCTTCCCGACACATATCACAAACAGGTACAGGGACCTCGAGGTACACGACACTCTACTCAGGACCTCGACAACCTTACTCGACGTACCTAGGGACAAATGAGAACTCAAACTCGTCTCCTCTACCGAATCCGGCTGCTCTCGACAGGATTCGTCTGTTCGCCATCTCGTTCTTCCAGTTTCGCCATCTCTCGCCATTCTTTTCTCTTGGGTCTTTTCAGTGTTCGCCAGCCCCGTCTACGTACTCGTCTCCGTATAAATAGCTAGAGGAACTTGACCGAATTCGATAGAGGACGCTCTGTAATAGTTAGAGGTCAAGTTCCGATATCACATTCAATACACGCCTATCTGACTTGTTACAACATCTTCAAGACGTGTTGCGGAGAGGTTACAACTCAAGGACGTCGCTAAGTATCTACGCTTCATCGTTTTACCTTAGACCGAATCCGGTACCTCACACCGAGTGATCACCTTCCTTATCCATACATCTCTGGATTCGTATCCTTTATCCGAATCCGCTTCATCTAAGCGGACTTGCGACATTCTCCCAACTACCTGCGATCTACCTATAAGCACCCTACGCCTTACGACTTAGGACCTATCTCGATTAGCGATTTCCGCCGTAACAGCATATCGGAACTTTTTTTTATCGCACCTGGTTAGGGCAATGTCAGTCTATTCCGAAAACCACGACATGCCCCCAGAGGAAGAACAGCGGTTCTCTCGAGCCAGGACCGGCTCAATCGAAACGAATCCGGCTCCCAGGGAAACGGACTCTGAACGTATTGGTCGTCTCGAAGAACAAATCCTAGAACTCATGCAGACGATCAGGAAACAAAGAGACGAACTCGCTACACGAGAAGAGATTCCGGCTCCCCTTCCTCGAAGGCAGTTCAACATCTACCCATCCAACCCTCCATCTCTAGCGGGAACTACTATTGACCCTAGAGAGCTTCACCGACCTTCGGTGGCTCGGTCCAGGGATCCCTATACTCCTATGAGGGACGTTCCCCTTCGGGAGAACGAAGCGGATCTGCTTGCCAAACGGACCAAGGAACCGAAGCCGGCTGATCCACCCACGTTCAAGGGAGACGCCAAGGAGTTAGACGAATTCATCGTCAAACTTAATATGGTCTTCCGACAATTGCCTGGACGCTACCCCACTGGAGGATCCAAGATCGATTTCGCTATTGGATTTCTTGGCGGGCGAGCCTTTAAAACGGTTTCGTCTTATCTCCAGTTGGACGAAGCGGACCAACCCCTTTTCCTACACGACTACGATGCCTTCAAGAGATTCTTGAAGCATAACTTCGGGGGCTCCAACGAGAAAGCTGCAGCCCAAGCCGCTTTAGACAAGTTGGTTCAAACCGGATCCGCTTCGTCTTACTTCTCCGAATTCACCCAGTACAGTCCCTTGTGTGGCTTTAACGATGAAGCCCTTATCGCCGCAGCCAAGAAAGGACTGAAGGCCAAAGTGGTGGAACGTCTCGGTATCCTGAACAAAAGGATGGAGTTCGCAGACTTCAACGAGTTCAGGAATGAAGCTGTCGACGCGGACAATAGGCTTCACGATGATGGAGTTCTCAACCGAGAAGATGAGAAGCGGAACGCTCGCAAAGATAACAGGAAGGAACCGAATCCGGTTCGATCCGAGCGAGTTGTCACCGAAAGGACCAAGACTTACGAGAAGGAGGTCGTCAAACCCAGAGGTTCGACTCCTTACCAAAAGGGTCCTATTACAGATGAAGAAAGGAAGAGGCGACGCGACCTCGACCTTTGTACCTATTGCGGGAAGGCCGGACACTACGCTTCAGCCTGTCCTGTTCTTGCCGGCAGAGGAGGAGGAAGCACCCCCAATGTCGAGAGGGCTAGAAATGCAACAGTCGAAGCAGTTCCGGCTCCCACCTGGGCGAACCAGGCGAATCGAACCGAATGGATTAAGTTTCGCTTCCAGGGGCAAGACCCTTTGATTACGGTGGATTTCCATGCAGGCGCATCTTCTTTCACGACAGACGCCCTGATCGACAGTGGGGCCAGCTGTAACTTCATTCGACCCTCTGCGGAGGTACTCCAGCATGTCGAGGCGATCCCTTATGATCAGCCGAAGCGACTCCGGTTGGTCGACAACCAACCTAACCCGAATCAGCGAGGAGAGATCACCCATTACGTGAATCTGATTTTCTATGTCGGAGGACACATCGGTCCTTACTCCCTCGACTTCGACATTGCGGAAATTGCGGCCCCGGATATTATCCTAGGAGTCCCATTCGTCAAGGGTCTTCGTACCATCACGGATTGGGACACTTGCGAAATTAGTTTGATCAAGCCGGATTCGCCTCTCAAGGGAGCGAATCTGGAATATTTGGAACGAAACCGGTTCCTCCGAAGACAAGACCCGGAAGTTGTCGCCACAGATATCGATCCTCGAGCGCTACGGGAATTGGGTCTGGAACACGACGACGAAGAGGATTACGACATCGCATCGGAAGAGATGCG